TCTCGGGAAGTTTTAGTGGAAATGAGCTTTGAAGGAGCAGGTGAATGTTGGCAGGCAAAGATGAAGACAAGGACATCCCAGCCCAGGAAAGCAAGGAAGCTGACAGTCAGTTAGAGGTGGGGAGGTGGGCGGAGGCCCATCATAGTTGACCTTGATGCCTGGATTATGAATTTGGGTTTTATTTTGAAGGAACAGAGGAGTCAGGTGATTTTTACCTTGGGGAGAAGTGGCCAGAGAGTCACAGTGGAAAAGCAGCAGCCCTTGTAACGTCTTATAAAGGGAGCAGTGGAGATGCTGAGGATGAACAGGCTTGGGCCAGCCACCCCAAGGAGGGCTCTCAACATTCCAGGCGGTCACGTCAGGAAACCAGGAGAAGAGCGATGTTGTTTACCAAAATAGGAAACATGGGAGGAGAAGAAAGCTTACTGGCAAGGAAAATTAATTGAGTTTTGGACCCCACTGTAGTAAGGCCCGGTGTGGCCTACCTACCAAAGGTTGGGAATCCCAGCTCCATCAGGTTGTCTAAGGACCTAGAAGGCAGGACAATGTGAAAATATACTGAAGTAGAGTGCTCTGAGCGGAACCACTTTTATATAAATATTCATAACAACGTAACGTCAGTTCTTTCTTTCTTTCTTTCTTTCTTTCTTTCTTTCTTTTTTAAGATTTTATTTATTTATTTGACAGACAGAGATCACAAGGAGGCAGAGAGGCAGGCAGAGAGAGAGGAAGGGAAGCAGGCTCCCTGCTGAGCAGAGAGCCCGATGTGGGCCTCGATCCCAGGACCTCGGGATCATGACTTGAGCTGAAGGCAGAGGCTTTAACACCCTGAGCCACCCAGGCAGCCCATTTTCTTTCTTTCTTTCTTTCTTTCTTTTTTTTTTTTTTTTTTGAGAGAAAGAGAGCAGGGAGAAGGGCAGAGGGTGAGGGAGAGAGAATCACAAGCAGGTTCCACACCCAGCATGGAGCCTAATGCAGGGCTCGATCCCACGACCCCAAGATCATGACCTGAGCTGAAACTGAAAGTCAGACACTTAACCAACTGAGCCACCCAGATGCCCACAAACTGGCATCTGTAATAGTGCACCGTGTCTACTAGCAGGTTGATAAAAGTGGCTGGGGCTTTCAGGCGTGTCCTCTCCTCTTAGTACCTCTGCATGGGATGCGTAGAGAAATAGAGGAGTCTTTGCTGGGAAGATAACAGAAATAGCTTTTTAGTAATGTAAGGGAGGAAAAATAATTTTCTCTCTGTCCTTCTGAGTTCTTGGCTAAGACTCTATAATAAAAAATTCACAAGAAAACAAGTTTATTAACATGTTTATCTTATGTGTACACGGGAGATACTCAGGAAGAAATGAGGTGCCTTACAATTTTGAATTAAATACTGTCTTCACGGGGAAAGAAGAGAAGGGAGGTAGTCCTGGTGGGGGAGAGCAAATGAGTTTTAGGGAAGATGAGTAGACCCACAGAAGAACGGACGAGGGTAGATAGTTTGGTACATCCCTGGTGGATGTAACTGCCAGCGCGTGGCTTTGGGACAATGGAGTTCCCTTTGGATGCCTCTCTTTAGGCAGATAAGGGAAGTTAAGAGAATTCTTCTTTCTGCGTTTGCCCACAGCTCAAGTGCCCACAGCTCAAAAGATAGCAACATATTCTGAGATGACATATCCAGAACTCCACTCATCGTATTTTGGGGGTGGCCTAGTCTACCTTCAGTGGGAACTCCAAGCTGCATCACAATTCTGGTTTTCTTAAATTTTTGCTTCCTTTTCTCTCAACTAAACTATACTTCACAGAGGTCTTTGGAGCTGTGTTGGTGTCCCATGACACACTGGGGATTCCGGTTTCCAATCTGAGAGGGTAATGTCAAGCTAAAGACATAACTGGGGGAGTCTTCCTCAACAAAGCCAGAGGTTCAACTGCTGGAAGAGAGGAAAACAACCCAGAAAGCTCCAGAAAGGGGCACCTGGGTGACTCAGTGGGTTAAAGCCTCTGCCTTCAGCTCAAGTCATGATCCCGGGGTCCTGGGATCAAGCCCCGCATCAGGCTCTCTGCTCAGCAGGGAGCCTGCTTCCTTCTCTCTCTCTGCCTGCCTCTCTGCCTCCTTGTGATCTCTGTCTGTCAAATTAAGAAAAAAAAAAAAAAAAGGAAAAGAAAAGAAAGCTCCAGAAAGAGGAGAGGGATGGAAAGGGACATTGGGGAACACTTGCATTTTAGGAGGAGGGGGTGAAGGAGAAGCCAGGAAGTCCAAGAAGGAAGAGTGAGGAGGCTCAGAGGGCTGGGCAGTCAGGAGAGCAGGGTGCAGGGAAGTCAGGGAGGCTGAGGTGCGGAAAGGAGTGGAGCAAGAAGGGCTTTCACACCTCTTCAGAGCCCCGGTGGTCTGGGGGACCCTTCCAGACTTGTTTGTCTCATAGGCCCTATCACTGGTTCATATACCACTTCTGCGATTTCCTTATTCTACTGTCTGCTGACCCTGCCAGAATGTCGGCTGGAAGCAGAGATGTGTGATAGTTCTTGTCGCTGAGGTATTCCCAGCCTCTAGCATGGTGCCTGGCACAGAGCAGACACAGAGTAAAGATTTCCCAAAATGTATCGAATCAGCAAGGGAATGTAATCAGAGATTGCATGAGCCCTGAGAGAGGGCCACTGTGGCTCACAGTTCAGAGGTCACCGGGCACTTTGGAGAAAGCCCTTTCAAGGGAGGGGTTAACCCCAGACCTCTACTCGCTGCTCACTGTGGACAATCCTGCCTGTCCCACACCGCAGCCACTGGCCACTTGACATGTGACCAGTCCAGACTGAAGTGTGCTGCCAGGGTGGTTGTTTGAAGACGTATGAGTTAAAGGCTATTTTATACCATAGCAGAGTAACCATTTTTATGTGTTGTTAACATGTTGAAACAATCACATTTTGGATATAGAGGGTTAAAGAAAACACGCCATGGAAAGCCATGTGTACTTTTTTAATGCAGCTACTAGAAGATTTTAAATTACATACATATTATGTGTCCGTTGACAGATGTGGCTCACACTACTGTTTTCGAAGTCAGGCTGTGAGGGAAAGGGGGGGGTGGTGTCATGATGATGTCTGGAAAGAAATGAAAGAGCTGGCTTTTTAAGATAGGGCAGAATGACGGCAAGGACGGGGAAAATTGAGAGCCATAGAACAGCCCAGAAGAGACTGCACAGCCATGGTGGGAGGGGTGGGGGGGCAGGTGCGCAGGACTCTGGACCAGGTGAGCGGGACTCGGGCAGCGGGAGGCCAGAGCAGTCTTTATCGAGGCAGAGCCGGAAGTGGCGGTGACGGGGCTGGATGAGCGCAGGACTGGCCTGCAGATCTCTAGTGCAGTTGCTCTCCTGGTGGCGTCAGGCTCTTTGCCCCTCTGCCCCCCCCCAACACACACACATACACCCCAGCCACCTCCAGGTGCAGTATGGAGTCCTTGTACCTATAATCACCTCCTGGGGGAGAGACAGAGGGAACACATGAAAAGATAGAGCGGGGTAAGCATAGTGACAGCTCCCAAGGGAGTTCTGAGGACCTATTTGCTGAAATGTGGTCACCGAGGAGTAATGAGCCTTACCGAGTCTGCCCGTGCACTGGAGAACGGTGGCAGCTGCCTGGGCACACAGCCGCATCACCCCGTCTTAGTCCTGGGGTCCTAGCGCACCAGCGGTTTCAGAAGCGCTTGCCCTCCGGGCTGGAAGAGAATGTGGGGCGACTAACACGGGATCTGCCGGGACGATGGGCCTCGGAGAAACCCGCACTCCAGCCTCCGGGCCTGCAGCCTCTTCTCCCAGCCCCTCCCAGCCGGCTGCAGGCGGAGATGGCTTTGTGGTCCTCAAGAGAGTCACACCCGTGATACCAGGTGTTGTGCCATCCCCACCATCATTTCCTTGCTATCCTCGGGTGACTTTTAATATAAATCTACTCTCTCTCTGTAGCCCAGGAGGCTGCGTCGGGCCAAACCGCTGTGGGACAACTACGTCTAAGCAGTGAGACCCTGGGCAAGCTGACCTCAGATTCCACGCTGGTCACCCCCGAAATTAAACCTACGAAGCCGCTGCGCGGAAGCATGGTGATCGCCAAAAGCAAGACGGAGAGCCACGGCTCCGGGTCTCAGAAGCAGCATCACCAGCACGCGCCGGAGACGCCGCAGGTACAGATTAGGGCTTCCCCGGCGGAGGGTTGGGGTCCTTCCCCCTGCCCTTCCTCCTCAGCGTCCTGCAGCCTTGACAGCACGGCGTCGTGGCTGGGGGTGCCCTCTCCAGGCTCATGGTGCAGGCGCGGGCAGGCGTGCTCCTCCGGCAGGGGTTCAGCAAGAACTTTCCTGTGAGGCACTGGCTTGAGTGCTCGCAAAGCGGAGTTAAACGAAGCAAAATCCCTGTGCTCGCGCTGCACCAAGCGTCCGATGAGGGAGATGACCCCCCGTACACGTATCTACAATAAAATGAGATTGGTGACTAAAGATGTTTGTGAAAAAGAATTGGGGTGAACCATATGAAATGGCCAACAACAGCAGTTTCGTACGGCTCAGCCTAATCCTACAGGAACGCTGAGGATGAAACCATTCATTTCAACTGCAGGGGCGGGGGAGGCTGCACGGGAGTCTGTGAGAGTGTATCAAAAGCACCAGAAAATCCCAATTCTGACCCCAACCCCCCTTTTTTTAAAGATTTTATTTATTTATTTGACAGACAGGGATCACAAGCAGGCAGAGAGGTAGGCAGAGAGAGAGGAGGAAGCAGGCTCCCTGCTGAGCAGAGAGCCCAACATGGGGCTCTATCCCAGGACCCTGATATCATGACCTGAGCAGAAGGCAGAGGCTTAATCCACTGAGCCACCCAGGTGCCCCTACCCTTTCAATAAATAGGGAAGTTACAACCTATTCGAGATCACCCCATCCCCCATGCGGCTGCCACAGTGTGACAGGACTCAGGGTTTGGACAACAGTTGCCCTGTTGGAGTGCCTCACCCAGAATTGGCTATTTGGTGTTCCAAAGCTCTCGTAAAGCATGAACTCTCCAATGACTGGAGTTTAGTCATGTTGCAAGTTGGAAGAAATGTGTACTAGGTCATATAATGAAGATATGACCTATAATATAAGGTCATTTATTTATAAATCATCATGTTCTAGGAGAGCACCTGCTGGAAATCCTGGTCTTTTGAATGACATTTAATCTGACACATACTTCTCAGTTCCACGGCCTCCTCAGGTACTCACTGCCATGGTCATGTTCTAGAACTGGTTCATCATTACCCATAAACTCCAAGACCTCTGCCTTACACTTCCTCCTTCTTGACCACCATCTTTAACTTTCCAGATGACTTACTCCAGGAAGTAATTGGTCCCATGCAAACCTTCAGTCCATATCTTCACTGCCAGCCCCTCTTCAGTTGTTTTCTTGCCCTGTTTGGAATCCGTGACTGTCCCTGTAGGCTCTCTCTCGCCCCTTCCTCTTCTGCGTACTCTCCAAGCAAAAGTTCAGCCCTGGTAAACCTGATTCTCTGCCTCCTGAGGCAGGGTGGCTGAACACGGCTAGAGACAGCCCTCCTCTCTCCTGAATGGTCTTCATCCAAACTTAAGACCACAAATCTCAGATAGACCCTTTGGTCTGCCCTAGTAAATTTGCTGTCCTTCTTTTCGAGATAACTATTTTATGGAGGTCATCACTCTCCAAACCTCTAAGGCCCTTTCCTGTTGCCCATTCCCAGCTAATGATCTCTCTCCTGGCTGCATGGAGGAAGCGGCAACACTGGAAGGCGACCACCTGATTCTCCCAACACCAGATCTGCGAGCCAGGCTGCACCCCAGCCCATCGCCGCGCCTTCCCTGCCAGAGTCACCGCCCCAGCTCTCACCTGAGGCCCTGCCCGGGTGCGCCAGCCACCACCCCCCCACTTCTCACTCAAGAGCTAAATTCCTGCAGTCATGCCCTCTCTCCTACTTGCGTTGTACCCTACCTAGTGACTCCTCCCCATCAGCATCTATGCATGTTGTATGCCTCCCACCTTTAAAAATACTGCCCTGAGGCCCCAGACCGCCCTCCCGCTGTTACCTCCTCCAGTCAACTTCTCTTCACAGCTGTTCCTCCAAAGACTTGCCACAGGCCTTCCTCCTCAGCCTCACCACATTCTTTTTTTGACCTATTCCAGGGAGGCCCTTGTCCTTACCACCGTTCCTCTCAAACACTGCTCCTCTCAAGGTCACTGCCATTCATCTTGCCAGATCCCTCGGCCAGTGTTCTCTCCTCATCCCCTGTGACCTCACAGCAGCCGATAACTCCTCCTCCTGGAAGCACTTCCTGGCCATCGGAACACCACACTCTTCTACTTTCCTTCTGCCCCATTAAGTACTTCCTCCTCTCCTCCAGCTTCTCCACCTCCTCCAGCTTTTCCACCTCCTCCAGCTTCTCCACCTCCTCCAGATCCTTAGGATTTTGGACTAGACTAGAACTGAGTCATCTCCTTTTGTTATCTACCTTTTACTATTCTAACTCCTGATCCTTCTTATCCAGTTCATGACTTAAGTACTTGAATTTTTTCAGTATGCATATGACCCCCAAATTTCTATTTCCAACCCTAATTTCTTCCCCAGCTCAGGTGCATACATCCAAACTCACACTGAATGGCTTAGAGACCCCTCAAAATTTACATGTCTGAGAAGTGATTCTGGCCCATTCCCAAAACAGAACAAGACAAAAAACAAAAAATAGATCTTCCCTCAGTTTTTCCTTTCTTAATAATTGACTTTACCATTTTCCAATTTGATCAGGCCAACACTCAAGGAGTCATTCTTGGGGCTCCTCTTTCTTTCACATTCCCTTCCAAGTCCTCGGGGAATGGGATGTGAAGGAAAGTGTCAACCACGTCTCCCCACCTCCACCATGACCATCCTCATCCCTGCCACCATCATCTCCTGCTTAGAGCATGGAAACATCTAACTAACTAACTAACTAACTAGCCTTCCTGTTTCCACTCTTGTCACCCAAGCAGCAGGTACAGTGGTCTTTCAGATCACACGTCTGCCTGAAACATGCCAACATCTTCCCATAATACTTGGAATAAAATCCGAATTCCTCCCTGGGGTCTACAAGCCCTGCATGTTCACACCTGACTATGTCTTCAACTTTAAATGAAGCCCGGCCCTCTTCCCCATCGCTCACTTAGTCTAGTTACACAAGGCTCCCATGTACTCCCCAGATCCCAGCAAGCACACTCAGGTTCTTGTCCAACTCTGTCCACCTCTCTGTTCCTTTACCTTATGCCGTTCTCCCTGGCATTTATCACTACTTGAGACTGTTGTTGATTTGTATATTCACGTGGTCCTTTTCTGTCTGCCCCGCTTGCAGGAAGGACATTTCTGGCAGCAACATTGCCAGCCTTGTTTGTTGTTGTATCCCTAGTGCTAGAGGGGTCCCTCGTGCACAGTAGGTGCTCAATTACTATTTCTTAAATGCACAAATTCAGGGTGTTCAGTACATACACAAAGCAGCTTCCATGGTGTCCCTGCTTGAAGCTCACAGCAGTTCTTTAAGAGAAACAGGAATTTTCCTCTTTACAATGCAATCGCCATATTACAGATGAGGAAATGAGGCCCAGAGAGATTTCATCATTTCCATGAGGTCACATGGCTTGTACGTGTGAGAGCTGCTGGGACACCAATCTGGATTCTAACTCCTGATCCTTCTCCCACTCCACAGGTTTCCTCCAGCCCCCTCCCTACGGGGCCCGCGCAGCGCCGGCTCAGTGTCAGCCCCAGTATCGGAGGTGAGACGGGGCTCGTGAGCTGTGTGCTCCCCGAGGACCTGCTCACCCAGATCCTGGCTGAGCGCATCCAGGTGCGTCTGTGCCCCCCCAACCCCCGCCCCTCCACAGAGCTACGAGGCTCCTACTCCATCCCTGTGCTGGGAGCTGAGGTTCAGATCCACAGCCCACCCACGGCTGCTCAGAACCCAGGGGCCCTGGACAGGAAGGGTTTCTTCGTCCCCAACAGCCATTTGCTTGTCCTTTTGACATCCCTGGTCAGTCCCTGGCCCTGGTGTAGTCTGCAGCCTAAAACCACACACCTTAAAGCTCCAGTGAACTGGTTACATATTTTTTTTAAAAATCAGTCATAATACAGCCCTCTGGTAGCATAGTAAAAACCATCTCATGGAGTCACGGAAAGTTAGAACTTCATTAATTTCTATAAAAAATCATCTTCAATACGTTATTCAGTGAGAAAAGCAGATTATGAAATAATACATAAAGCACAAGTACATTTCTATAAAAGTATTTCTAAATGTGTATCATACAGACCTAGTAAAAACTCCCAAGGCACATGTAACTGGTTATCTTTGGTTAACAGGATAGTGGATTTTTAGTTCTCTCCACACATTTTTGAATCACTTCACAATGGCAGATTGCTTTTAAAGTCAAGAAACACAATAACTGTTTCCTTTTTTTTTTTTTTTTTCAGAATGTGTTGTACAGTTAAAAGAAAACAAGATTAGCAGGAATGGGGAGGGTACCACTGAAGCCTGTTTGCTGCTTATGGTTTCCAGAGAGCTAAATTGTTCACCAGGTCCTGGAGTTGTCCGTTTGCCTAGGTTTTTTCAAACTGGGCCACAATAGTAGTTGCGCATTTAAATAGAATGAAACGGGGCCCGAGCTTCCCAAGAGGAGTGTTAATAGAGGAAATGACTCGTGTTCAGGTTTAATGGCTACTGCGCTCAAGGTGCTGTCCCTTTCAGTGGATGTGAGCCAGGCGGGCCAGTACATGTGCAGGTGTGCAGTGGGCCCGGGTTAAATCTCGGGACAGCCAAAGTGGCCCCATAGAACTGACCTACTTAAAACACCCATCCTGGATGAAACATGGAGTTTGCCTACTTCTTTCATTGACAGTCTTGCTACAAAGAAAACAAAAAAAAACAGCAGTTGCAATAAATGGTGTCTTTAGTGATGTAGTTGATTTACATTCTGACACAAGATTCTTGCCTCATCAAAAACCAGTAGTGATGGGACACCTGGGTGGCTCGGTAGGTGAAGTGTCTGCCTTCGGCTCAGATCATGATCCCAAGATCCTGGGATCGAGCCCCGCATTGGGCTTCTTGCTTAGCGGGGGCCCTGCTTCTCCCTCTGCCTCTGCCCCTCCCATACATGCTCGCTCACTTGCTCTTACTCTCTCTCAAATAAATGAAATCTTTTTTTTAAAGATTTTATTTATTTATTTGACAGATTACAAATAGGCAAGAGGAAGCGGGCTCTCCGCGGAGCAGAGAGCCCGATGTGGGGCTCAATCCTAGGACCCTGGGATCATGACCTGAGCCGAAAGCAGAGGCTTTAACCCACTGAGCCACCCAGGCGCCCCAAATGAAATCATTTTTTAAAAAACCCAAAAAACCCAGCTGTGATCAGCCTCTGCCCAGGGGCGCTCCGTGTGTGTACGACCCTTGAGTAACACGTCAGTGCAGCAGAGGGCGCTCTTCCATGATTCATGGGATGGAGCTCTTTCCCCACCCCGTCGTTACTAACGCTGAGAAAGCTACGAATGGCACACCTGCTCCTGTGGCCCTTGCTGTCTGTTTCTCGGTGCGTGGGAATATCTTGCCTTTCCATCTTCCATCCTGCACCCCCTGGACCTTCCCAGACCCTCACTTTTACATTCCGCTTGCTTCCTCCATTTCCATAGCAACAGAATCAACCTTTCACTCTGCAAATACAGATAATGAAGATCTACCGTGACTGGTAAACTCTTTGGGTATTTCTCTTGTGTTTTCTAACAGCATGTTGAATGTAGCAGGTGGAAGGGTGGTTCCTCGGTGTTCTCCCGGGGGCGCCGTAGGCCTGGTGACCTGGTTGCAGCCCCAGGGAAAGCGCCTGCTGACGAAGGAGCAACCGCTCTCCGGAGGGAGCTGGGTAACTGCGCCCCTGCTAACCGTCTCTGCTCACCATGCTTTCAGCTGAGTGACTGCTTCCGGGGAGTGGTGTTTGACAGCCTCGAGACCCTCTTCGCTCGGAACATGGCCGTGGCTCTCCTCTGCCTTCTGAAGGCCATCGGCTGCCGGGACCACATCTATGTTATCAACATGGCCCAGGATTACACAGCCATGAAGGCCCAGGAGAAAGCCAAAAAGGAGCAAGAAGGTAAAGTCCCATGCCCTCCTGGGCTGTCCCTCTGGCAGAGCCAGGGGCTGTGTGAAATGCTTCTCCACCAGGCTGACCCACCGGGAATATTCCATTCGCCGTGTCTCCCCTCCGTCCTGTAAGGCACCTGACAGACACAGGTGACCTGTTGAGAGACGACAGGCTGAGGGATGAACCCAGCTGGCTCTTCTCATAATAGTCACATTCCCCTTTCCCCCGATATTACAGTGTGTCCCTTCATCTTCTCTATAATCACAGTCAACCTAAGGGGACCCCATCACCGTAAGGTCCCATCCTAACTCAGGTGATTCATTAGCTGCTTGCTTTTGCTTAAGACAGCTGTGCACTTCTTGCCAAGCTGGAGGTGCTGAGAAACCTCACAAGCCCATTTCTGCATCTTAGCGGGCTCTGTCCAGACATCGCAGCAAACACTCTGTACATTTGAAATGCCTAGGCATGGCACCTGGAGTTATTTGATCCTCTCAATGACTCTCTGAAGATCATTGTCCCCCCCTTTACAGATGAGGAAAATGACTCTTGGCTTTGGCTCAGGTCATGATCTCAGGGCCATGGGATTGAGCCCTGAGTCGGGTTCCGCGCTCAGTGGGAGTCTACTTAAGATTCTCTCTCTTCCTCTCCCTCTGCTCTCTCTCCCCACTCATGCTTGCTCTCTCTCCCTCTCTCAAATAAATAAATAAATTTAAAAAAAAAAAGATCACACAGCAAATTAGTAAGGTCTGTGTAACTCTGAAACCTTTGTATTTTCTGTCGCTACAACAGTGACTTGAAAAATTTTTCAGTGACTAAAAAATAGATATACACACATACACAGTAAGGTCAGCTTGAGTTCCTGCTGTAGTCAGAAGCAGTCGTAACAAATTTTGGTCCCCAGGGGAGGAAGCCATGCTGTCCCTGGGAGGCAGAGTTCTGCTCTGGCCTCAGCACTGGTCACATCACAGCCCTTCCTTACTTGGCCTTACCTCTGTCTTCTGGGAAAATCTACACAAATTGTAATGCTTTTCCATTAAGGGAAATAATTACAAACATGAGGTCTCTTAGCTCTTAAACAGAGTTCAAAGACTGCTTCCTTACATTCTCATCCAGAGAAAAATTAGGAAGAATGACCAGGCATCCCCAGCAGTGTTCCAATCTCCAGCTTCCTGGTTTTTCAGAAAGCTCATTTCCAACTTAAAAGAAAATATCTCTTTCATTTTCTCAATTACCTGCGGATTGAAGTTTTTCGCAGTTGCATTATGGGCTCCTCTCCCTTTGAAGATTCCTCTGCCTTTGAAGAAGTCCTGAGACAGCATCCAGTAACAATAATATTGTATTAAAATCTAATTTTTACTGAACATTTATGAATCTGCCAGGCACTAGCCTAAACGCTTTACAGGATTACTTATTTGATCCCCACCACAGCCCGGGAAAGAGAAATCATTATTCTCATCTGTTTCTATCCCTTGGTGAATGTCAGAGAAAGATCTCCAGACACATCTCTCTGAGCCCAAAGCTCAAACCCGGAAGAACAGAAGGTGGGAAGTTGTGCTGGTGAAGTGTGAAAAAGAGGCCGAGAGCCTTCATGCTGGGAGCGAGCCTCGCTTTTGGACCTGGAGTCTGAAGGGTGTGGGAGATGGTGCCCCTTTGTCTGCAAATGGCTTTGTCACCCTGAGGACTCTGGTGGCACATGTTCTTCATGGATAAAGTCAGCAGGTGGCCTGTTCCTTTCCTATCGCTGCAGTGGCAACTTACCACAAACCTGGTGACTTCCAACGCACACAGTTTACTGTCTTGCAATTCTGGAAGTCAGGAGTCCTAAAAGCGGGGTATCGGCAGGGCTCCGTTTCTTTGAAGGCTTCAGGGAGAGAATCTTTTCCCTTGCCTTTTTGAGCTTCCAGAGGCCACCAGCCTTCCTCAGCTCACGGTCCCTACTTCACAGCCTTCTGACCTCTGCCTCCATCATCTCCTTCTCTGACTCTGACCCTCCTGTCTCCCTCTTACAAGGACTTTTGTGGTTATACTGGGCCCACCCAGACAATCTAGGACCGTCTCCCCAGTTCAGGGTCCTCAGCATAACCACATCTGCAAAATCCTCTCTGCCATGCCAGGTCCCACAGTCACCCTTCTGGGGACTGGGATATCTCTGGAACTGCTATTCCAGATGGGTACCAGGTTTGGAGCCGTGTGAGTGAAGCAAGGCCCGCCAGAGATCAGGCACATCGCCCCGGGGCCAGCCCCCTTCCCCTGGTGGGGACCCCTCTGTAGCCTGTGTGGGCTGGGAGCGAAGCCACCAGGGCACCCCACAGCCAAGGCTGGGGACTTACCATCCCTCCCCTTCCTGTCTTTGTTCCCTCCACAGAGCGCAAACACAGGGAGGCACTTGAGAAAGAGAAGGAGCGTCTCCAAAATATTGATGAGGATGAATATGACGCCATGACAGAGGAGGAGAAGATCGTGTTCAATCGAGAGGTTCAGCAGGCCCTCCGCGAGAGGAAAAAGAGGTCAGAATCAAGGGCCAGGCAGGGCGGAAGTGGTTCTCCTGGGAGTGACACACAGCCTGTCCTGAAGGCTGGGGTCACCTTCCAGGGGAGCAGCCATGACCAAGGGAGACCCCGGAGGATGGCCTGCTAAGAGCAGGAAAACACGTTGCCCATCGAGGGTGTTGGTTGCGGCAGCCTTTCTGGGTTTCTCTCATTCCCTCCTTCCTTCTCTCTGGAGGGCATCTGACTAGGGGGAGGTTATATGACGGAATGGAGGGTACTTCTGGCCCCTGTGCTGTCCTGGGGCTCTCCCTAGTTTCCCCTGACACCTGTCCCCTAGGTCCAGCTCATCAATCAGCCTCTGTGCTCAGTTGTCCGCAGCTGGTGACCGAGAAGCCACTCTCTTGACATGAGCTGAATGGTTATCCCCCAGAACTCAGCCATTTCTCCTTCCCCAACCACCATCGTGACCTTTCGTGGTGTTATCCGTCCCCTGAGTTCTGGCTGCCTCTCCCACTTGATCCTCAGCCTGGGTTTTGCCAGAGACCCTGGGCAGGTTCTCAGCCACTCTCTGTGCCCATCGCTGGGGACCACACAGGAGTGACTGGATCCCCTCCATACCACCTGGGGCCCAGGAGACTCAAGCTATCTCAGCGACAGGTTAGGCGAAGGATAAATGTCCTTATCTGCCTTCAGACCTTCAAACATGCCAGGGAGAGAGGGCGGATTTCTTATCTTCCATAGAATTCCAAACATTGGAAGGGGCAGACCCAAGATAATTGCCCTTCTATTTAACCTCCTTCTCTCTTCTTCCTCTACTTCCAGGTTACTCCCACTGACCCCCAAAGAGCTTTTATGTCCTCTCTGCCCCCACAGTGTGCCCTCATTTCTTCATCTGGATGGTCCCTTGTAAAGATGCCTGGTTTTCCAGGGGTATAAAAAGCCTGGCTTTGGGATTCCAAAGGAAAATCTTTTCTTTCTCGTCCAGGTCATTGCTTTCAGGAATTCATTTCAGGGTGCACTTAGAAAATGGAAATCTGATCCTCAAAGCTCAGCAATGATTTGTTTGTCACACACACACACACATGCGCGCGCGTAATGAAGATTTGGCTTCAGTGGGTAGACAGTCACAGCAACCAGGACCAGCCAGGGATTCCTAGAGATGGAGACAGAGGGGTTTTGTATTTTCGGAAATGCTGTCCTCTCCACACTTGTTTGTACTTGGTGCCCTCTTTGTCATTGGCAGCAGGACAGGTACAGCTGAGTCCATAGCAGGGAGGCGGGAGAGAGAGAGAGAGAGAGAGAGAGAAGAGGAATGCAGCTTTCAGATCCAGCACCATGACCCTAAGCTAGCCATTAGGGACTGCTATTTAAAATACAATTTCTTGGGACGCCTGGGTGGCTCCGTTGGTTAGGCGGCTGCCTTCGGCTCGGGTCATGATCCCAGCGTCCTGGGATCGAGTCCCACATCGGGCTCCTTGCTCATCGGGGAGCCTGCTTCTCCCTCTGCCTCTGCCTGCCATTCTGTCTGCCTGTGCTCGCTCTCTCTCCCTCTCTGACAAATAAATAAATAAAATCTTTAAAAAAAAAAATACAATTTCTTGTCTGAACATCGGACATGACAGTGTCAGAAGCTGGGCCTCATCTGAATTGCTTATTTATTCATTTTAGCGAGAGAGAGAGAAAGAGAAAGCGCGCACAAAAGCAGGGAGAAAGGCAGAGGGAGAGGGAGAGAGAGAGAATCTCCAGCAGACACCCCCGCGCCCCCCGCCGCCCTGCTGAGCACGCAGCCTGACACGGGGCTCGACCCAGGGCTCAGTTCCACGACTCTGAGACCCTGACCTGAGCTGAAATCAAGAGTAGGACCTTTGGGGCACCTGGGTGGCTCAGTGGGTTAAGCCTCTGCCTTCGGCAATAGGTCATGATCTCAGGGTTCTGGGATCGAGCCCCGCATCAGGCTCTCTGCTCAGCGGGGAGCCTGCTTCCTCCTCTCTCTCTCTCTGCCTGCCTCTCTGCCTACTGTGATCTCTCTGTGTCAAATAAATAAATAAATTCTTTAAAAAAAAAAAAAAAGAGTAGGACCTTTACCTGACTTCACCCCTCCAGGTGCCCCTGAAAGTTACTTTTTAAAAACTGTTAACATCAAGCTTATTTTTAGCCCTGGCTTTGTTCTCTTATGAAAGAAGATTGGAATAGAAATACAGACTGAGAATTCCTCTTCGTTGAGTTGGGGGGAGTTCATCAGTTTTGCTGAATGACCGTTCAGAGACCCTCCTTTCTTTCCTTCTTTCCTCCCCCTCCCTTCCTCCTTCCTTCCTTCCTTCCCATTTACACAGATTTCTTTTGTTCGTTCTTTTTATGCCCAAGAAAACTCTTCCCTGGTCCATCCATCCAGACCCTCCCAGGCAGAGGAGGGGCTCGGGGCCGGAGGGGCTCTGAACTCTGTTTTCTCCGCCTGGTTTGATGAAGGGAGCTGGAGAGGCTGGCACGGGAGATGCAGGAAAAGAAGCTGCAGCAGGAGCTTGAGCGGCAAAGGGAAGAAGATGAACTGAAACGGAAGGTCAAAAAGCCAAAGCAATTACCAGTGAAGGAGGAACCTCCCGCGAAGAAATCTCAAACCAGCCGGCAGGTAGCAACCCTCACTCGCTCCTCAGCAAGAGGCAGAGCAGAGGGAGCGGTCACTGTAACTAGCCCCTCGAGCCAGCACATGTCCCTTCCACAAAACTGACCTGATACCGTTCGGGTCTCGTGGTGGAGCAGAAGGTGGGAGGGAAGGGGCCGACATTTGCTGAGAGCTGATTGTGGGCCAAGAGCTCGGCCTGCACTTTATTTGGCCCCCCTCCCACCCTCTGGGGTTCAGAGACATGAGCCCCACCCCAAGAGAGTTCCGGGACCCCACCCGGTTACATCTGACCACAGTCCTTGCTCTTTCCACTGTCCCCCCAAGTCCCCTAGATGCTGCTGAACAGGCTGCCTTAACAGCTGGCCTCCAGTAAGCCGCAAAGCCTGGGGAGCCCCTGTGTTCAACCAAGAGCTTATCTTGACCACAGTCTAGGGAGCCACTATCAGATTGGCCTTGCAGACCTGTGGCGCTGGTTTATCCACCTGCCAAGCTTAGCAGTCACGCATCTTACCAACGATGGAAAAAGAGAGGGTCGTGGCCAAGCCCCCTCCCTCCTCGGTGAGCAAACGCTCTAGGAGACAGCTGTGCCACGACCAACCGGTCCCCACTCTCCAGGCTGTGTTAGAGATTCAGACAGATATGGAGAAGGAGGGGTACAGTGAGGCCAGGGGACAGCCAGCCCTGGCCAGGTCTGCCTCCAAGCCCGTCCTTAGGAGAGTGCCGTCACCTGGAACGAGGACTCTGGGCTGTCCTGCCAGCTATCATCATTAGACTCGACTCGACTTTATGTCACCAAAGAATGAGCAGAAACCTGTGGAGCCTCCCCAAGGATTTCATCCAGGGGAGAAGAAAATCAGAGCCCACAAAGCAAGTTTAAAAAGAGAAAAAGAATCAAGTTGGTTTCTCTTTGCCAGGTTACGTGAATAAATACATATTTTTTTAAAAGCCTTGGGCACAGCCAAATTCTAAACTTCCGTTGGTTGCCAACAAAGGGCCATAGAGAGGATGTTTTATCAAACACCCCCCAGGTGATCCTCAGAGCCCTGATGTAAGCAGGAGGCACCTGCAATCCTGTGGGGCCTCGGCAGTTTTTTCTCCCTTAAAGAACTGTTTTAAGCATTTTTTAAAAGATTTTATTTATTTATGTGACAGAGATCACAAATAGGCAGAGAGGCAGGCGGGGGGGGGGGGGCAGTGGGGAAGCAGGCTCCCTGCTGAGCAGAGAGCCCGACGTGGGGCTCAATCCCAGGACCCCGGGGACCATGACCTGAGCCGAAGGCAGAGGCCCCAACCCACTGAGCCACCCAGGCGCCCCATGTTTTAAGCATGTTTTATGTGTTTTGCTTTCTAGATTCTTACTTTTTCCAAACTAGAGGTCAAGACGGATGCACTGGAAAGGAAAACATCTGTTAGGGAACATTTAAATGAGAAGGATGATCTAAGCAAGAAGAAGAAGAACCAGCTAGGAGACATCCACCTGCTCGGGCTCCCCCTGGTGCAGGAGCAAGAAGACAGTGAGGGGGACCTCCTGAAGGATGCTGACAGGCACCTGGCCCAGAAGTTTAAGACCTACGAGTTGACTCTGAAGGATATTCAAAACATCCTCATGAACTGGGACCGGAAGCAAGGCATTCTGCTGCATCACGCTGGCGCCGAGGACATGACCCACGAGCCTGACGACCAGCGCCAGGTCCCTTCAGGCGGGCGCCGAGGCCGCAAGGACCGAGAGAGGGAGCGCGCAGAGAAGGAGAGAGCGGAGAAGGAGCGCCAGGAACGGGAGAAGGCCGAGAAGGAGCGTCTGGAGAAGCTCCGGGCCCTGGAGGAGCGAAGCGATGGCGGAGAGGGGGAAGGAGGGGAGGAGGACCACCACGAGGGGAAGAAGGACCTGGGTGTCCCATTCATAACCATCCAGACGCCCGACTTCGAAGGCGTGAGCTGGAGGCAGGCCATGGAGAATGACAGGCTTCCCAAAGGGGATCAGGTACAGACTCTTCTCTGGGATGGAGACGTGATCAATCCGGGAGTGGGTACTGTGCTACTCGCCACTAAAGTGTTCCTTTCTGTACTCCCTTAATTCCATTCATCTCTGAGGTCCCCTTGGATATGAGACAACAGTGGCTAAAAGGACCTTTTTCTAGTTAGTGAAAACACATGGGAATTTCCACAGATCTAAATGACTCCATCTAACCTCATAAAAAACTGCCTATAGAGTTTTGGGGGGTTTTTATTTTGTTTTTATTTAAATTCTAGTTAGCTAACGTATACTGTAATGCTGGTTTCAGGAGTAGAATTTAGGGATTCATTCAGTTACATATGATACCTAGTGCTCATCCCAACAAGTACCCTCCTCAATGCCCAGCACCCCTCCAGCCTACCCCCCACCCACCTCCCCCCAGCAAGCCTATTTGTTCTCTATCATCAAAAGTCTCGTATGATTTGCTTCCCTCTCTTTTTTTTTCCTTCCCTTATGTTTATTTGCTTGTTTTTTAAATTCTACATATGAGTGAGGTCATATGGTCTTTGCCTTTCTCTGGCTGACTTATTTTTTTTTTTTAAGTAGGCTCCATACCTGACGTGGGGCTTGAACTCATGACCCTGAGATCAAGAGTCGCACACTCTAACAACTGAGCCAGCCAGAGAGCCATGCCTCTCTGATCAACTTATTTCACTTAACAATACTCTCTAGCTCTATTCACATCACTGAAAAGGGCAAGATTTCATTCTTTTTGATGGCTCAGTAATATTCCATTATATATATATATATGTGTATATACACACACACACACACACACACACACACATACATACCACCTCTGCTTTCTCCGCTCATCAGTCAATGGACATCAGGGCTCTTCTCCATAATTGGCTCTTGTTGATGCTGCTACTATAAACATTGGGGTACAGGTACCCCTTCAAGTCTGTATTGTAGTATCAGTTGGATAAATATCTAGTAGTGTAAGTGCTGGGTTGTAAGGTAGTTCAACTGTTAACTTTTTGAGGAACCTCCATGCTGTTCTCCAGAGTGGCTGCACCAGCTTGCATTCCCACCAACAGTGGAGGAGGGCTCCCCTTTGTCCACATCCTTGCTGACACCTGCTGTTTCCCGTGTTGTTAGTTTTAGCCATTCTGACAGGTGCGAGGTGGCATCTCATTGTGGTTTTGATGTGCACGTCCCTGATGATGAGTGATGTCCAGCACCTTCTCATGTGTCTGTTGGCCATCTGTGTGTCTTCTTTTTTTTTTTAATATTTTACTTATTTATTTGACAGACAGAGATCACAAGTAGGCAGAGAGGCAGGCAGAGAGAGAGGAGGAAGCAGGCTCCCTGCTGAGCAGAGAGCCCGATACGGGGCTCGATCCCAGGACCCTGAGATCATGACCTGAGCCTTTAACCCACTGAGCCACCCAGGCGCCCCATCTGTGTGTCTTCTTTGGAGAAATGTCTATTCATGTCTTCTGCCTGTTTCTTAACTGGATTATTTGCTTTTAGGGGTATTAAATTTAGTAAGTTCTTCATAGATTTTCAGAGTTGATTTTAAATATTGACAATACTAGTGTTATCTGCTGGCAAGATAGGTGTACTGTGGAAGCAAGAGTCTCAATTACTTGAAAATCTTCTTCCCACAAGCTTCTTTATAGTGACAGAAATCATACTATTAGATGGCTTTTTGTCCCTAGAAAATATTACATTGCCAGAAGCCCCTGGGTGAGGGTTTGGAGGAGATGGTTTTTATAGCATTTTGTCCAGAAATGAGCTTTTTCTGCAAAACACCAGAAAGCAAATATTTCATGCTGCAAGTCCTACAGTTTCTGTCACAACCACCACCATGTAAATCAACGGACACGACTCTATCCCTGTACAACTTAATTTACAAAAGCAGGTAACAGGCCAGATCTGACCTGGGGGCCACAGTTTGCTGATTTTTAGTTTAGTTGATTGGAAACTAGATGCAACCTTAACAAGGAGAGAACAGAGCCTGGGAGGAAGGTTTGGCGGGTGAGAGTTGATGGGAAAACACAGGTAATTCCTCAAAGGGGCGGATCGGGGTGGGACGCGGCCGCACGCGGAGAGTCTCACCGCAGCGGTCTGGGTAGGCCACAGGCTGGAAGACGACTGGGGACACGTGACACCAAACCACTCATCTCGCCGTCCTGCCTCCCTTCAGCCTGAGGGGCGGACTCTTGGCCACTTTTCTCCCCAGAAATATGTTTTTTGAAAAAGAACTTCTCATCTTGATTTATGTTCCAGGACTATAGCCAAGGTTACCTTCTGGCCTATTCTCATTGTCCCCACACCCCAAGCGACAGCTTAGACTGTTGGTTACAGTTCTTTACCCCTGGCTCCATTTAATAATTGGTACAAACTACCCATTCCTTTCCCTCACAGACATTCAAACCCTGGGAGTTAACACTGGCTATGCTTAGGCAGGAAAAGCCTTTGGCGGCCTGACCTGCAGGTCAGAAACCCAGGATTCCACATACACAGCTGCCAGCTCGGCCTAAGTGCCTGCTTGGTCCACAGAACAGACGCTGTGGCGGGCTGTCCAATTTACCGTTGTGACGGTGACTTATGCGGAGATCGCCTGCTTGGGCTGAAGGGTTTCCATGCTGAGATGGGAGCTGCTGCAAAACGTTCAAGCCGCCCGCTCTGGAGGGTGCCCACTCAGTTGAAACAGAGCAGAAGGGGAGAATGCTGGAGGAACGCATTTTCTCTTCGGTTTCTTTTCGACTTCTCTCTTCTTTCCCATCCTTTACCCAATTCCCAGAACCCTGACTTGTTTTCTTTGCCATACTTGACCTGCTCCAACCCTCACTCACTTTCAGCCTCAGAAAGAAAGAACATTTAATGGTAACAGAAAGATTAACATGGGATCTGGAGGTAGATGGACCGACTCTGTACCATTGACATCAGAATCTTAAGAGCTGGTGTCTAAAACATACTGAGTGCCTGCTGTGTGCTCGGCCCTGTGCTGTAATATCGGCCTAGTTTCTGTCCCAGTGGAGTTTACATTAATTTGCAGAGACAGACACAATAAGGGGACTAAGACCATGATAAGAGAAGGATAGGGGGCACGCAGCCCACAGCAAGAGCCCCAGCCTGCTCTTGGGGGCACAGGGGTCGAGAAAGACCTGCAGAGCTGTGTCACGGGCCCTTCACCCTCCTTCCCCGACACATGCCCAGGGCAGTGGCACCTCCCAAGAATGTTAGGAAGAGGCAGGAGAGTCCAAACCTCCCTGTGCTCACTCAGAGGAGCAGCTGGGGACACCCTGCCCTCTGCATCAGAAATTAACCATTGGCTTTTCCTTTAGATCCTGGACGTCTTGGGTCTGGGTTCCTCGGGACCACCCATCCCACCTCCCGCCTTATTCTCAGTCATCTCCTACCCCCTGAAGCGGCTGCCTTTGGCCACAACAGAAATCCTGAAGCATTTCGTGTTTGTGATCTCCCCATCTGAAGAGCTGTCCCTGCTGGAGGAGAAAAGAGAAGGGGAAGCAGAAGCAGAGCTTTCGGGCACCGCAGGCTCTGGGAAGGTAAGGAGCAAGCTAGCCTCTTGTTCTCCTGACTTTGGCAGAACTTCAGATGGGCAGACAAGGAAGATCACCCTCCGCATGGTCAAAAACAGGGTATGGTGTTGGGTGTCACATTCACTGACGTGTTTGCCATTGACTCGTCACATATCCCACCTGGGGACCCCACGTGAGCCTCTCTCAAAATGCCTGATTCTCATCTTCCACCCTTTCTGGTCCCCATGGGATGGTCTAGGAAACTTGTTGAATTGCTCTAAAGCTCATTTGGGAGAAATAATAAGCAAAAGCAGCACTCGCTCACTCTCTCTCTTTTTTCCAAAAGCAGCTCTCTTAAAAAAAGATATTAGAATGTATTGAGAAGCTAAGGTCATTCACACAGTACATGAGAAGACAAGAATCAATAGGGGCGCCTGGGTGGCTCAGTGGGTTAAAGCCTCTGCCTTCGGCTCGGGTCATGATCCCAGGGTCCTGGGATCGAGCCCCACATCGGGCTCTCTGCTCACTAGGGAGCCTGCTTCCCCCTCTGTCTCTGCCTGCCTCTCTGCCTACTTGTGATCTCTGTCTGTCAAATAAATAAATAAAATCTTTTAAAAAAAAAAAGAATAGACACAAGTTAAGGGAACACACAACACTAAGAAAAGAACAGATTTTCAAAGAAGTTATGAGCATGAGATTGGATATTGTGGTAAACTCACTTTTTATCTCTTTGCCTGACACAATAGAGTAAAACTAATTCCAGCTAGATTAAAACTATGAGTAACTGAAATGAAATCACATGTAAGTAGAAGAAAATAGGTATGCAATTAATAGAATAAGTCACAGAAGAAAATAGGTTTGACCAGTAATATGCAGAATGTATGTCTATTAAAAGCTGGAGAAGGGTTATTTATTCCCAGAGAAATATGGTAGCCCCAAATTTGAATCTCTCCACCCAGCTTCCTACAAACCAAGCACATCAGCAAAGAATAATAAAATCACCGGTAGGAAATAAAATCACCAGTAGGTCCCTCCTCAGCCTCAATTTGTTGAAGAGATTGCCTCAAACTTCTATTTAAAAATAAATGGGAAATTATCACCTGAGATCAGCAGCATGAATGGACACGCCCTACTAGAAAAAAGTCCAAATAAAAAAGAAAATGGAAAAGATTGCCCACATCGGAGGTGACGATAACACCCACTTCTTTCCTTAAAATTAGCCATTAACAGAAAAGGGTTAAGCATTCTTGAACTTAACCATTCTAGGAGGAACTCTAATTCATCCCCAGTTGGCAAAGGAAAGCTCTTCATTCTAGAAGAATGGCAGCCAAAACTATAGAAAGAATAGTAAAATTAGAAAAGAAGTAATTAATTAAGGAGCACCAACTGATCTAAAAAGCAGTACTTTGTTGGGAAACAAGATACTACAAGCCAGAACCTCATCCCACAGGGGACTAGCTGGCAGCAAAGGGAAACACCCACATTATGGAGGCCAGGTCTGGCGGGTGCCATTCCAGGGTGAATACAGTGCATCGGTAATCATGGGTTGAGGTGGCTTTTTTTTTTTTTTTTTTTGTCCCTTGTTGTGATGGAGTGTGACATATACAGCACCTTCTCTGAATCTCATCAAACTTTATGCCTAATTTCCAGCTTACAGAAAATACAGGGAATGAAGGAATAAGCGAAATGACGCTTGAGGAATAGTCAGAAAAATTCAGAGTATGGAATATTCTATAGGAATACAGATCTGGTCTGCCCACAAGTCAGTGTGATTGGGAGAGGGCAAGGGGTCTGGAGTAAAGGGTACTAAAAACACATCCCAACAAAACGCAATGCAGGAAACCTCTCTCTGCAGCTTGAAACTTTCTCTGGGCTTCGGCCTCCTCTTCAGGGAATGGGGAGCCCAGGAAAGCACCAGCTCTCCTCTTGGATTCTCCACTGGTGAAGTAGGCTAGGCCCGCCTCTCTGCCCTCAGCAGCTGCCAGCATCCTGAACACGCAGCACACACGTGTTCGAGGCATCTCTGTCTTCCGTTCATGTGTATGTCCATGAGTATTTAAGATCTGTGCTTGTGTTTAATTAAGATCCAGGAGGAGCAGACCACCTCCTCTAAGGGGAGCAGACAGAAACCAAAAGAAAAAGCAGACCAGGCACGAGACACTCAGAAGGACAAACGTCGCATGGCCTTCAACAGGAAGGGCCTCTCTGCGGGAACAGCCGGAGCCATTGCCCCCTTGTCGGACATGGACCAGAACAACTTCGCTGGGCAGTTCTCCCAGGAGAAATTCATCAGGTGGGCCTCTGAGTCACCCAGGGAAGGGAATGTTAGAGCCCCGAATAGAAGGCGTGCCTGTCCTGCCAGCGGGCCCTCCGGATGGCCAGGACTTCTCCCAGGTAGCAGCCCTGTCTGCTCTTAGAGGCCCAAAGGAAGCCTTCTCTCTTTAAAAGGTCTGTGGTCGTTTGCAGGCTGAATCATTTCCGGTGGATCGTGCCAGCCAACGGTGAGGTGACGCTGCGAATACACTTCTCTTCCAACGACCTCGGGAACTTCGACCAGACGTTCAACTTCGAGATCCTTGGAACCCGCCGCCAGTACCAGCTCTATTGCCGAGGTGTCTGCTGTTACCCCTACATTTGCCAAGACCCGAAGTAAGTGTATTTTACCTTAAAAGAGAAAGTTGCTCGAACTGGAACGATACATAGAAGCATGGCCCTTGCACACGGACAACACACAGATTTATGAAGCGTCCCATACGTGTGCACCCCAAGACCCCAGGCTGCCGGGGCTGGACCGTGGGTAGATCCAAGAAGGAATAAATCCGTAGGCCTTGCCTGTTAATAAACAGTATCTACACCTAAAAGAGAGAGAGAGAGAGAGTTGAAAAATATTGAATAAATAAATGAGTGAGTCGACAAACATTTTCTTTTGGCCCCATGGCACTTTAAGCAAGGTAGCTCTTACTGCTAACGTGGAACTGGGGCAGCACCCGGCCCCTCCGGTCATATGGGGCTTCGGTGTTTTGGACATCCATGAAGCCACAGGAATGGCGTGGACCATCAAAGTGAGCTACAGAGAATGTTAATAGGTGCGAAGGCCAGGGAAGCGTCGTCCTCTGGCCAGTTAGTTTGCTTATTTGACAATGAGGCAAACATAAGCAGGTTTTATGTGTACTCTCGGATTTTTTTTTGTCCTGTAATACCACTAAAGGTGTTACTGTCCATGGGGGGACATTTTTCTGAGCTACCAAACACCACTGTACCCCTTATCCATAACATAAAGTCACCCAGCTGGGCAAGCTAGTGGGACAAACCCTGCAGGGCCGAGGCCTTTTATAGCTTATCCACTAAGAGGAGCTTTTTTGCAGTTCTTACTAGGGCCCACACTGAACGAGGAACTCTGAAGCTGGTTAATGTCCACCAGAACTAGTTTTCCACAGAGATTTTCTGGTTGAGCACACTGGCATGGGAAATCTGTCTCAGCTCTACCATCAGCCACTCATTATGAAAGACACCTGGGAATTTTTTCCTCAAGTTCAAGCTCTCATCCCTGGGGATGGTGGAAGGGAGGGAGAAGGAATAAGGGCTCAACTAAGGTCCTCAGATTAAGAATCATTCTGTCTCCAGATACCTGAACCCTTTGCTGAACAGGGAATGTTGGGTTCAGGTCAATATCAAAGGGAGGCATTGAACTTGCACTCAGACAGCCTCTCCTCCTATTTTCCTCCCCTGTGTTCAGAGTGGTATTTCCTCAGCGAAAGCCAGACATGAAGCAAAACGAGGTCATCTTTAAGAAGTATATTATGAACACAGAGAGGTTTTACTTCGGGCCACTGCTTTGCGGAAAATCAAGAGATAAGTACGTGTTCCATTATTTCAAGGCAAATGTCAGACTTCCTGTTGGACTCACGAATGGTACATGCGGGGGTGCTCTGTGGACATAACTTTTACTTTTGCTGCCCCGGTTAGCTCTGAACCACGCGAGAACTGGGCTCTTGCATGCCAAGTTTCTGCTAAGCCACCCAGATGAATGTGGGTGCCATCTTCCCAGATGGAAAAGCCTGGAGTAGGATGAGGTTTTGGTGGGGAAAGAGTAGGACCAAGTGTCTACTTTGGGATATGTTGTTTGAGATGCCTAGGAGATAGAGCTAGTAGCCACACACACCAAGGAATAAGCTCTGCGGTCTGGTTCTCAGGGGACATCCATGGGGTTCAACAACAGAGAGGTCCTAGGAGTCTTAGCAAAGGTCCTTTTGGGGATTTCTGAGGATGAAGCCCGAGCAAAGTGAGTTGAGGAATCAGTGGGAGGTGAGAGAATGGAGACCGAGTGTAAAGGTCGTTCTCTAGAAATCTTGGCCCTGAAGAGGAAGTGCAGGCAGCCAAGGACAAGAGGGGACATGGGATCCAGGAACACTGCTCACACATTGTGGTTCTTACGCTGTTTGGATGCCAAGGGGACACAGGGAGGAGGAGGTAGGCGTTTCCAGAGGAAGTAAGGGCCATTGGTGGTACAGCTCCCTGAGACCACACAAACGGGGTACAGAGATGCTGTTCTTGCCAGGAAGAGGGTACTCCACTGCCCACCAGGAGGAGTGAAGGCGGACAGCTTCAGGTGCAGATGTGGTTGGGCCCGGGAGAAGGTTCCCATGCTACCATCTGTTTTCTCCACAACACATGTTGTGAGGTCATCCCTAACAGGAAGGGAAGCGGAGAGAAGATAAAAATGTTGAGAAAATAGAGAGCAGATGAAACAGTTTTTGTGGAAAGTTGGAGAGGTAGAATAGTAGAGAAACAGAGGAAGGTTGTCGGGCAGAATTGGGGCCCTGGGTGAGGTTGACGGTCACAGGTTTTTAGAGATACCAGTTTTTTTCAGTTATGTACAAACTTCTCACTGTGTAGGCAGGAAGGCATGACCAGAACTGGACCCAGCTCTAAGCACGTCTTAATTCAGTCTGGCATTTATTATGGTAATTAGAGTGTTTGTGTTCATGCTGACTTGGTAGAACTAACAAAGCCTCTTTGTTCTCCAGCCTCCTAATAACTGGAGTTTGGTTCCTGAGAGGCTGGACCAGAAGGCCAAGACGCACAGGGTTGACTGATGCTGGAGTGGATCTTCCTCTAGAAGGGGCCCAGTAGAAGGGCTTCGGAGAGAGAAGAAGGGGGCTCAGGTTGATAAACATGATGGACACTGCAGTCCAGGGTCAAGAGTCAGAGAAATCATTGCTATTCAGAGAGACATGTGTCCTGGCAGCCCTGGAACCGACCAGAACTTGGGGCCAGGCAGCACTGGTCCAGGAGGGGAGGGATTACAGTGGCCCAAAAAACAAGACCCAGTACAACCGGTGTTATTTATTTTCTCAAACCCTGATGAGCCTTAATGTTCTCATCTGCAAAATGGGAAAATAATAGCAGCCGTCCACAGATTTGTGAAACTGAACTGGATAATGAGGACTTAGCACATGGGATTTAGCACAGTAAAGGCCACCACCCCTTTGGTAGTGCCACAGAGAGCACTCTGCCTCTCTGACCCTGATTTGCTCTCTACCGTTTACTGTCCTTCCTTCCTCCATCACCGCATATCCAAAAAGCTTTTCAGACTGTCCCTGGGCACCAGTGGGCACTACGGTGCCTTTGCTCTGCTCTCTGATAATGTGCATCTTCACCAGCATTCCTTGTACTTTCTGTGGTTCCTTTTCATTACCATTAACTGAGCAGCTTCTAATGCCCACAGTGCTCACCTCTATGGCTCTTTCCCCAAGTCACAAGGGAACAGAAACAGCCTTGCAACAGTGAACCACACCAAACGAATCCATGTCAAAACAGCAATGTCTTGTACAGGTCTAGGAGAAGGAGGTAAATGTGATCATCTCTAAGGCAGATGGGAAAGAACAAGCTGCTCTCAAAGGATTATATGTCCTGGGAATATAAGCCCTGGGAGGGATAGAGCCTCATGTTTCTCAGAATTCTTTGCAATAATGGAGCACCTGGCTGGCTCTGTTGATAGAGCATGCGACTCTTGATCTCAGGGTCATGAGTTCGAGCCCCACGTTGGGTATAGAGATTACTTAATAAATAAACTTTTTAAAAAAAGAATACTTTGCAATAATAGCTACCATCTGGGCCATTTGATATCTGTAGCTGTCCTGAAGAGCATTAGGTAGACCATTGCGTGTAATACTCATAGGAGTCATAAGAAGTATTATCATCCCATCTTAGAGATGAGGAGACCAAGGCTTGGCAGGGGTGGGGGAGGGCGGGTCAAGTCCAGCTGCAAGTCTGCACAACTGTGAAGCTTAGCTGCCAGGCCGCTGCCTCAGTGTACCACATTACCCTCTGGCACTGCCGTACGCCCCACAGTTTCCTTTGCCACCTGAACTCCCAGTCCATCCTTACATCCACATCCCTAATCTTTGTTCACTTCCAGGTACAAGTCCTCCTTGTTCCCAGGCAACACAGAGAAGCTGACCATCCTGAACAATTCCCCAATGGTCGTGGAGGCATTCTTCTGTTTTCAGAATGATGTCAAAGCAAACACGTACTTCCTGGAGCCCATCAACATGACTCTGAAACCCAATGAGAAGCAGGTACAGCCACATGGAAACAAGTCCACTGGGGCAAGTCTTTCTTGGGAAATTGGAGGTCGCGGCATTCTTAGCATCAATGTACTGTTTTGATGCTGCCTTTAGATGCTGAATATATGGGCCTACCCTACTGCGGTCGGTGTCTTTGATGACTGCATTGTCTGCTGCATCAAGGAGAACCCAGAGCCAGCTGTCTTCAAGTTAACCTGCCAAGGGGTCCGCCCAGAACTCGAGCTGGACTCCAAACAATTGCATTTTGACCGGCTCTTGTTGCACAGGTCAGAGTTCTGGATGATAACAGGACTGCGATGGGATTTAAAGAACATTTAGTTCTAGGGTGGCCCACTCATCCCGATTTTCTCAGCCCTCTCCTTGTTTTAGCACTGAAAATCCTACATCTGGGGAAACTTCTGGTCCTGTACAAACCAAGATGTTTCGCCCGTGGGGTCCAGGGCCAACCACCCCCCAAAATTAACTGCCAAAATGTGTGCATATTTGCATTTTTCTCAGAAAGAATCACTTTTTCCAAATTCTCTAAGCAGTCCATTGCCCTCAAAGGTTAAGAATCTTTGCTTTAGAAGTTAAAGTACAAGTAAGTGAAACCACATAATAATTGTCTTTCTCTGCTTGACTTATTTCACTCAGCATAATCTCCTCCAGTCCCATCCATGTTGATGGATGGGTACAATCCATACCAAAAGTTGGGTATTCATCCTTTCCGATGGCTGAGTAATATTCCATAGTATATATGGACCACATCTTCTTTATCCATTCCTCTATTGAAGGGCATCTCAGCTCTTTCCACAGTTTGACGATTGTGGACATTGCTGCTATGAACACTGGGGTGCATATAGCCCTTCTTTTCACTACATCTGTATCTTTGGGGTAAATACCCAGTAGTGCAATTGCCAGGTCATAGAATAGCTCTATTTTTAATTTTTTGAGGAATCTCCACACTGTTTTTCAAAGTGGCTGCCCAGCTTGCATTCCCACCAACCGTGTAAGAGGCTTCCCCTTTCTCCACTTACTTGTGGAACATAAGGAATAACATGGAGGACATTAGGAGAAGGAAAGGAAAAGTAAATTGAGGGAAATCGGAGGGGGAGACGAACCATGAGAGACTGTGGACTCCAAGAAACAGGGTTTTAGAGAGGAGGTGGGTAGGGGGGGGAAGGGTGAGCCCAGTGATGGGTGTTAAGGAGGGCACGTATTGCATGGACCACTGGGTGTTGTATGTAAACAATGAATCTTGGAACAGTGCATCAAAAACTAATGCTGTATTTTATGGTGACTAACATAATGCAACAAAAAAAAAATAGATTCTCCTAGAAAAGGAAGGAAGGAAGGAAAGAAAGAAGGAAAGAAGGGAGAAATTAAGGCACAGAGAATACTAGACAAAAACTGGAACTTAACATTTTATCCACTGGCATTATATTATTCTAAATAGAGAATGTTTATTTCTGGGGCTACTAGTAGAGACTATAATGATATGTATCCTGCATTCCTTCATCACTACTGCAAGGCCCTGTCCCCTGGTGAACTCCAGTTAGTGAGCTAAGCAATGACTAAAGTAACCAGAAGGGCATTTTTGGACCTGCCTGAATAAATCAGAACCATTTGAGATTGACAAACTCCTTTTGGTCTCTGCAGGAAAGAATGCAAGGTAATTCTTCTCCGCAACGTCACACCCCTGCCGGTGACCTGGCGGATCACCAGCCTGGATCACCTGGGTGACGACTTCGCCGTGTCCACCATGCAGGGTACCATCCCCAGCAAGGCTGAGTACAGCCTGCAGGTGTACTTCCAGCCCTCCAAGCCTGTCAACATCAAGAAGGTGATCCGGTTGGAGGTGAGGTGTTGCACATCTCCAGACTTGGCCATCAGAATGTGTACATCCTGGGTTCTCTGACAAGCACACACTCACAGACACACACGGAGCCATGTCTCTGTGTTACACGCTCCTTACTGATCCCCGTTTGACAACCACTGACCCACAGTGTCTTGCTCTGCACCCAACTGTAAGCTCCGTGGAGGCAGGCTTGTTCATGGCTGATTGCCCGCTGCACAAACAGCGCGCTCACTCCGCGCAGACGGAGTGAAGGGGTGGGGAATGGTGTTACTATCTCAAAGTAAGCCTGAGACTCCCGATTCCTCACTCCAAAACCCTCTCACGGCTCAGACCACACACCTATCTCGGTACCATCACATTTCGCCCAGGTGCTCCCAGCAGACACCCAGGAACCATCTTGGAGTCCCTCCTTCCCCTAACAGCCTGCCCTCCAGCTGCCTCCCAGCCTATCTCCCTCCCACCCTCTCCTCTGCCCACACTGCCACCGCCCTCTCCCAGGCCACCCATGGCACGTCTCTTGCCTGTATTTGGGCCCGATTCCCGCTGCGGGTCAGTCAGGTCAAGCCCCTTTCCTCCCCGCAGCAGCCTGCTGGCTCCAGCCGCAGTGAAGACGGAGCCCAGGGTCTCCACGGGCTTCTCAGGCCCTTCCCGCCTCAGTCCCTACCCTAGCTTTCACACCTCAGCTCTGTCACTTGGTCTCTTGGCTTTTTCCTGCCTCAGGCCCTTGGCCTTGCCACAACCCTGCCAAGAATGTTGCCCCTAGGCCCTGCGGCTCTACTGAACAACACTGCTCCAACTGGGTTCCGCTAATCACCCCACAGAAGAAATCCCCTTATGTGCCGTCCCTCACCCTGCCTTCTGTCCTCCGGAGCGCCTCCCCCTGGCGGATGTCCTGTTTCTTTCTTTACTTTCTCTTGTGAACTCCATCAGGACAAGGTCTTGCCTGACTTGCTTATCATCTGTTTTCATTCCCAAGAGCTGATGTAACAAATGCCCACAAACCACCACAAACTAAGTGGCTTTAAACAACACACATTTATTCTCTTACAATTCTGGAAGCCAAAAATCTGAAATTGAGGTATCTGCAGGGTCACATTTCCTCTGAAGCCTCTAGGGAAAAACCTTCCTCGACTTTTCCAGCTTCTGGTGGCTCCAGTTCTTGGGCTCATGGCTGCGTCACTCCATCCTCTGCCTCTGTCTTCATATGGCCTTCTTTGCCTGTGTCCTCTCCTCTTCTGTCTTTTGTAAGGACATTTGTCATTGGGTTTAGGGCCCACCAGATAAACCAGGATGATCTCACCTTGAGATCTTTAATTTAATTACATCTGCAAAGACTTTTTCCAAATAAAGTCACATTCACGGGTTCTAGGGGTTAAGACATGGCCGCCATTCAGTCCGCTGCCCCGTCAGATCCCCAACGTCTAGCACAGGCCTGAACGTAGAAGTTACTCAGGAGAATCTAAGATGAACGAACAAACGAATGAATGAATGAATGTATGTCATTGACTTTTGATGCTTGTTGCATCGATTCTGCAACAATGAAGGGATTATCCAAGCTTCTCTTTGAATACTTGCAGGGATAGAAAACTTACTCTCAAAGCAGCGTGATCTTCCTTTGAACAGGTCTATTAATTCTTCCTTGGGCTGGGTTCAGATTTCCAACTGTGACTTCCATGAATTAATCCTGTTTCTAACTTTTGGGTCCACTCAATAGATCCAAGCTCTCTTGTCACCTACCTATGACAGTCCTTAAGGTAGCTGAACACAGATACTTAGAGATTCATTTAATCAACAATTGGTTTTGAGTATCAGAGGGTGGTGGTCAACATTTTAAACACCAGTCTCTACACACACAGGGTCTCTACACAATGACCCAGGCCGCATGGCTGGTGTAGGGTCCCAGCTTTGTCTGCTTCATCCTTCTGTTGGGTCATGGAGCCTCCAGGGGTTCCTGTGTGGGGGTGTGGAGGAGGCAGGCAAGATGGGATACTGGGAGAGGTCATGTGACAGATGTTTACCAGCTGGTATGGAAACATTTCTTTATTTTAGGGATGATATGGCATCCCTGTGTGTTCCAGTCAAAGCAGACACAGTGGGTTTCCCCTCAGGCTCCTTAAAGTTGTCTAAGGTTTCTCTTCCCCAGATTCCTTCAACATCTACATGAGGAAATGCTTTGCTTTCTGGTCCCCTTGGAAAGTGCTCTGGTGAACTCATTTTATTTTATTTGTGTACCTCTTAAATTGTTCATCCTATTTCCCTTAGTTACAAAATTTAACCTCTACCCTCTACTCCAATAAGAAAGCAAAGGAAATAGAATGTTCTAGGTGCATGGCATCTATCAGGAGAAAGGTACTGTGTAAATTTTGGAAATGGTAATCCAGATTGTTTGTCTTGTTTTGCCCTCCTGCTGCCAGTCCTTTTGGTCATCTCTGTCAGAGGCTGAGCAGCAAAATAAGGTAAAAAGTGCGTCCAATTTGCTCTGTGGAACGTTGGCAAAATGCTCAATGAAAGAAAAGATGGAAATTCTGAATTAAAACTTGAGTTTGGTGACAGCTACCAATTTCCCACTTGACACCAAGCACAAGTCATGCAGAGCTGGTGACTTTATTTCTCAACTTGAGGCACCACCGGAAAGGCAGGGGTATCCAGGAGAGCTACCCCCCATGGCCAACGGCTCTTCCCCTTGATGAATGGACAGTTTATCACCCTCTTGTTTGTCTCAGGAGTTAAAAGTAGGGTCCAGCTGACAGCTGACAGCAGTTCAGGTGCTCCTCGGGACAGGGAGGGAGGGGACAGTGAGCAACTGGGGGATGGAGGCAGGCTTGCTTTTTTTTTTTTTTTTTTTACACTTCTAACTTGAATAGTAAAGGTGTTCACTTAAATAAAACATTTGAAATTTCCTGGAGAGAAACACTAAACACTTATTTTATATGAAAATCTAGTGCTTTTTCCATAGGTTGAACCAGAAACAAACAGAAGAATTCGGATTTATAAAATCAGTAAAGCAAGGGTGATTGACAACGTGCAAGTTTTCTGTTTCAACGGGCAGAAAAATGCTCTTCGGGTTTATTGTATTTAGAAGTTCCAAAGAACACTTTGCTTTGTATGTATACTCACAGCCCCCAACTTCAACAATGCAGTGAAAATCACGCAAAAAACCTCATAAGTGGACAAGATGAAAAATGCAGTCGCTTTTCCCCATTCTTATATTGATTGTCTACACTGGCGTTTCCCAAAGGATGTTATGAGAACACCAGTCATACCAAATGGTCACTGAAGACAAAAGCTAAATACATCTTTAAAATATTCTCTACCACATCTCCTGCTTCATCATTTCTGCTGCGTGGCACGTAGTTCCAGCTCCAAGTCCCCCATGGATCTTGCTTTTACTGAAGAATCCCTTTTACCCTAACAGGTTTTAGATGCAGAAAATCTTGTTGGAGTGGTTCAGATTGAAAACATCTTGGTCTTTGCAGAGTCTTACGACGTCGCCTTGGACATCACCTTCCCCAAAGGTCTGTTGACCCCTTCAGGGAAAGGGTATTTAGAAGTTACGTCTTTGAGTGCAATGTATTTCTTATGTAGAGGAAGACTAATGGTTGTTGGGGAGGGCGTGGAATTTGAGCAAATAGTGATGCAAGCCCTAGAGTAATGTCAGCAACATGACTACGAATCTTAGTTTTCTCCAGCTAGAGATGACAAGGGGTGGCAATAATCACAAAGTTGGCAGAGCTCTTTTCCTACCTGCATTAGTCTTCCATCACTGCTGTAACAAATTGCCACAAATTGTGGCTCGTAATAATACAGATTTATCATCTTACAGTTCCACGGGTCAGAAGTCCAAAACTGATCTAACTGGGCTAACATCAAGATATTGGCAGAGCCACGTTCCTTTCTGGAACTCTGGAGGAGAATCCATTTCTTCACCTTTTCTAGCTTCTAGAAGCTACCTACATCCTTGGCTCATGGTCCTTTTTTCTCCATCTTCAAAGCCAACATCGTTGGGTCAGGTCCTTCTCACACCATCATCTCTCTTGTTCTCCACTTCTATTTCCCTCTTCTACTTGTGTAATGATTACAGTGGGCCCACCCGGAGAATCCAGGATACTCTTTCTATTTTAAAGTCAGATGATAGATAGAGTCAGCTGATGAGCAACCTTAATTCCATCCATCATCCCCCCTTTACCATAGGACCAAGCAGATTCACAGGTTCATATGCATATTTACAGCATATTCATGGGGATAAGGACACGGACACCTTCTGAGGGCACAGAGCATTATTCTGCCCACTGCACTGCCTTCACACCCAGGTTAGACCCTCCCTGTTGGCATGCAGTTTTCCATTATTCTTGCTTCTTCTGCTTGCCCTCCTTCTCAGCAAGATTCAGAGAACATGAAAGCTGCCTGTTTGCCTAGATGTCATGAGTCTTATGTACAAGGATATTTATTGCAGCATTATTTGTACTAATGGAAGATTAGAAAAAACCTAAATATCTATTAAGAATGAAACGCTTTTGGGGCACGTGGGTGGCTCAGTGAGTTAAGCCTCTGCCTTTGGCTCAGGTCATGATCTCGGGGTCTTAGGATTGAGTCCCGCATCGGGCTCTCTGCTCAGCAGGGAGCCTGCTTCCCTCTCTCTCTCTCTCTCTCTCTGCCTGCTGCTCTGCCTACTTGTGATCTCTCTCCCTCTGACAAATAAATAAATAAAATCTTTTTAAAAATGAATGGAGGGGGTAAGAGAAGAATAAATGAAACAAGATGGGATTGGGAGGGAGACAAACCATAAGTGACTCTTAATCTCACAAAACAAACTGAGGGTTGCTGGGGGGAGGGGGGTTGGGATAAGGGGGGTGGGGTTATGGACATCGGGGAGGGTATGTGCTATGGTGAATGCTGTGAAGTGTGTAAACCTGGAGATTCACAGACCTGTACCCCTGGGGATAAAAATATATTATGTTTACAAAAAATAAAAATTAAACAAAATGAATGGAGCACTATTGCCATAAAAATAATACTGTAAATTATAGAACAGCATATCATGGTGTATTATATGACCATTAAGATCACATTTACAAGGAGTTTTTAATTATGTGGGAAAATGCTTATGAGGCAGTGCTAAGTAAAACAATACAAGTTTATATGAATTATTCTAACTATGTTTACTATATTCTTGATGAAATATTTTTTAGCTACTAGAAGTTTTAACTAATGGAAAGCATGAAGGGAAGGACAGCGGTCCTAAGATGGAGGGAGCTAAAGTAGGTGCCAAAGCAGAGTCCATCGTTTGTTTGCTGAGACTCAGTTATGGGCAGTTTTCTCAGCTGCAGTGTTTTCAGAAAATAAATTTTCTGAGCTTGACACCATGGATTTTCCATGGGAACTTCAACAGGAAGTTCCTCTGCTTCTGATTCCCACACCATCTAATCCTCCTCCCCACCCTGGTCGCTGGTCTCTGCAGGAGCTGAAGGAGGCCTTGACTTTGGGATCGTGAAGGTCATGGAAGAGGTGAAGCAGCCCCTCCAGCTGAAGAATCGTGGGAAGTATGAGATCATGTTCAGGTAACCTGGAATCCATCAGGCATATGTGGAGGTCATCCACCTCCACTCATGGGGAGGAAGTGCTGTCTGGGAGATAAAAACAGAAACCTGACTGAGGAAATCATAAGAACCATCTCTGTTTGTAGCCTCTCTCAGGCTTCAAATGAATGAAATTCCAACTGCTAAGAGCAGAGGTTTTCACGCTGCTCTCAACCCTGTGGCTTTACAGGGACCCTTGAAGTCCCTCTCAAAGCACCCGGAGCCACAGGGCCCTGGGGGTGGGAGAGAGACTCTGAGGGAGAGGTTGGGAAGAAGACATGCTAGGTGAGGGGAGATCCGGGGATTGGAGGGAGAGACTGGAGGTGGAGACCTGGCCTTCAGCTGGCCTGTCCTCCTCTTGGCTCCAATCTGTTTCATAAGTTGACATTCCATGCAAGATTTCATATGAAAAGAGGGCTTTTTCCAATTTTCTTTTTTTAGTTTTGAGAACCACTGTGTTATAGAACCCAAATGGTGGCCTGGCGGAGTGGAGCTCCAGCTTGTGCTCATTTCTCAGGATGAGAAATGAAGGACTAAATAAGAGATTTCTCAGAGAGGAAAGCGTGGTGCTGGGTGGGGGGAGGGAGGAGGTCACTCAGGTAGGGCCACACAACCCTTGGGGGCAATGCCAGCAGCCATGGCCAATCTGTTCTATGGAAGATGATCCTTCTCCTGGAAGAATTTGCGGTTGATAAAGGGACTTCCCCTCACAGACTTAGAAGAAATTCTGTGCATTCACCTTAGCTTCACTTCAGCTGAAAGAAGGCTGAAATGGGAGAAGTCCCACCTCAGGGCTACCATTCCTAGACCCATGCATTGAAATAGATAACTATAAATAGAAGCTTAACAAACCTAGAAGAAAACCACTGACCCCTTGGAATTAGCGCTGAGTGGGATCCTGCTGGCTTCTGAGTTTTGTTGTAGGTTATCACAGAACGTTAGTTCTGCTCTTCTAGATTACATGGACCAGTCACCCTCGGGATGGAGCAGGTGATCAAAATTCATAGAAAGAATTTGCGGGAAAGTGAGGAAGCTCAGGCACCAAGCATGCAGCCATGGTGTGGCCATGTCTCCTGGAGCGTGGGGGTGACATTTAGGTCCCCAAAGAAACCCCAGGTGTCCCACCTCCGCTTGAGTTCCTTGCTCCTGTTGCAGTCCCTCTGCCATTCTCATGAGTCAGTTGCTCTCTGTGGCTTCCCACCTCGTTCCCACTAGGCCATGGCCTCCCTTTCCACATACCTCTGCTAAATGGCTTCTGCTCCCACTTTCTCTCTGTCTTTAGATCCCCTGGCTTCTGCATCACTGTTCCCTGTGTATGTGCTAATATTCAGTCCTAGAGAGGGGAGGAAGGGAGACAGAGAGAGAAAGGGAGAGAGAGGGGGAGTGATAGACAGACAGAAAGATGAATTCATTTAGTTGGTCCATATCCAGCATCAAGTGTCCCTGTTGGATAGAGATCTCCTGCAAAGGCACCTCTTGACCTCAGGCTAGAGATGGCTATCTTTGCCTCAAGCATCACTCACTGGCCTAGTCAGTCCTGGCTGCAGAGGGGTGCTCATAGAGCACAAAGCACAGTGGGCACTTCCAGACACAGTGCTTAAGCAGACATGGCTGGCACTCAACCGTCTGGAGTCTCCTCTCTAGTATCTTGGGTTCCCCAGAATGATTTCAACTGGCCTTTCATTCTCATCTTTCAGCTTTTCTGTGGACTCCTTGGGGATTTTGGCAACCAATGTAAATTCCATGATCTCTATCCAACCCAAGAAGGGCTCATTAACCTCAGCGGAAAAGCCCACAAATGTCCAGGTGTTATTTCGTGCAAAAAAGGAAGTGAAGATTGAACACCAACCAATTCTGCGCTGTCAGGTAAAATAGCTCAAAGGGAGGATTCACTCAGTGACAGGATTGTGGGACTCATGTCAAAATCAATAAATAAAGGCTACCTCGCCTAGCCCATGCTCCAGGGTTTGGTTATGTGGGGGAGTGTGCAAAGTCATCAGCAACCAAGAGTGCCAGACAGGCAATAGAGCCATGATCTTTGGAGAGCTGAGTTCAGACTTCAGGTGCAAGAGAAGAGTGGGGAAGTGAAAGAGGAGGTCAGCTCAGTCCACGTCGATCCATGGCTAATACCTAGTAAGTTTGATAACAGTATTTTCTAATACTGTTGGTGCAATAATATGAAGAAAATGAAAGAAAGAATGAAATTGGCTTCATGGCAGTAACGAAAACAGAGAATGAAGTAGACAGTCCTGGAATTCCTGAAGCATAGTGGCTGACATCTTCCCAATCCTTCCTCTCTTTCTAGATTATTGAACCCAATATCACAGAAGGAGGTGAAACCATTGCCAGCATCCCAATCAAGTTTTCTGTGAATGCGGTGTACTCTAAATACAACATCAGCCCCTCCTCCATCATCAACTTTGGGGCTTTGATCTGTGGCACTCGGAAAAGCACCACCTTCAGCATAGAAAATCAAGGTGTTACTGACTTCAAGTACGCCCTCTATAGGCTGACCGGGGAGAGCCCCATTCATCAAAAGAAAGTGTAAGACAAGTCTGTACTTATCTCGTGCCATTCTCTGGTTTATTAGTGCATTTTATTTTATGAAGAGCTTTCAAATACTTTATCTAAATTCACCCAATCCCCTTTTCGTGGGGTGAGGTCACTAAGGTTTAGAAATGGCTTGTCTGGGGCACCTGGGTGGCTCAGTGGGTTAAAGCATCTGCCTTTAGCTCAGGTCATGATCTCAGGGTCCTGGGATGGAGCCCCGCATTGGGCTCTCTGCTCAGCAGGGAGCCTGCTTCCCCCTCTCTCTCTGACTGCCTCTCTGCCTACTTGTGATCTCTGTCTGTCAAATAAATAAATAAAATCTTTAAAAAAAATAAGAAAGAATGAAATGGCTTGTCTAAGATTAGGCAAGAAATCACCAGTAGATCTCAGTTCGGAACCCACATCTCCGCCTTCAGATTTCATATGCTTTCTTACTGTCACTCATGTGATAGATTTAATTGAACAAATATAAAGTCCTCCATGTGGGGTTGTGTCTGTTGTCCTGGTGCTTCTAACATGCTGCAGGACTCACAGTAAGTCATTGTCCTATTTATTGTCCTGTAGGATGTGGAGGGACTAGTAGAACCACAAACTAAGTCAAAAGAAATCAGAGCTGTCCCTCACATGTGAAGTGGCAGAAGGTACCCCAGAAATATAGACAAGGGAAGCACACTGCTGCCTTCTGTCTACTGGGCCCTGCTTTGACCTTTTCCGCATGAAGGCACTGTCACAATAGCTCTCTTAGTTGTTCCAAAGGCAAAACTCTGTATTCTTCACAAGGCAGCTCTTAATTCTCTAAAACACTTCACCTTTGTGCATACTTTTGGCTTTTGATGACCATATCCTTTTCTTGGCAATTAAGTATAGTTTTACCAATTCCCAAGGCTCTTTGTCCTAATTAATTGACTCCCTAATTAATTAATTAGTTTAAAATTGACTTTCCAGTTAATTGGTTTTTTTTTAAGATTTTATTTATTTATTTGACAGACAGAGATCACAAGTAGGCAGAGAGGCAGGAAGAGAGAGAGGAGGAAGCAGGCTCCCCTCAGAGCAGAGAGCCCGATGCGGGGCTTGATCTCAAGACCCTGAGATCATGACCTGAGCCGAAGGCAGAGGCTTTAACCCACTGAGCCACCCAGGTGCCCCAGTTAATTGTTTTAAATCAGACATACCTTGTTTGTAATTGTTTTGCATTTTTGTAGATACCCTCTTCCATTGTGGCTAAGTTTGAACATATTAGGAAATGTTGGGCTAAGCTATCTAAAATCTCTTTCTAAAGAGAAAAAAAGCCCTAGCCTTTTTTTATTTTTAGCCTTTATAATAAAAGTTGGTGCATGATTCTTGCTTATTAATACTAATGTTTGCTTCACACACACAAAAATAAGTCTCTTCCTTCCAAATTTAATTTCAACTTAATTTATGCAACTTTTTTAGCATTTATTTTATCATAATTTAATACTATTTATAAATATGATATATTTGTATTTGCTTTATGTTGTTTTAGTTTTAATTTGTTTTTCATCTTAGTGTGTACAAATTCGTGCAAAATACTCAAAGGGGGTTGAAATGTAATTGTTCTGGTCATTGAGCAAGTAAATGCTGAACTATATAAAACTCTCAAAAGCTTAAGATTGCACCTCTAATGCATTGGATGTTGTAGGTTAACTGGCCTCCAGAAAAACTAATTACTGAATAAACTAGCTTCAGGTGAAGCAAACAGAACTTATGTTCGAGCTATTGCCTAAACTCAGTTTAAAAACACCATGATTGGGGCGCCTGGGTGGCTCAGTGGGTTAAGCCTCTGCCTTCGGCTCCAGTCACGATCTCAGGGTCCTGGGATCAAGCCCCACATCGAGCTCTCTGCTCAGCAGGAGCCTGCTTCCCCACCCTCCTCTCTCTCTCTGCCTGCTGCTCTGCCTACTTGTGATCTCTGTCAAATAAATAAATAAAATCTTAAAAATAAATAAAAACACCATGACTATAAATGTGAAGAAAAGGGACAGAATTTAAGCTTTTATTTGACTTCTCATTTTTTTAAAGTAAGATCAGATTACAGATTTTTCTACAAATGATTTTCTATAAGTAATTGTCACACACTGCTTTCCAGAGAACTCAAGTAAACACTTAAACATTATTGTTTTGCAGCAATTTTCAATGTCCTTATGAATCATATTCAATAAGTCCAATGACTTTATAATTTTCTTATCATTGTTGAATGAGGTCTGCTAATGATAAATAAGCTGACTTTCCCAGATGCCCCCTTGGCTATCTCTCCCATTCTTGGGAGAAGAGACCATGCAATTAGCTGACAGATCGTACTTAATGTCACCGCCCCAACCTGAGGGTGTCCTCTTGCTTCTTTAATCAGAGTCAGCCATGTCAGACGTGCAAGATCCCGGGAAAGTGAGAGCTACTACAAGCCTGGCCCTTCCAAATCAACCAAGTTGTCTGATGCAGTTCAGAAAGAAGTAAATGTCACAAACCAGGTGAGCACTCTTTTCCTTGTCAAAGGAACCCTATAAGGCTGCCTTCCAATTAGTTCCCTCCTGCCTAGTTCTTGCCACAGACACCTCCCTACACTAGCAAGATCTGAGCCTACCGTGGCAGGAATACTAGCTCTCTTGAAATATCACTTTTATTTTCAGGCAAAGCATTGACTTTTCTTTTGATATCCTCTTTTGTTTTAAAACCTTCATTGGTTCTCATTGCCTTAAAATTAAGTTTCATCTCTTCATATATGTTTTAATCATGGATCATCTATTTATAAGAAACAAAGCCCATTTGGACTGGCTTAAATAAAAGCAGGTTTTAAGACTTCTGCTATAGTAAGATGAAGTAAATATACTTCATCTTTCTTGCCAGAGTGATGTCAGAGAAGCCCCACTCAAACAGAAGATCTAAATAAGATTCTGAGTCTGATAATAGCTGAAATTCCCAGGTTTCAAATCAAAATCATGCATCATACCAAAAACGAGGAAGATCTCAAACTGGAAATAGGCAATAGGTGCCAGTCTTAATATAACTGTTAGAATTATCTGACAAAAATCGTAAAGCAGCCAACATAAAAATGCTTCAAAGAGCAATTACAAACATGCTTGGAACAAATGAAAACATAGTTAGTTCTCAGCAAAGCAAGAGAAGATGTAAAGAACCAAACAGAAATTTTGAAAGTGAAAAAATAACCAAAATTTAACTCCGTTGATGGGTTCAAAAAGAGGATAGAGGGGATAGAAGAAAAACTCCATGAACTTGAATACAGAACCATAGAAATTCCTCTCTCTTTTTCCTATTGCCCTCATAACAAATTACCTCAGACATAGTGGCTTAGGACAATACAAATTTTTTAGCTTACATTTCCGTAGGTCAGAAGCTTGACATGAGACTCACCGGGGTATTGGCAAAGCTGTATTCTTTTCTGGAGACTTTGGGAGATAATCCATTTCCTTACCTTTTCCAGCTTATAGAGGACACCTGTCTTTCTGCGTTCATGATTTCCTTCCTCCATCCTTAAAACCAGCCCTAATGGATCAAGCTCTTCTCACATCACATGACTCCAGCTTCTTCCATAGTCACATCCCTCTCTAACTCTCTTAGGTTTGCTCCTTCCACATATAAGGACCCCTGTGATCACATTGGTCCTGGGATAAATATGGAATAATCTCCCCATCTCAAGATTCTTAATTTAGTCATATCAACAAGGGTTTTTTTTTTTTTTTTCCATGTAGGGTAACATATTCGCAGGGACCAGGGATTAGGATGTGGACATCTTTGGGAAACCATTATTCTACCCAATCTAAACAAGAGAAGAAATAAACTCTGTTTTGAGTTCTATTGAAAAATCTATTTGAGTCTAATGAATTAAAAAATGAACAGACCCTGAAGGACCTGTGGAAAAAATCTAATATCCCTGTCCTCAGATTTCCAGAAAGAGATAAGAAATAGGGTTGTTTTTTTTTTGTTTTTTTTTGTTTTTTTGTTTTAGATTTTATTTATTTGACAGAGAGAGATCACAAGTGGGCAGAGGGGCAAGCAGAGAGAGAGAGAGAGGAGGAAGCAGGCTCCCTGCAGAGCAGAGAGCCCGATGCAGAACTCGATCCCAGAACCCTGAGATCATGACCTGAGCTGAAGGCAGAGGCCTAACCACTGAGCAACCCAGGTGCCCCTAGGGTTGGTTTTGTAGCAACATGGACGGGACTGGAAGAGATTATGCTGAGTGAAATAATTCAAGCAGAGAGAGTCAATTATCATATGCTTTCACTTATTTGTGGAACATAACAAATAGCATGGAGGACATAGGGAGTTAGGAGAAGGGAGTTGGGGGAAATTGGAAGGGGAGGTGAACAATGAGAGACTATGGACTCTGAAAAACTATCTGAAGGGTTTGAAGAGGTGGGGGGTGGGAGGTTGGGGGAACCAGGTGGTGGGTATTAGAGAGGGCATGGATTGCATGGAGCACTGGGTGTGATACAAAAACAATGAATACTGTTATGCTGAAAATAAATTAAAAAATGATTTTTAAAAAAAGAAATAGGGTTGGGCTGGGGCAGTTAGCTGGCTCAGTTGGTAGAGAGTGTTTTCATGTGACTCTTAATCTCTGGGTCATGAGTTTGAGCCCCACATTGGGGATAGAGATTATAAATAAATAAACTTTAAAAAAAGAAAAGAAAAGAAATAAGGTTGAGCTGAAAAGGTACTCAAAGAAATGATGACCAAAAGCTTCCCAAATTTAGCAAAAGATGTAAACTTATAGATTCAAAATCTGGGCAAATCCCAAATAGGACAAACCTAAATAAATCCACACCCACACACATCATAGTCAGACTTCTCAACACAAAAGACAAAAAATCTTAACACCAGTGAAAGAGGAATGACCTTACATATAGAAAGGAAACTATTTGAATGACAGCAGATTTCTTATCAAAAACCATAGCGGCCAGAAGAAAATGGCTCAACATTTTGCAAGTTCAGGAAGTAGACAACTGTGAAGCCCGAATCTTAGATACAGGAAAAATATGCCTCAGAAATAAATGGAAAATTAAAGTATTCTAAAATGAAGGAAAATTAGTTTGTTACCAGCAGGTCTCTCCCAAAAGACTGGATAAAGGAAGTTCTCTGAACAGAAAGTAAATAATAAAAGAAGGAATTGTGGAGGGAGCTAGCTGGCTCAGTCAATAGAGCATATATGACTCTTGATCTCAGGGTCATGAGTTCAAGCCACACATTGTGGGTAGAGATTTCTTGGAAAAAAAAGTCTTGGGTGGCTCAGTCAGTTAAGTGTCCAACTCTTGATTTTGTTTCTTCATGATCCCAGGATTGTGAGATGGAGCCCCATGCTGGGGCTCTGCACTCAGCAGGGAGTCTGCCCCTCCTCTCACCCCCTCAGATAAATAATGTTTTTTAAAAAGATTTTATTTATTTATTTGACAGAAAGACACACAGTGAGAGAGGGAATACAAGCAGGGGGAGTGGGAGAGGGAGAAGCAGGCTTCCTGCTGAGCAGGGAGCCCAGTTTGGGGCTTAATCCCAGGACACTGGGATCATGACCTGAGCCAAAGCCAAACACTTAACGACTGAGCCACCCAGGTGCCCTAAATAAATCTTTTTAAAAATCTAAAAAAAAAAAAAAAAAAGAATTATGAAACATCGAGTAGGAAGTAAAATCATGGCAGGCAATTATGTATGTAAATTCGATAGACTTCCCTTCTCCTCGTGAGTTTTCTAAATAATGTTTATCAATTAAAGCAAACATTAGAACACTGTCTGATATGACTCTAAATGGATGTAGAGGAAATATTTTAGACACTTATGAAAGGCAGAGAGTTAATAAGCAATTGATCGACAGCATGGTAAATACTATAATTGAAGTGTGTATGGAGGGAAAAGCTCCAGAAAGGTGAAGGAATAAGTTCTGTTGTTCCTGGTAACTGTTGCAAGTCACTGAAGGCTTCCTAGAAGCCTTCCTAGTGCATTGTGGATTATGTTTAGTTACAAGTAACACCCCAACAGTAGTGGTCTAAACAGATAGGATATGGGGTTTTTTTTCTTTTTTTATTAGTTTAAGGGTAGAATTTAGTGATTCATGAGTTACATATAACACCCAGTGCTCATTACATCAAGCGTCTTCCTTAATGACTATCACTCCATCCCTCACCCTCCTCCCCTCCAGCAACCCTCAGTTTGTTTTCTAAAGTTAAGAGCCTCTTAGGTTTGCCTAGGATATGTTTAAATAAGTTAGGTAGTTGCTTGTGTTGGCTTAGAGGCTCATTGAAGACTATGAGTCTCTTGACTTTTCCTCATGGTTCCAAGATCATTGAAGACTGTGAGTCTCTTGACTTTTCCTCATGGTTCCAAGACAGCTGCCGCAGCTCTAGCCAGCACATGTGCATTCAAGGCAAAAATAAAGAGAAAGTAGGTACTCTGCACTTTCTGGACATCAGTAATTGTTGGCTGCATTTGGATTGAATTCTCTACGTATTGGTTTTTATGTCTTCTCAAGTATTTTCCTCTTCAACAGAAGCCTTCTATTTAATTAACATGCATAATTTTCTACATATGTTTCTATAACTCTCATCCCTTCTAACATATGTATCTTCAGGGTTGGGGTTTTTTTGTTCATTTTCACTTGTTTGTTTTGCCTTCTTAGCCCACTGTATTTTCTTTACTCCCAGTGAAGCAGCCTCTCTCTAATACCCTACCTCTTCATTCCAATGACCCTGTCTGCTCTCCTACCTTGACACTTCACTCTCAAGGTCACACCCTGGATCTCCCATCAAAGGAAACTGAGGTGCTTCTGAACTCTTGATTTCTAAGTTTCCTTTCTCTGACCACCATTCCTTTCTCGCTACTCACTGTTTTGAGTCTACCCTTTTCTGCTGTTCTTTGCCTTCAGTGTGACTTTGTTCCTTTGAGACAACATTCAACCATATTCTTATTATTCAAACCTTCTCCTTCTTACCAATTTATATTCCTACCAACAGTGGACAATAATAAATTTGATACTAACCATTCAAACAGGCATGAGGTGGTATCTTGTGATTTTGATTTGCATCTCCCTGATGATAGGTGATCACCTTTGTTGATGGATTTTATGAAAAACCTTGCAATGAGGGAGATTACCCTGGATTATCCTCAGCCCAATGTGATCACGAGGCTCTGGTAGTGGTTGAAGGAATGGGGAGATGTTGGTCAAAGGGTATAAACTTATATATATTATATATATATATATATTATATATATGTTTATCAATTAAAGCAAACATTAGAACACTGTCTGATATGACTCTAAATGGATGTAGAGGAAATATTTTAGACACTTATGAAAGGCAGAGGGTGAATAAGGAATTGATTGACAACATGGTAAATACTATAATTGAAGTGTGTGTGGAGGGAAAAGCTCCAGAAAGGTGAAGAAATAAGTTCTGTTGTTCCTGGTAACTGTTGCAAGTCACTGAAGGCTTCCTATATATAGATATTATCTATATATCTATATATATATATCTATATATATTATATCTATATATATCTATATATATTATATATCTAGATATTATTTTATTATATATTATATATATTATTATATATTATATATATATTATTATATATTATATATATAATAATATATTATATATTATAATATATTATTATATATCTATATATATATTATATATATTATATTATCTATATATATATTATCTATATATAGGAAGCCTTCAGTGACTTGCAACAGTATATATATAATATATATATATATTATATATATATAAGATGATTAGTTCTGAGGATTTAATATTTGCTTGGTGACTCTAGTTAACAGAACTGTATTATATACTTGAAAGTTGCTGAGAGAGTAGATGGTAAATGTTCTCATCATACAAAAACAGAAAAGGTGATTATGTGAGCTGATACATGTTAACTAACATTATTGTGGTAATCATTTTGTGGTATATTCCAGTATCCAATCAGCACATTGTAGCCTTAAACTTATACAATGTCCTATGTCTATTATATGTCAGTGAAGCTGGGTGTGAGGGGAAGAACCTAGCAACCAGAGGAGTGTGTGATAGTATCCCATTTTCTGAGCCCTAATTCTGTGCCATATGCTAGGGGAAGTGCTTCACACACATTTCTTCCTTTGAAGCCTCCAGCGATTCAAGGTAGGGGCTTTAGCCCCATATCATAGATAGACAGACTCAGAGAAGTCACTTGCCCAAGGTCAAACAGTTAAAATCTAGCAGGGATGGGATTCAGACTCATGAGTATCTGACTCAGAAATCACAGCCTTACCCATCTGTGCCCCTCTGCCAGGAGATTCCCATCTGGTACGACTTGTGCAATGTGGAGTATGTCTGTTTCCTTGAGCTTGCACTCTGTCACAGCTGGTCAGGAGGAATGGGCACAGACGGAAGCACTGAGGGAGCCCATCCCTGAAGATTCCCAGGGCTCTCTCTGTCTCCAGGAGAAAGCTGGGGTTCAGAGAGAGCCTGTGAGGAGAAGCCCCATGGGTCCCTCTCGACGCTATCTTACAGCTCTGGTAGAAGAGCTCTGATTGTTCCACCCCCTCTGCCTCCACCCCTCCCACCCCCTCCACCGTTCCTGCAGGCGCGTTTCACCCACGGCATGTTCACTGTGTACCCCGGATTTGGCTCCATCCCTCCGGGAGGAGTGCAGGCCATCACTGTCGACTGCGTGGCTGACCCCGTGGGAAGGTGTGAGGAATTCATAGCGATCGATATATCTGACCGAGACCCAAGAGACCAGCCTGCTGGCATTCCTTACAGCTTGCTGGCCGAAGCCTGTCTACCAGGTACTGGGCACTCAGATTGGACAGCCTCCCCCCTTAAAAGGCCCTCCCCCTCCCACCATGCATGTGGTTGGCACATATGGCCACACTGCTTCCTTTGGGTCCTTAGAACTTTCTGTAGTATCTTTAGCCATGTTTTTCCTTAAAGATTTGCAAGGCATATACCCCTAAAAGATGTTCAGCTTTAAACTCCTAGTCTTCCTGAGTTTGGTCCAGGATTCTCAGACAAATAGAATTATCTGGGAATCATGATGTAATGGGATATGACACAGGACCTGGGAACAACAAATCCGGCCATTCCCTGTGGACAACATATGCACAGAGAACAAGGGTCAGCGACTGCACATACTCTAACTTTAACTAAGCAGGATTCAAGTAAAGCACAGAGAGAACTCCTCTTGCTTTGACTATAGGCACTGCACAGCCTCGCGCCATGGGCCAAATGCCCACCCCAGATCCTGGATCTAACCTCTCCTTACCACTGGGAGGAACACAGGGTTGGGGTCTGACAGCCAGCAAGAACAGTGCAGAAAAGGAAGAGAAGATAGAATTTGCGCCATCACTCCCACCCCCTTGTGGGAATTCCCCTACATCTCCTCTATCACCACCCTCCGTCAGAACACTAACCTTCACACTAGCCATTACAGAAAGCAGGAGCTGGGCTATCAGGCCTCGTCTCTCCTTCTCCCCAGCCTTTGTGACCGACAACAATGCCGTGATATTTGAGGAGCACCAGATCTGCAGCAGTGCCACTCTGCTCAACATCCTCCAGACCATAGAGAGTGGGGGGCTCTTTGTGGAGGACGAGAACAAGTTCATCTTCTGCAACGTCCTGGTGGGTCATCGGGCCAAGGCTCGTTTCAAGATCAGCAACGTGGGGAAGATCGCGTGTGATGTGAACGTCGTAGTTAAGCCCATCTCCAACAAGGTAAGCAGCCCCAAATGGCGCTAGCCCACCAGAGCTGGCATGAAGCCTTGGAAAGAGCTCTTGAAAATCCTGCTGTAGAACTGCTAGAGCTGAGTGGGGACAACCTGGCTCTCAGGCCCTGCCAGAAGTCAGATGAGGTCACTGGGTAGTTTCCCAAGAAACCGGACATTTGTCCCCATGGGTGCTTCCTCTGGGTTTTAAAATGGTCCACACCAATGAGCAGCTCACTCATCCATCCAACACTCAGCTCTGCGTCTAATAGATGAAACATTGTGGCGCGAGCCAAAGCCAAGTGCCGGCTGGGGCAGGCTGCTTCGTGCTGCCCATTTGTCTGGAAATGAGGGTTTGGGGGATGTCAGATGATCTCATCCCTTTCATGACTTCTCTCAGGCCCTGGTGACATCCAGTCATTTCTCTCTGACCTTTTTCTGGACATAAAGGGGCAGCTTTTTTCCTGTCCTGCACTAAAACCATAAAAAGGGAACAAGCCTGATTTCTCAAAGATAGGTTTTTACCAGGGGATTTGCAGACATTTATTTTCCTCCTCCCTAATTTGCAGACTATCCCCTGAAAAGAGCAAAGAAGCCTTAGTGCTCTCAGCTTAAAATCAAGAGGGGATAGTCAGTCTCGAATCCCACTGGCCAACCTTAAGAATTGTCATTCTTTTGAGGCCTTGCCAGGATCCCTAAGTCCCTCCAGTCTTCCCCAAAACCCTGCCACAAGGGGGGGACAGAGAAAATGCTGACACACGCTGATCCCTGCTGTCCCTCCCCAGCTCATTGCCCGAATCACTGACATTTTTGAAGTGGAACCTAATAAGATGTGTGTCGCCAGCCGCTCGCATGCCTTTGCCACGGTGACCTTCACCCCGCAGACCATGCAGACCTACCAGTGTATCTTCGAGGCTACCTTGGATGGCTTGCCCAGGTACCAGCTCCCCTGGCCCTCCCTGCAGGATGAGGAGGGAATTCCGTGCCCAGCACGCCGGGCTGATGGGCCTCCCTCTTCCGGTTCCGCGCAGCAACCTGACCAGGAACCGCAGCCTCGCGTTTGATATCGTCGGGGAAGGGACCCTGCCTCGGGTGATCGTGGTGCGGCCGGTTCTCTGCAACCAGCATGGAAACCCCTTGCTCCTCTTCAAGAGGCTTCTGCTCGGTCAGTCAGAGAAGCTGCCTCTCGTCCTCAAGAACAACGGCACCATCCCCGCCCAGGTACTGCGGGGGGCTAAGCGTGGGCCGGAAAGGGAGAGGAGCGACTCAGAAGTCGGCCTTTCGGCTTTGAGGTCTCTGCCATCCCTGACCTGTGAGGACTTTGTTCCTCACGCATTAACCTGTGTAAGGCGTGGGGCACGCAGAGCCGAGTCAGCCAGAGTGTCTGCCCTCAGGAGTGTGAGAAAGCAGAGCACACAGCTCGCCGAGAGGTCCGGCGTGAAGCGTGTGCAGGGATACACCCTGAGCCGAGCGCGGACGACTGTGGGTATTCTTGGAGTCTTCTTAACCTTCCATTTTTTCTGTAATGAACATTGCATTTTTAATAAGGAAGAAGCAAAAGAAACCTCAGTAAGGGTGAGAGATGCCACATCTCAGGGGACTCTTGGTTCAGAAATTGTGTTTTCATTTTTATTATTTTTTTTCTGTTCACATCCGTGTTTTACCAAAAAAAAAAAAAAAAGTGATAAACTGTATAAGGGTTCCATGAAGAATTGGAAAATGAAGAATTTTGAGAATGATCTACTCCCATCTAGGGGAATCAAGGAAAATTTCACTCTAAAATGACACAGAGGCTGGGCATTGCAGGACAGCTGGGTTTCAGGAAGGGCGCGTGGCAGGGACTGCATCCCAGCTGGAGGAAGAAAACTATTCAGGCAAAGGCACAGAAGCAAAAAATGTGTCCAGCACACAACAGGAACTAGGAGGCCCCCAGCAATGTGAGAGCGCAGGGGCCGGAAGAGCAGTGGGAGATAAAAATAGAAGGGACAGTAAGGACAACTCATAGGAGGCTTTGGAGAGAGAGAGAGAGAAAGAAAGTGAGAGACAGAGCAGGAGCAGCAAGGGAGGGGAGAGGCAGAGGGAGAAGCAAACTCCCTACTGACCAGGGAGCCTGAGGTGGGGCTCGATCCCAGGACCCGTGGATCGTGACCTGAACTGAAAGCAGACACTTAAGGGACTGAGCCACCCAGGCGCCCCTCATTGTCAGGTTTTGTTGTTTATACAGTTAAGGCTCATTTAGATTCACCCACATTGGTCACTTTCATTGTTCCCCCTCTTACACAGCACCCCTTCCATCTGAGCTCCTCTGCCTCTACCCGCTGAAGAACCGCCTGTACTGTTCCCTCAACGCAGGCTGCTGGTGCTGAATTCTTTCAGCTTGTATTTGAAAATCTCCATTTCCTCTTCATTTTTAATGTCTTTTTTTACTGGCTGTAGAACTCTCCCTCAGCAGTTGTTTTCTCCCAGCCGATGAGAGCTTTCATTCCAGCGTGTTCTGGTTTCCACTGTCTCTGCTGAGACGACAGCTATGTCTAACATGTCCTGTTAAGGGGATCTTTCTCCTCTGACTTTGTCTGGCATTTTCACTTTGTGTTCGTCTTCTGTGGTTTCACTAAGACGTGACTAGGTATGGATTTCTTTTCATTGATCCCTCCCGGAATTCACCTGGCTTCTTGATCCTGCAATCAATGTCTTAAATCAGTTTTGGCATTTTTCTCTGGGCTCCATTCTGGATAATCTCTTAGGACCTGTCTTTAGCTCATTAACTTTCCTTTTAGCTGTGTCTAATTTTTATTATACCTTCCACTGAGTTCTTCAGTTATTATATTTTTTGGTTCTAGAAGTTCTATTAGGCTGCTTTTCAAATGTATGTAGTCAGTTTGGAAGATTTCTGACTTTGTGCTGAAACTGTCAGACTTGGCTTTATTTCTTGAGCATCGTAATCACACCCATTTTGCCGTCTATACCCGGTCATTCCAAAATCTGGATTCCCTGTGGGCCTTTTCTGATATCTGCTATTTCTGCTCATTTTTGCCCATGTTGTCCTTTCTCCTCATGTGCCTGGTTATCTTCGATCCCGTGTTGAGTATGATACCTGAAAATTATTTAGAAGTAACAACACTAAAGATGATGTTCCTTTTCTTCAGAGATAATTTTCATTTGCTTCTGCCAAGTACTTTGAGACATTAGAAACTTAGGATCACCTAAAACTAGTTTTAGGGCTTGAGATTTCCTGGACTCAGAGCAGGATTGCTACCCGGGGGTAGGGGCGAGCTGGGTTATAGCCAACCTATCTACCTTTGGTCCTATCGGCAGGTTCTTTGAGGTCACAGAAAATACCCACCTTTCACAATACTTTTGCCCTCTTAGCACCAAGAGGCCATCAAAAATACAACTTGAGCCTCCCACCTACCTCTTCTAAACTAGCAAACACTCCAAGTCAAAAACAGCCCAGAAATGTAGGCTAGACTTTCTGGATTCCTGTGCTTTCCCAGATCTTGGTCTGGATGCTTTTCATTACCTTCTTAGCTCTGTGATGCTTTAAAAAATGTGTTTTTCCTGTTGTTGTTGTCCTGTTTTTTTGTTTGTTTTGAGTCTACATTACCTAGTTTCCCATTGCCCTGTATGGTTTCCATTATTGTAGCTTTATAAAATGTTCTAGCATCTAATTGAGTAAATTCCTGCTCACCCATTCCCCATTTTTCTAATTTTTCTTGACAATTTTTACATATCTGTCTTCTCAGATGAACTTTAGACATCATCTTTTAATGTTCTTCAAAAAGTCCAATTAGGGAGCACCGGGGTGGCTCAGTGGGTTAAGCCTCTGCCTTCAGCTCAGGTCATGATCCCAGGGTCCTGGGATTGAGCCCCACATCGGGCTCTCTGCTCAGCAGGGAGCCTGCTTCCTCCTCTCTCTCTGCCTGCCTCTTTGCCTACTTGTGATCTCTCTCCCTCTGTCAAATAAATAAATAAAATCTTAAAAAAAAAAAAAAGAGGTAAAGACTTAAAAAAAAAAAAAAAAAAAGGTCCAATTAGGAATCTTGTGAATTATTTGGGAAGAATTTCTACTGTTAGAGTTTTTAGGCTCTCAGGAGCAACATTTCAAATTCCAATCCATTTATCTAGATTTTTTTAATGTCAATTTTTGTCATATAACTCCTCCATATATTTTCTTTCTAAGATTGTTTCTAAACATATCATTTTTTAATCTCAGAAGCTTCCCATGTAGTACCACTATTTCTTTATTCTTTTTGCCTCATTTCTTATATCATTCGATCGTATTTATGATGGTACCAGCGTGACTGTCTTCTAAAACTGTCTGCTGATTTCTCAGACCTAAAATCAGAAATATGACTTTTGTTTTTGCATCCACTATGGTGGTCCAGAAAATATCCCTTTTCTTCACCTGAGCCATAGGCCTACTTTGGTTTTCTTTTTAACTCGGCAGGCAGCTCCATATGACACTATCAGGCAACTGATGGATTAACACCTAGGAGACACTGGTTTTTGGGAACTCTTATCCATGCAAGCCTTGATAGAATGATGAGTATTCATTTCCATTGTATTACTCCAGAGTATATTTAGCGACTGCCTCTGTCAGCAGCAGAGGCCTTGGCAAGCCCATCTTGACACTACATAGCTTGATCATCATAAAGTCACCCCCAGTCTCTGGACCACCAGTTCCTTACTTGTTTAATAAGAGCTGAACTAAGCTTTCCTTTTCCTCCCCAGGTCTAATACTTATTTTATTTCCCTTTTAGTAAGAAATTCAAAAAAGTGAGCACTGGGCACAAGGACTTTTTGAATACTTTCCAAACACCACCATATCTCTATCCAGACTCAAAACCCATGAGCCACCTGTAAGCTTAACACTCGTCCTTGCTTTCTTTATGCCAGCTGCATGTCGATCTGAGGGACCAACTAGGTGTCTTCTCCCTGAAAGGGATCCCCACCACCTCCTACATCTACATCACAGAGGAAAACAAACCACATGCCAAAGGTAGGTAGAGGGAGTGTAGCTTCTGCAGGGCAATGGGTCCCAGGAGCTGTTTTATTAGGGAACTAATAAGGACCCAGCCACAGTAGGATACTCAGTCTCATCACCAGGGACCTCTGTAGGTAAGACTCACTCCCACATAAAGCTGCCCTCCCTTGAGTCAGGATCTCCCTGGTTACATCTTTCTTTAAACTAGTTCTAAATCTCATGTCTCTCTCTTTTTTTGCAGCAAAGAAAGCTCACACGGCCTCCCTGGTTGTTCCTCCTGGAAACACAGCTGGATTCGATGTTGTTTTCCAATCCCAGAAGGTTGGGAGAATGAAAGGCACCATCCACTTGTCAGTGGTCGACAACCAGTATGAGGAGACAATCATCCACATGGTGGGAGAAGGTTATGAGGATGACATCACCTTGGGCAACATCCATGGGCTGGTGGTTTCCGGCAGCCCTGAGACCCCAGAGATCTCTGAGATCATTGAGGAAAATAGTATGGAAGACTTAGTAACAGGTGAGAGAAATGGAAGTGAGGTACTGACAACTGTTGGCCCAGGCCATTTTAAATAACAGCTCAGCCAGCTTCCTGGGAATTTGGGAGAGCATCTCCTCTTCCTCACTGTATGCCCCTTCATTTGTGGCTCAGACAATGCCTTCAATCACGTGTTCCCTCAAGGGACATTTCTTGAGCATCATGAAATGATGCCTGAACCAGGCACTCCGCTGAGCCCTGGAATTTTAAAGAGTAAGAAGAGAGTCTCCGCCTTGGGGAGCTTAGAGTTTTAGCTAATTCCAGTTTAGCTAATAAGTGAAATTCAGAGTTCACATTCCAGATTAGCTAAGTGAGCATGTATCGCTCTAGTTTTCCCCATTTCTTTCAGCTGGCTTATATCAGCATTGTCTGTTTCATGTACCCTAGACATCCCGTGAGAAATTGTGGGCTTCTTTAATTAAAGAATGTGTAGGTTTGTGCCACCTCTAGAATGTCATTCTGTTGGTTTCTGAGGCCCTGCAGCATCAGGAGCACCTGGGAGCTTGGTAGAAATGGGAATGGCAGGGCCTGCCCCAGCACCACGGGCTGACCGAAGCTGAGTCTACATTTTAGCAAGATCCCTCAGTGACTTGTGTGTGTCTTAAAGCTTAAGACGGGCTCCTCTGTGGTCCATCTCGCACTTCATTTAGTTGACTATGTTCTTTGTGGCAGAAGAAAGTTTATTTCATCATTATTATCAAAAAGCACTTGTTCATCACCCTAATTATATAGCTAATTGGTATGAATTGAGTTATAAACACATTCTCATCATTTTCTAGAAGCTTTATTACAATTGGACAGTCTACATGACGTGACTTAAAATCAACACTCCTCACACATACGGCGTTTCACCTGTTAGTGGCTACCAGGTGACATCTCTCTTGTGAGGGGCCAAGCAGGAGCCAGCATGAACCCCAGTTCAGAAATCAGATTTCACCCTTACAATAGGGTTACCAGGTTTAGAAAATCAGAATGTAAGAGTCCCTGTTAAATTTGAATTTCAGATAAAAAGCAGAGTTTTTTTTATTATTTGTGTGTCCCCAAATATTGTATGGGACATATTGATACTCTAAGTGACTCATCAATTATTTATGATTCAAGTTTAACAAGGACTTGTTTTATCTTATTTTAACCCTTAATAATATTGTTTGAGCAAACAAATGGAGTAAGCACCCTATATTTTCTCTTAGAGGTGAGGGCCAAGGTAGATGGATGGATGTGGATGGATGGATGGATGGACGGACGGACGGACAGACCGACAGACGGACAGGCAGACGGACAGATTGACAAATAGATTTCCCAAGGAGGGAAAGTTTAAGCTAAGGGACTCCAAATTTTTCCAGAATAATCATTAAAGAAGGGAGGGATGCATGAGGGTAGGGCCCCATGTCTTTCAGGTGCTGCCTCCTTAGGGAAGTGAGCCCTAGGAGGAGGCCAGGGATGACTCACAGACCTTCTGCTTCTGTCCATAGCTTCTCTGGTGGACCACATCCAGTTTGGGGACTGCCACATTGGAAACAGCTATAATGTGAGCTTCACAATCACAAACCACAGCCAAGTGAATGTGATACGGTTTGAATGGCCCCTTTTAGCTACAGTTTCCTTTTCCCCACAGGTGAGTGAAAGCTATTCACTGTTCTCTGGACTTCCTTAGGCATAAGCCAACATCAAATTGATTGTCCATCTCTTCCCATGAATACACAGGATGGGATAGATGGTTCTCAAGCTGAGAAACAGCCCAAGAACTATCCCTTACTCAGACCAGATGCCAGAGGACACTGTTCATGTCTCCTTGGGTCTAAGAACAGAGAATGAGGTCTGCTGAGATGGTTGCTAGGCTGGTGTTGAGGAATTCCATGGAAACCCGTGTGGATGAATACAGGTCCCATCTTCGTGTCCCCGAGTATAGACCTGTGTCCCCCAAAGTGTATGTTCTTTAGAGCATTAGTCCTGCAAAAGTGGTTCATTGGAAGCTAAAATGGGGGTAGTAGGTTCTGTGAACAACTGAGATTTAGCAAATTTGCATATTACGTCTTTCTCTTAAAGGTGCCCAGTGCTATTCAGCACACTAAAACCTAGTTAACTTTGTTTTACCTGGAATTTTCTGGCCCCTTCTTTTAGCATCTCACAGCACACATTTTATAAATTGCTGACCAAATCTCGACGTCCCACAAGGCCTAAGAGAATGTGGTAGCAGATCTAGCCTCTGGCTAGTTGTTTTTCATAGTTTACTGTTGAGTTCCCAGAACAGTATATACACCCAGACATGTCCACTGCTCCTGTTCTGTTTTGGTCACCAAGTCTGTTCACACATGGACAGGGGGAGAGGGCAAGGAGATTTAGGGACCCTACTTTGTCACCTTTATTTTTTTAGTTTTTTTGTTTAAGTGGGTTCCATGCCCAGTGTGGAGCGCAACACAGGGCTTGAACTCATGACCCTGAGATCAAGACCTGAGCTGAGATCAAGGGTTGGACTCTCAACTAACTAAGCCACCCAGGCACCCGCTTTGTCACTTTTGAATCTTTGCATGCTCTCAGGGAGTTTGGCTTCCTGGAGGGTTGTAAAGTGTCAGTCAAAATAGGCAGAGATGAGCTCAATATAGTGCATTTAGTGCCCCACGTGCACACACACTCCTGCATAGATGCCCCCACCACCCATGCACACATTTGTGCCTTGGGAAAATGATTTTGTTCTATAGACCAAATTAAATTTCCCATTTATCTGGTATACTTCAGTGAATCGCAGCTTTTCTGGCCTCAGGACTCCTTTGCCCTATTAAACATTATCAAGGGACTCAAAAAAGCTTTTGTTTATGCGGGTTATATCTGTTGATAGTTGCCATATTAGAAGTTAAAACTGAGACTATCTGAAAACATATATTTATTCATTTTTAAATAATAAACCCATTTATGTTAATATAAGTACGACTTTTTCACGAAGATGGCTATGTTTTTCAAAATACAACAGTTAGTGAGAAGAATGGCATTATTTTACAGTTTTACAAATCTCTTTAATATCTGGCTTAGTAAAAGGAGCTAGATTCTCCTATTTGCTTCTCATTGATCTGCCGTAATATTGTCTGTCATGTATACTCACAAGAAAATGAGAGTGAAAAAGTCAACTAACATCTTAGTATTATGATGAAAGTAGTTTTGACCTCATGAACTTCTGAAAAGGTCATAGGGGTCCCAGGGATCACCTGACCACACTCTGAGAACTGCGAATATACTGAGTGCGCCTGTCCCTGGTCCATACGGGTCATATCGATGAAGAAGCACAGGTAGTTTAGAGTGTGGTATCTGGCGCCATGCTGTCGGGGACTGAATCCAGCTCTTCCAGTATTCATGGGAGGACCACGAACAAGTTACAAGTTTCCTTGCCTGTACAATAGGTGCAATGGCTCTACATCTCCCCGGGTCATTGTAGGGATTAGCAGAATTGTGTAAAGGTTTAAATTGTGCTCAAAGCAAGTAACAGTTTAACAAATATTAGCTGCTTTCATTTTTAGGCTTGTATTTCTATCTAAGAACCTCTTATACATCTTTAAGACCATCTACATAGGCAGGTTTGAATGACGTATTTTTTGCCAAGATTTTTGGCTCTACCCCTTCTCTAGAATGTCACCACCAGGTATCGAAAGTCCTTAAGCTCAGATTCCCAAAAATGCTAATACCAGGGTCTTCCCCAGATGGGCCACCTCCACCCTGGGTGTGCCAAGGACACAGTGGTGACCATGAAGTCAGACGTGCCCATCAATCTGAAGAAGATGGGGATCAAGTGTAAGCTGTCCAGGATCACGTTTCCACTCCCTGCAGAGCAGGTCCCTGACTGGGATGACCGCATGCGCACAGTTAAGTGGGTGGATATGCTCAGAAACCCACCAGGGACTTTGACTACAAAACGAAAGGTGAGTGAGGACATCAGGCACAGATCTGACCAGGCCTAACAGGGCTAGGGGCCTGCTGCTCTCTACTTCAGTGTCTCATCATTGCCTTCCAACCAAAAAAGAAAAAAAATGTTTCCCATTCTACTTGACCTTGATTTCAGAAGTGACAACTGAACTTGCATGCCCGCCCACACATCTTGATCTGTCCAGCTTTGGTTTCAGTCTGGATGCCTCACGCAGCAAGTCCTCCCACCTTTTTCAACAGCACAGGGCTTCACCTTTCGGTCAGTTCCTCTTTCCCTCGGGTGTCCAAAATTAGATTAGACTCTTTGGTTCATGACAGAATCTCATCTGTGATCCAAGCATGCCCCTCTTTTAATCAGTTCTTGGTTGGTTTCTTTTGCATAGTAGAATAAACAGAGATGAACTCACAGCAACACAGGAAGTAGAACATGGAATACGTGTGTGCTTCTCAGCCATTCCTTCCCCCTGCCTCCCCTCTTAGATGTAATCACCATCCTGAATCTCGTTTACTTATTCCCTTGATTTTTGGGTCAAGAGAGGGAACACAATCAGGGGGAGTGGAAGAGGGAGAAGCAGGCTTCCCCCTGAGTAGAGAGCCCGATGCGGGACCCTGGGATCATGACCTGAGCCAAAGGCAGACGCTTAACAACTGAGCCACCCAGGCATTCTAAAAGGCATACTGTTTAGTTGTAGTTTTTCACTTTAGTTTTTTAAAAGGGTTAGATTGCATGTGATCCGTATTGTCACATGTGGCTATCGTGCACCCAATTTCACTGCTCTATAAAATTCCATTATTATTTATCATTCATTCTTCTTTTGAAAATTATTTGTGATTTTGCTATCATGCATAGTGTTTCTATAAACATTACTATTCATGTCAAGTGGTGTTCATTTGTAAAAGTTTATATTCCTAGAAGTGGAATTGCCAAGCCATAGGATATATGAATTTCAGCTTTCCAAGGCAATGCCCAAATGTTTTCCAAAATGGCTGTACCAATGTATACTCTTACTGGCAAAGGGATCTCACTGATCCGCATTTTCTCCACAACTTGGCATTGCCAGACCTCTCGCTTTTTGTCATTTATGTGAATGAGAAATGGTCTCATTTGGGAGCTACTTTGCATTTCCCTAACCGCTGATAAAGTTGAATATGTCTTCATATGATTATTGGCCATAATAGTTGTCTCTTATATAAATGCCTTTTACCTATTTTTCAATTAGCTGCTTATCCTTAATATGAGTTATTTTATTTTTTATAAACTCTACTATTCCTTCCTACTATTTGTCTGCAAACATCTTCACAAATTTAAAGCTTTTTACTTTTTTTGATGTATCTTTTTTTTTTAAGATTTATTTTTATTTATTTGACAGACAGAAATCACAAGTAGGCAGAGGCAGGCGGAGGTGGGGGGGGGAAGCAGGCTCCCCGCCGAGCAGAGAGCCCGATGTGGGGCTCGATTTCAGGACCCTGAGATAATGACCTGAGCCGAAGGCAGAGGCATCAACCCACTGAGCTACCCAGGCGCCCCTTGATGTATCTTTTTTTTTTTAAAGATTTTATTTATTTATTTGACAGAAATCACAAGTAAGCAGAGAGGCAGGCAGAGAGAGAGGAGGAAGCAGGCTCCCTGCTGAGCAGAAAGCCCGATGTGGGGCTCGAACCCAGGACCTGGGATCATGACCTGAGCCGAAGGCAGTGGCTTAACCCACTGAGCCACCCAGGCGCCCCTTGATGTATCTTTTGATGAACAAAAAATATTCTTAAGTTTAATATAGTCACATCTATTAATTTCATTTTCTATATTTATTATTTTTGTGTCTTATTTTTAAAGCCCTTCCCTACCAGGGAAGAAAAAATACGCTTTTTTTTTTTTTTTTTTTTTTTAGGTTCAAGAACTTTGCTGTTTATATTTAAGCCCTTGGCCCACATGGACTTTATGTATGCTGTGAGGCAAGGACCCAATTTCATAGTTTTCCATCTAGATAACTAACCTTGCCAAACCTTCTTTTTTGTTTAGCCTTTCTGTTTCCTAGCAATCTGCCATGACTCCCTTGTCATCTAAACTTCATACATACCTAGGATGTTTCTTGTCTTAGTATTCTGCTTCATGGTTGATTTGTCTATCCCTATGCCAGTTTTACCCTGCCTCAACTTCTATAGCTTCACAGCCAGCCTTGTTATCTGGAAGGGAAGTCCCTTTTCCATACTGTTTTGTTGTGAAGTGTTTTAGTTATTCTTGGTCCTTTATTTTTCTATCTAATTTTGGAATCCACTAACCAAGTACTATGGAAACATGAATGGAAGCTTGATTGGAATTGGATTGCATCCATAAGTCAGTTTAGGAAGAGTTAACAATTTTACAATATTAATTTCTCCCTTTTATTAACAGATTTTATCTCTTTTGTTAGATCTTTAAGATTTTTTTTAACTACACTTCAGGTTCTTTAATAGTGTTAGGACTCTTCAGGCTTTTGGTTTGTTCTTGAGTCAATGTTATTAAATTATTTTTCTAGGAATTTGCCCTTTGACTAAGTTTTCATATGTATTTTCATTAAATTATTTATAATATTTTCTATCATTTGTTTAAATCTGTAGGGTTGATGGTGATGTCTTCCTTTTCATTTTTGATATTGGTTATTTGTTCTTATTCTTTTTTTTTTCTTGATCAATCTCACTGAAGACTTTTTAAGTCATTCCAAATAAATAAATTTTGGCTTCATTGGTCCTCTCTGCTTTCGATCTATTCTTGATTTCATTAATATCTCTGCCTATCTTTATGACTTCCTTTCTTCTGCCTTTTTCTGAGTCCATCTAACCAAAAAACCTCATGTCTCTGCAATCCTACTACTCTCAGTAATTTGTTTCCTTCCCCATTTAGGAGTCATTTAGGTTTGCCTGAATCATTTATTCTGGAACTTGAGTTTGTGTGTTGGTGTTCATTTGCACAGGTAAAATATAGTACCATGCTCCCCCACAGCACTTTATTCCTGTGGGTTAACTGGCTCCACCTTTGTTACAGGTGATAGAGACAGACCCTGAGCCCGCCCACTCTGTAGTAGAAGAGAACTATCGAGAACTGCATCTTCAGATCAGTGCCAATGTGAATTTTGCTTCGTATGCATGCCACACAAGCAACGTGCACTTTAAAGAAACGCTGGTTTACCAGACCCGAGTGTTTGAGTGAGTCTTTGAGGGCCCCCACCCTCCCAGGGATGCTTTTTCATTCCATCATCTGCCCACTCCTTCACCACACATTTCTTCAGCTTCTCTGACAGCACATACCAGGCAACAGAGCCGCTTAGCACTCACCAGAGTAACTCTGCAGGTGCAGTGAAACCTTCAGACCCACAAAGCTATGGAAGTTCCCACTTGAAGTCAAGATATAGGCCAGGAAACACAGTCTGCCGGCGGGGGCGGCATCCTGCCATCAGGTCCCCGGTGGGGACCATCCTGGCAGCAGCAGTCTACACCACCAACGAGGAATAGTTCTTTTCTCCCCAACCCCAGGTCACAGTTCGGACAATATCCACACTGACGGCAATGGGTCTGTCTCACCTTAGAAGCCCCACAACCTAGAGAAGGCAACACTCCTCATAACCATTCCATAGGTACAGCTTCTAGGATCTCTGTGGGGGACATGCCCAATTACAAGAGTCACTACACTAAGAAAACCCCAAAGCTATATCTTCCCTCCAGGGTATCATAATTCCCTCCAGACCAGATGCAATTTACCAATCAGGGGTCATTTTTACTATAAACAGGGTTGCCTAATAATGCAACTGGTATTTCTCCTTTATCGTGTTTCCAGGGAAACAGAGCTAGAAATTTCACTTGTAGCCAAAATTGTGCTCAGAAGGAAAAAGAGTTATGTGAACTCATGCACAGGAATACAGGATGTCGTGGTGCCCCATCTTAAGGAGCTCATGGTGGGTGGGGGGAGGATGGGTGAAAATAGGTGAATTGATAGTTGCGGTGTGGTGTTGTGTGTGTGCTGGAGAGTACCTAAAACAGCCTGAGATGTGGGGACAATCAGGAAGCAGAGGGCTCATCAGGGAAGGCGCCCCAGATGAAGCGGTGCCCCGCTGAATTGCGGAAGATGAACAGGAGGTAGCCAGGTGAAGAAGTGAGTGAGGAAGGAAAGGGCCTTCTAGACAGAGAGAACAGCACAAATGAAGACAGACTATTCTTTAAGAATTACAAGCACAAAAATGTGAACCACCAATATGTTTCAACTTTGTAAGAATTAGTAATTAACTTCTTCCACTCATTTTGCATTGGTTACACTTTACATGTTCTCCCCAATTTTTATAGAAGCAAAAGGGATAAGGCAGGAGGCAGGACCTTCTGCTGATACCTATTTCTCCTAAAGTAGGGGTTGGCAAACTTGGCCCATGGACCAAATCCAGCCAGCTGCCTCTCATTGTAAATAAAGTTACTTCTGGCCAGGGCCATGCCCATCAGTTTATGCCCATTGTCTATGGCTGCTTCTGCACTGCAACAGTAAGCGAGTAGTTGCTACAAAGCCCTATGGTACACAAAGCCAAAAAAAAAAAAAAAAAAATGTGCTGTCTTGCCCTTTGTTAAAAAAAAAAAAAAAAAGCCAATCCCAATCTAAACCAAGAACTCTTTTTAATCAGAAGTATTCTGTACCACCAAGATTTCTCCACTTTATAAAATTTTCTTTAAGATAATGACCAGCGCTCATACTTGTACACAAGAAACACAGGCCCCTGAGGTCCAAGCACTTGACTTTGGGCGTACCTGCATGGTCTACCTGGATTGGATAATGGAAACCTAATTCTTACACCCTACTCTTAACACCCTAGCACACCCCACTTGCAAACTCTCAACTCCTACCACTTCCCTAAAACTAGGATAGCACTGTGTTTCTTTCTCTAGGACAATCATTTTCTTGTGACAGACCTCATCCTTCTGCTGTGATTGTGATCAAGTTTAAATGTGATTCCAGAAAAAAAGATTCTATCTCCTGTTCTTGTCTTAGATGCAGGGAAACTTGAGGCAAGAAAGGGCTCCACTAATTCAGAATTTGAGACAAGTCTCAGCCAGTGAAGGAATCTCAGGCAGGGGTAAAGAAGCCTCTGACCACAGGGACATTGTTTCCAGTGGAAGATGCTTCAGGAAGGGAGGGACTATGAAATTTGCACCTAAAGGAGGTACTGTCATGGGAAACACATTTTGATTCCTCTCTCATGGAAATGTTTCAGGATTACAGCAATGCATGCAGAGAGCTCATTGTGTAGGGTACTTACTGGTGGTGTTCCAGATGATTTTCAGTACTAAACATTTGGATAGTTTTACTTTTAGTAGCTATGTATATATTTTACATGTTTTAGAAGAAAATGTAACTAGCATAGCAAATGCATGATGTTGGATAAAATGCTTAAAACTTGCCTTTTGAAAAAATGTTTAAGAAACATAGTGATGACTTAAAGAAAGAAGTTAAGTAACAGTATAGATGATGGGTGGACAGAAAAAAAATCGCTGACAGCACATTTCTCAAATCCATTCTCTGATACTCTGGTTTCTCTTCAGATCGCATAAATCTTTCGCCTTTTTCAAATCCATTCTCTGATCTATCTGCAGGTTTGAACTGGTTAATTCAGGAAGCGTGCAGCTGGAATTCAACTGGGTCTCAGAAGAGACTACAAAGGCTGTCAGTTTTGCAATGCCAGATAACCAAGGTAAACACAATGACAGGCAAAACCCAGGGCTTGAACTGAGTCCCCAGTTAATAGGAGAGCCTTGTTCATGGAGCAGTGAGCACTGCCCCTATAGCCCCCAACCCCGTAGCCAAGGAGAAGCAGAGAAAATGTCTCATGGTGTCTGCAGAACAAAAAGGGTCTGAGAAACTCAAGAGCTGTCCTCTGTCCTCCTGGAACCTGAACCTTGGCCATCCACTAGGCCACCACCCTGACCACAGAGCCCTGGGAATCTTGTTTTTCAGGCCTAGCCTCTTGGAAGATTACAGACCCTTGCTGAAGCTATGAAATGTTTCCCCAAGAAAATACACACCCATACCCAACTTGATATGTATAAAGTCCTCAGAAAAGGGCTCAACACTTGGTGGACAGATACTCATTACTATTGTTGCTTGCAGTTTTGGAGATTCACAGACCTTTTGAATGGGACCCCAGGTTGTGAACCCCTTTTTTTAAAACAATGATTCTCCAAAAATTAGGTTCGCAGCCCATTATTCTTGAAGCAGAATACCTAGAGACATCTCTTTGACCCACCCCCTTGAGCCAAAAGGAAACAGCTTAGAAAACTTGTAGAATTAATAGAAGTATTTTCAGGAGTCTCCTATGAGAGATGTAAGCCAGTTCCTTACCCCCAGTGCCCAAGATTAAGCATACCTGCTAGAAGAGGTGAGCCCACAGACCCCACAGAGGGTCCCTCTGGACCTGTGAGTGGGCTGCCTTCCACCTGCTCTCCCACTGCAAACGCAGAACATCACTGGCTGTCTCTGTTTGCCCCCAGGTTCCTCTCAAAAAGACCAGCTTAGCCAGGGCACGCTGCACACGGTCAGCACCCTGGAGAGTGCCACTGACCACTGGAACGAAGTTTCCCTCCCACCCTTCTCTGTGGAGCCGTCCTCAGGCACTGTGCCTGCAGGCAAGACTCAGAAGCTCAAAGTGAAATTCTCCCCGCTGGAGGTTGGAGACTTCGAGGGCCATCTTTTCTGCCTGTAAGGAGAAGTGCTCCCCAGAACAAAGTTTGGCATCTCCTGTCCTCTCTTTTGTCCCACCACTACCACTATTCTTTCTAGCCTTGGGCCCCTCCACAGCATCCAAATGGTCATATTTTCTTTTTGGAAGATTCAAAGGGGCCAGGGCTTGGAATATACAGAGAATTGGGCCTTTTGTATCACTCACCAACACTCTGTAGACTCTTCCTCCTGCCCCATTCCCCCTTCCCAGCCACATACAGGATTCCACTGAGCAACAGAATGGCTGACAGATGGATGGGTTCCAGTCCTTGGGCACGCATGAACTTAGGAAAACTTTCTTGTATGTTTTCTGAGACTTGGTTTCCTCATGTAGAAAGCAAACAGCAATACCCACCTTGTACTATCGCCATGAACCTTAAATAAGTCAATTCAAGTGAAGACTTAGCAGAGAACTTGGCACACAATTATCCCATACACATACCTGGTGGTGGTGGAGGCGTGGACCTGACACATGTTGGTGAGGAATAGAAGGGCCCACACCCAGTTCCAGAAAAGCCAATCTATAACTTCTAGCACTGAAAGCTCCTGATAGGCTAACCACTCCCAGGAAAGCTCCATGCAGAACACCCACCTTACAGAGGACTGTATGAACCCCAGCATGGGGTAGACAGACCTACATGGGCCATGAGAGCCTTGTGGAGCCATGCAATCCACCACAGGGACCCTCCCCCATATCTTGGCTGCCTGAACTTGGTGCTGGGGCTAAGTCTGATCACATCCACTCACCTTCTCCAAGGCTCTCAGGATACTCTTTTAGGATTTTTCTGTCCATATTCATACCCCAGTAGGTGCCTATGAGAGGACCCGGAGGGTAAAACTCTCTACTCAATTTACAGCAGGGAAATTTTGTCACCACTGTTGGAGGGATAACCTGAGGCTGTACTTAGATACAGAAAAGGAGCCAGAATTCAGCCCCTCCTCCTCAGCGCATTCACATGTCCATCCACTCAACAGTTAATGAGTCAGTACCTACCACGTATCACGCACTGTTCAGGGACTGAGATTGTGTTGTTGACCAGGACAGTCTCTGCTTTCTTGGAGCTCACATTCTGGTGGACATAATAATTCATTTCCAACTCTGAAAGCAACAGCTGATTTAAAAATAAGTAAGAATAACTTTATCCTCTCAGGATTCCCAACTTGCCGCCCGGGGAGCAAGGTCCAGTCCTAACAACAAAAGGGCGGAGCTTCTTGCCCTTCTGCCATTTTGACCTGAAACATTCTGACTACATCAGCGGTCATCGGCGCAACCCAGACCTCCGAGGGCCTGGTGGTGGGGCTCTGGACCCTAACACCCGGGTGATTGAGTTCACCAGTGTGGGCATAGGAGGGAAGAGTCTCCGGTGAGTTGCCTAGGTTTGCATCAGTTGAGTTCCTATCACTCAGTCCTTCTAAAGAATGGGGAGGAAGAATTCAGGGAAGTCAGTGAGACTAAATCCTAAAAGCGGGCTTGAACTACTGGGGTTGGACTTCAGAAAACTGCTCTAGTAAGGAAGCTGGATTTGGTTTCCTTAGTATCAACACTGGGGAAAGTTTGGAAGACATAAACACAGAATCCCTGACCACCCCCTTAACCACAGAGGATCAGTGGGACAGAAGCACCCTGGGCATCATTTTTACTCCAAAGTCCAGTTCGCTAGCCATAGTCTGGAGCCCCAGCTGAGATGCAGTTTTCATTTCTATGTTAATGAAGTGCCCAGATATGTTCTACTTCCCAGATAGGGAGGCCTGTGCTAGAGAAGATCGTAAGAAAGTTTGTCTTATTCCTCAACCCCCCTCCCCCCCGTGTCACTCTCTGTGATCAATTCCTCCTCGGCCAGGACTTTTACAATCCTGAACCCCACTAATACCACCTACACCTTCTGCTGGATCTCCGAAGAAACTGAAAGTCTCCAGAACCCTCCAGCCTTCACATGCCTTACAGAGAAGGGCCTCATCCATCCGGAAAAGAAAGCTGAGGTGTGTATGTGAATGAAGACCGCCTGATGAAAGACCTTACTCTCTCTCTCTCTCTCTCTCTCTCTCTCTCTGTCTGGATAGCAAGTGTGCTGTAGACCACAGGTAGAGTGAGGGAGCACAGCCTGAGGGTGCATGAATTAATAAGCATTTCTTGAGTGGCATAGACAGGAGGCCGTCCTCATGAACAAGACATACCTGCACTCCCTTGGTTGGCCATGGAGAGATGGAGAGTTCTAGCATTTACAGTTTTAAAAACTGAAAGTATTAAAGCAGTGAAGGGGATCTGGGCACTTGTGGCTGGGGACTCTAGGACCCATAGAGTAACAGGAAGGCTTATTTTTTCCCCCAAGGGACTGACAGTGGTAAAAGTATACAGTGTGTTTTCACTTGGTCAGGCCAAAGGGCAAAACAGAAAAGTGAGTCCTGTCCCACAGCTCAGTCCTCATGTTCACGCAGTGGTGTGGGGACTAGAGTGTGGGGTCAGACCTAGGGAAGCATGAATTCATTGGCCAAAACAGAATGATAGACCCCATATCCTATAAATTCCACAGAGAATCTCAGGCAGAAATAGATCCATGAAACAGAAATGATGAATTCAAATGCCTTCGGGCAGGTCCCACAAATGAATGGAGCAGGCCCAGGGGACAATGACGAGGAATGCTGAGCCCACCCCTGGCTGGCTGCTGTGCTTCTCTGTCAGGTGACCACACACAGACAAGTGGCCCAGGGCTGCCGATTTTCCTGAACTTTTTGGGAAAAGCCAAAATTCCATATTTCTCTCAGATTCTCTCTGTTTTTACATGCCAGACAAAGACATGGTGTGAAATATGGTGGTCCAGCCACCAGAGGCTGTGGGGAGGGGGGTAGACCCCCTCAGAAGGACCTGTGGGCAGGGTCCAAACAGACATTGATATTTCTGGAGCAGCCATACTTACATGCCTTCACATAGACAGCAGAAAGGGGGAGGGGGTGACCTGATAATGTCAGCCATAGTAACCCCAGCACCAGGAAGCCTCCAAGGGCACGTGGAACAAGCAAACAGAAACATCTTTTACCCCTCTGTTCCCAACTGCCTTCTTAGATTACCTTCCAGTTCACACCTTCCCATCTGGACATCACAGAAGCCTTCTGGACTTTCTTAATCCCTGAACACAGCATCACCATCCCTTTCCTACTGGTGGGCAAAGCCACCGATCCTCTCATCAATCTGGACAAGTCACACCTCAACTTCAGTTGTCTCCTCATTGGTAAGCCTGCCCTGTTGGTTTATGTGTGAGTTGGTGGGACCTGTGAGGGCTGACCCAGCAATGAGCAGTCTCCAGGAGCAGACTTGGGTGGCAAACTTGTCCTGGTGCCTGTCAGACGTTCTCTATCACTGTTCACAAAGCCAAGAAATATTTATTTCTCCATCTAACTTCCACCAGGTATCTTCTAAATCCACACACTAATAGCCTATGAGAATTCAGGAGCCCTACTGAGGATCCTGCTCGTTAGTTTCCTTGAAGGCCTGGACTGACTGTGTCCATTTCCAGAGCCCCGTGTCATCCCTGTCTTACTTGCACGTGCCTCCAGAGGACGTACTGTACTTGTTTGCCTCTCAGTCTGCACCCCAGTGATCAGATTTCTCTGCCATCTTTTCATGCATTTATTCAGCTCAACAAATATTACCGAGCCCTTGTATGACCCAGGCACGGTTCTGTGAGCTGAGAATGTCGAGGGTAAAGCCAAAGTCCCCACCCTCCCGGCGGTTATATTCTAGTAATAGAAAGCAGACCAGCAAGGGACGCCTGGGAGACTCAGTGAAGCACCTGCCTGCGGCTCAGGTCATGATCTCAGGTCCTGGGATCAAGTCCCACATTGGACTTCTTGCTCAGTGAGGAGCCTGCTTCTCCCTCTGCCTGCCTCTCCCCCTGCTTGTGTGCTCTTTCTCACTTTCTTTCTCCCTCTCTCTCTGGTTCTCTCTGACAAATAAATAAATAAAATCTTAAAAAAAAAAAAAAAGAAAAGAAAGCAGACTACTAAAAAAGAGAAAAGAATAATATATAGCATGTCAGATGTTAAAAAGTATTCCAGAGAAGAGTAAAGCAGGGTAGGGAGAATAAAGATGCCAGTAGGCGGTGGGAAAGTGACATTTGATCAGAGACCTGAAGGAAATAAAGGAAGTGATCACCAGGTCCCTTATCACATGGATGCAGGATGTGTGTGTGTGTCTGTAAAATACAACTAAAGGAGAGGATTTTTAGTAACTCATTAGATTTTTATATTTAGAAAAATAATATACTTCATAATAAGACAATAAGTCTATTATATAAGGAAAATCTATTTTATCTCCACCTATCCTTTCCATCAAAGGAAGCTCATGTTAACAGCTTATTATGTAATATTTCCATACATTTCGTATACTGATACATATAAGTATGTGGGAGGAGACTGTGATGTTCCAGAAGGTTTCGAACAAATAAATGGGCAGTAGAGCATAAGAATAATAACCATCCTCTTTTTTAAAAAAGATTTTATTTATTTATTTATTTGACAGACAGAGATCACAAGTAGGCAGAGAAGCAGGCAGAGAGAGAGGAGGAAGCAGGCTCCCCGCGGAGTGGAGAGCCCGATGCGGGGCTTGATCCCCAAACCCCGGGATCATGACCTGAGCCGAAGACAGAGGCTTTAACCCGCTGAGCCACCCAGGTGCCCCAATAACAGTACTCTGGACTATAGAGAACAAATGGATGGCTACCAGAGGGGAGGGGTAGAGGGATGGTGAAGAAACAGGTGATGGGGACTAAGGAGTGCTCTTGTCCTGATGAGCACCAGGTGGGGTATGGAAGTGGTGAATCACTATATGACACACCTGAGACTAATAGAACAGTGTTAACTAACTGGAATTAAAATTAAATTAAATTAATAGAAACAGCAACAGCAAGGCGAACAGAATTTAATCTGGGAATGCAGAGGTGGTGCATTTCAATATAATGATTATATCAACAGATTAAAGAACAACCAGGTGATCATCTGAATATACACTAAAAAGTCATTACAGAAATTCTTAACAAAAATTCTAATTGTAAGATAGGAAGGAATAGAGGGGAAACTTAAATAGAGAAGACTATCCAGGGGAACCTGGGTGGCTCGGTCAGTTAAGCATCTGACTCTTGATTTCAGCTTAGATCATGATCTCAGGGTCACGAGATGGAGCCCCGCATGGGGCTTTGGGCTGAGAGTGGAGCCTGCTTGGGATTCTCTCTCTCCCTCTGCCCTTCCCCACAACCCTGCTCACACATTCGCTCATGCTCACTCTCCCTCCCTCTCTCCCTCTTCCTCAAAAAAAAAAAAAAAAAAAAAAAAAAAAAGACGAACCAAAATCAAGAGGCAGATATTATACTGTAATTAAACACTGGAACCACTTCAGTTAAAAATCAGGAATTAGGCAAGAATGCTCATTATCATCATTATTATTGAATACTTTCTTTGTGATTTTAGTTAGCAAATACAATAAAACAAGAAAATTCAAGAATTGGCATAAACATTAAGGAAAAAGAGACAAAACTATCTCATTTGCTGTTGCTGGTGACTTCTTACATAGAAAACCTCCAGAGGCTCTAGAGAAAAGCAAAACAAACCACTAGAATCGACAAGATAATTTAGTAAGCGGCTGGATGCGAGACAATTATATAAAAATCAATAGTTTCTCTTTCTTTTAGCAATAAGCACCCAGAAACAGAAAAAAAAATCCATTCGATATTGACAAAACCTATATAATATCTAAGGATAAATGTAACAAGAAAAGCACAGGACTTATATGAAGAAAACTATAAAATCTTATTAAAATGCCCTCAAACAAGATGTAAACATTTACCAGTTCTCTCAAGATTAAATACAAATTTAATCAAGTTCCAATTAGAATTCCAACTGGTGTTGCCAGATAAAATACAGGATGCTTAATCACATTTGAATTTCAGATAACAGTGAGTAATTTTTTAGTATAACTATGTCAATACAAGTATGTGTCATGCAATATTTGGGACATACTTATACTAAAAAATATTTCCTAAATCTGGCAGCCTTAATCCCAAAAGGATTGGGGGCAGAGGGAGAATTAGATGAAATGATTCTAAAGTATATGTAAAAAAATAAATGCTCTATAATAGTCAAGGAAATTAAGAAAGAGCAAAATAGTTACAGAAGATGTATTCAGGCCCTACAGGACTCTCACAACATACTTGAGCTCTGATTCAAAAGAGTGTAATGCAGAGACTATCTACAAATATATGGGCCTGCCAGGGAGGGTGAAGCCCTCATTACCAAAAGCAGGAAGGCATTAGTTCCAAAGGAACAGAGAGAGAAAATGACGTCATCAGAATCACCTCGGACAGCTGTGACCAAGGCAGAGGGGTCACCCAGCAGGAGCAGGAAATTGATGGAATAAAGTTCTAGAAGGAGAGAGGTGAATCTTGCCAGGGGAAGCAGGTCCCTTGTAGAGCAGAAGGAAGGGAGGTAGTCAAAGACTGAGGAGCTTGGGAGAAGAAAGAAAAGAAGTTGAAAAGTTTTTTCTGTGAAGGCTTCCTCTTGCTTGAGGAGCAGTATCTGCTGAATGCTTCAGGAGCAGGCGTGAGGGCTTCACTCATGGCTGGTGTTTCTCCCACAGGCAGAGAAGCCAGGGAGACCGTGCACATCATCAACAAGGAGGAGCAGGGGTTCTCTTTTGCCTTCCAGGACAACTCCCGGTACTCCGAAGGTTTCAGCAACAGCCTGGTCATATGTCCCATGGAAGGTTGGATTCCGCCACAGTCCAGGTAAAGAAAAAGTCCCCCACAACTGCACACCCCCACTATAGCAAGGGTTCTAGACCTGCTAGCCAGGAGAATCCATTTCCCCCAGAGTGCCCTGTATCACATCTCTTCCAACTCTAAAATTTATATGAACAATCCCACCCCTGTCCTCCTTATTTTCCATTGTTCATTTTCCTGATAAATTGTAGAGCACTGAGAACTTTAAGACCTTCTTCTCAATATTTTTCTCTCATATTTATATTCTTTTCCTTTTTTTCTGTTATATTTGTGAATTCATAAAGCAATGTTCAGCCATGACTGGCAAATCTTCAAAATTCGTCGTAATTTGGAATGACAGTGCTTTTTCCTCATGGAGCATGTGCTAACCCATCAGGCTCATATTCTTTAGCAGGTTATAACAGGTTGGCCTGGGCAGCTAATCTGCTGTCTTCTTCCCCAACCAGGTTCCCGGTTGATATTTTCTTCACACCAAAGCAGGAGGGAGATGTGAACTTTAATTTGATCTGCAATGTGAAAAAGAAAGCTCACCCTCTGACTTTAAATGTCAAGGCTGAGGGATACACTATGAATGCGGAGGTCAAGTGCAAGGACAGGACTGGCTTGATCACTCTCCTGACTCCCAAAGAGACTAACATTTTCAACTTCTATGAGGTAAGAGTGTGAGAGAGCCTTGATTGATTCTCTCTCTCCTCTCTCTCTCTTTCTCTGTTTCCACACTGGCTGGGAAAGGAAGTACAAGGGAATGTTAGCTGTAGCTCTCTGTTTCAAATGCCAGGGAGACCAGAAGAACAGCACATGCCAGAAGCATCTCCACCCTCAGAATGCATATAGTTTTGATGTGAAACTTATTTTATCTTTCAGGGGGTGGAGAGATGGTAGGGAAGGGAATAATACTTGATTTCAACATACAGGAAGGATGTTTGTCCACTAAGCGTTGTCTAAAAATTACATTGCCATCTTACACTTCAGGTATGAGCATCCCCCCCCCGCCATCATTTAGTAGCTCTTGGTGGAATATCTGAATACATTAAGCCCATGAAACTCAGCTCACTAACATCATCTGTCATCCCTATCTCCCAAATGATATTTTCCCCCAACATCTTACATATCCTAACCCCAGAGAAGGGAACCATGATTTGCATTCTGTGAACATACTACTCTGTTCTCTGTCTCTCAGGTAGAGTTGAACGAATGTGTCCAATGTGAACTCAGCTTTATCAACACTGGAAAATTCAACTTCAGCTTCCAGGCAGAGCTATCTGGCCCCAAATCCCTATTGCAATACTTGGAATTTTCCCCCATTGATGGCAGTGTGGATGTGGGGCAGACTGCACATGCCTCCGTGTCTTTCCAGCCATTTAAGAAGTGTGTCTTGAAAGGCCTGGAACTCAGAATCAAGGTGAGACCATTTAACATTGTCTGACCCTGAAAGAACTCCCAGCACTCTGTCTTGACAGAGTAATTCTCCTGTATGTTCCTTGTCTTCTCCACCCTTCCAGAAGCTCCTGGAGAGTGGTCATGTTGGAAACAGTCTCACAATCTCTAGTATAAAGGGCTCATCCACAGTTGAGGCGCCCAGTGAATAAGTGTCCATTGCAAAGCAGTAGGCCATCCATGCCCTGGAATCCTATGCAGCTATTAAAATGAATAAGGGAGATGGGTGGGCGGTGCAGAGGAAATAAGAGAGACAAAATATGTATAACATTTTCCAAGATACATCACTGAATGAAAAACCAAGGATTCATGATGCCCGCAGGAATGGCAGAGAAGGACCGCTGGAGAGCTGCTCTCACATAGTGATGAGTACACTGGCAAAAACTATCAAAAGCAATTCTTTTCAGAACTCTTAAAGTTAACCAAGGGCTAGCAAGAATCCTAGGATCATTTATTCAAGAAAAATGACTGAATTGTGTGTATATGCCTCATTTTCTTTATTCACCTGTCGATGAACATTCAGTTGGTTTGCACAGCTTGACTACTGTAACTAGTGCTACACTGAACGTGAGAGTGTTAACACCTCTTCAAGATCCTGACTTCAATTCTTCTGGGTACCAAAGCCAAACAAAGACAACACAAGAAAAAAACTACGGGCCGATATCCCTAATGAATACAGGTAGAACAATCCTCAACACAATACCAGTAAATCAAATCCAACAATACACTGAAAAGATCATACACTACAACCAAGTAGGACTTACCTCTCAGATGCCAGGATGGTTCAATATACAAAGACCAATTAATGTGATATCCGACATTAACAGAATAAAGGATAAAAATCACATGATCATCTCAATAGAAGGGGCAAAAAGCATTTGACAAAATTCATGATAAAAACTCTCGACAAACTAGGATTAGAAAGAAAGTACCCCCAACATAATAAAGGTCATATATGAAAAGCTCACAGCTAACCTCATGCTCATCAGTGAAAAGCTAAAAGCTTTTCCTTTAAGATCAGGACCAAGGCAAGGATGCCCACTCTCACCACTTCTGGAAGGCCTAGGCAGAGTGATTAGACAAGAAGAAGAGAAAATGTATCCAAATTGGAAAGGAAGAGGTAAAATTGTCCCTGTGTGCAGACAACATGATCTTATATATAGAAAACCCAAAATATTCCATTAAAAAATCTGTTAGAATTAGGGCTCCTGCGTGGCTCAGTTGGTTAAGCCTCTGCCTTCAGCTCAGGTCATGATCCTGGGGTCCTGGGATCAAGCTCCACATCGGGCTCCCTGCTCTTTGGGCAGTCTGCTTCTCCCTCTCTCTGCCTGCTGCACCACCCCCCGCAAGCTCTCTATAAAATAAATATATAAAATCTTTAAATTAAAAAAATCTATTAGAATTAATAAAATAATTCAGTACAGTTGCAGAACACAAAGTCAACAAACACAAATCAGTTGCTTTCCTATACACTAACAAGAAACTATCTGAAAAGAAAATTAGGAAAATAATCTCATTTACAATATCACAGAAAAGAATTCAATTCTCAGGAATAAACTAAGGTGGTGAGAAACTTATATACTGAAAACTACAAACACTGATGAAAGAAATTAAAGACACAGACAAATGGAAAGACATCCTGTGTTCATGAGTGGAAAGCCTTAATGTTGTTAAAATTTCCATGCTACCCAAAGCCTTCTATAGATTCAGTGCCATCCCTATCAAAATCCCAATGACACAAATACAGGAAAACAATTCTGTGATTCAAATGAAGCCACGAAAGACCACAAATAGCCAATCAATCCTGAGAAAGAAGAACAAGGCTAGAGGCATCATTCATCCTGATTTCAAAATAGGTTACAAAGCTACCATCATCAAAATAGCATAGTACTAGCATGGAGACAGACACATAGACCAATGGAACAGAATAGAGAGCCCTGGAAATAAATGCACACATATACTGCCAACCAATCTTTGACAAAGTTGCCAAGTACCCACCATGGGAAAGGAGAGCCTCTTTGGCAAATGGTGCTGGGAGAATTGGAGATCCATATGCAAAAGAATGAAACTGAGCCTTTTACACCATGCCCAGAAGTCAGCTGAAAATGGTTAAAGACTTAAACATAAGTCCTTAAACCATAAAGCTCCTAGAAGGCAACATCAGGGGAAAGTTTCATGAACTTGGTTTGGCAGTGACTTCACGGATATGACGCTAAATGCACAGGCAACAAAAACAAAAATAAAAAGAAGACTCTCAAACTCAAAAGCTTCTGCACAGCAAAAGCAAGAATTGACAGAGTGAAGAGACATGGTCTTTATTCATATCCTTACAGAAAGTGTGACTGACAGGGAACCAGGGAGTATGACAATTGGAACCCAAGGTCAGTTGCTGGCCAGTCCATAATTTAGAAGGACATGAAGTCACAGTACAGTCTAAAAAAAAAATTTTTTTTTTTCATTAGAAAAGAGTAAAATTCCTAGTTTGGAACTCAAGGGCGATGTTGCAGCCATCTTACCTGGGAAGAGGCAGGCATCCCACCTCAAAAGGAGCCCATCACTTTGGAGAAACCTCTTTTTCAGAACTTCCATGTCTTCCTGAAGAAAGAAACATCACACACACGTCATAGTACCTTCCTGCTCTAAATGGCAGAAGAGTTGAAGGTGGTCAATTTTAATCCTTTCTAGGCAATCAGTCACAAAATATAAAGACTTTAAAAGCCTTAAGCTGTTTTTCAGTTTATAAAGTTGTTTATGGAAACTTGTGCCAATTACTGTTATAATGCTTCTTCTAATGATGTTTAGGATAAATAGTGGATATTTTGATTTAAATAAATTTTCAGCTTCCAAATTTCATATTCTTAAGTTTCTGAAGAGCAAATTAAGTTCATGTCCCAATAGGCACCTGTGTCATCTTATTGGGGACCCAGGGATGATCCATACTGTTTCTATCTTCCACTCTTTCACCCTTGACATAGGGCACTTTGACTTCCTTCATTCTTGTCCTTTCCTGGGCGCAAGGTGGCCATTCCCCCCTGTAGCCCTAGGTCTGCATTCAAAGTGCAAATAAGAGGGAAGAGCCTGAAGGCAAAACAAACAAAAAACCAACAACCAAGCAACTCAGCTCTCTCAGCAAGACCACCTCTGTATTCAAAATAGGACACCCTCTTGTCCTTTTCTGTTTATATCTGACGACCAGAACTATGTCTGAGGACCACCCTTAGTGTCAAGGAAGGACAGGAACTCAAGTGTTTTCCCCTGGGCGGGCACATTGGCAGCTAGGCAGAGTCCTGCCAATAGGGAACCCCTGGGAAGCAGATGGGGGGCAGTAACCAGCAGTTACCAGCAGTGTCCACCATACCCCTGCCTTCCAGCTAAATCCTCGCTGCCAGAGCCAATGCGGGGTCTGATTGCGACTGTCTCACTTTGCTTTCCTCAAGTAAACAAACTTCTAACCTGTGAATCAGATTCTCTGCCCATGGAGTCCTAGTGTCTGAATTTTTTTTTTTTTTTTTTTTTTTTTTTTTTTTTGGAAAATCACCAACTGCTTTCCTCCTTCACCTGGGGACTCGAGGAGCCCTTTGCTCACACTTGTAATCCTGCTCCGCCTGCCATTGCCTCCCCACAGATCAGCCACGGCCCGACATTTCTGTGCAGCCTCTCAGGCTGTGCTGTGAGCCCCGCCGTTCATTTCTCCTTCACCAGCTACAACTTTGGGACCTGCTTCATCTACCAAGCTGGGATGCCCCCATACAAACAAATCCTGGTTGTCACCAACAAGGAAGAAACGTCTATGAGGTAAGCAGTCTTCCCGGAGCTTCCAGACGAGTCTGTAGCTCCTCATGGGTCATACCGGTGAAGTGCTTTCGAAACAGAAAAAGATTATGGGGGAAGAGTCGAACACAGCTAGGCATGAATCCCGAGTCTCCTTTCCCCACCACTACTACTTGGGTAGCCATAAGCTGCTCTGCTGAAAATCTTGAAATGAGGAGGGCAAATGCCTGATGAGAGGTTCAGTGGCTTCCATGTATTTTCCCCACATAATAGATGTGGAGACCAAGGTTTGAAGGGTTTAAAAGTGAATTTCTCAGGCCATTACTTCGTAGTGAATAACAAATCTATACTGAGCTTTTAAGTCTTCTGATTAAATTCTAGCCTCTCTGCACCATCCCGGTGTGGAATGTTCCAGTACGGGTTTCTGGGCCTTATTCCAGACCTATCAAAAAAGGATTTCCAGAGACTAGCCCAGAGACCTGTGTTTCCTCAAGGCTTTCTAGGTTAGTACTATGCAATAGAACTTTCCTGGACACTGGGACTGTTACATGTCTGTGCTTCCAGTATGGCAGCCCACGACTCCATGCGGCTGCAGAGCACATAAATTGTGCCTGGTGCAACTGAGGGACCGAATTTTTAGTTTGTTAAATTTTAATGCATTTGAATTTGAATTTGAATAGCCACATGGGTCTAGTGGCTGCCAGCCACTAGATAGCCACTAGGTAGATAGCACAGGCCTAAGTTTGAACCCCAGCTCTTTCCTAGCTGTGCGAACTTGGGCACATGTTCTCACCTCTCCTCGCCTGAGATGGTGGATAATAATAGAGCCTCCCCTATGGGGCTCTCAGGAGGATTAAATTAGCCCCCAGAGAGAGCCCTAAGAGCAGTGCCTGGAACATAGGAGAGGCTCAGTTATGGTTATCTGCTGCTGCTGCTGCTGCTGCTGCTGCTGCTGGGACGCTGATGGTTATCATCCTGAAGGGGATGTTACAAGAGTGTCATGTGATTGGAAATGCTCATTAAAACTCTTATCTACCTGCACTCTTTCCTGCATGATTTAATTCAATCGGAAAGGCATTCAGTTACGTTTATTGGCCTAGCAGGACTCCTTCTCTAAATACCTGGAAGACAGACAAGGAAGTACTGAAATGGGGAGGTCTCGTGCCTTCCTTCCCACAACTGGACATAGAGCGGACATGGTCTTCGAGGACGCCATGTAATTGGGCGATTAGTGATAATGAGAACAGATCGCCTTTGTGGAGTGTTTTTCCTCCGTGCCCTGCTTAGTGACTGACTCAGTCACTCTATTCCATTTAATGCCCCCCAACAGCCTTACGAGGTAGCTGTCACTATCCCAGCTTTACAGATAAGGCAATAAAGGCTCAAAGGGCGAGTAACTTTTCTCAGGTCTCATGGCTGATTAGTGGTTAAGAGCCCAGATCCAAACTCCTGTGTATCTGACTCAGAACACACACTTCTCTCCTCTGTGCTTTGCCCCCCAGTTACTTAGGAAGCTTTTCTCCTCCTCCTCCTCTACCTCCTTCTCCAATTTTTCCTTAAAGAGAGAGAGAGAGCACTCTCACAGGGTTGGGGTGGGGGGAGAAGGGCAGAAGGAGAGGGAGAGAGACTCTTAAGCAGGCTCCATGCCCAGCATAGAACCTGATGCAGGGCTCAATCTAAAGACCCTGAGATCATGACCTGAGCTGAATGAAGTTAAGAGGCAGACACTTGACCTACTTGGCCACGCAGGCACCCCAGGAAGTATTTCCTTCCTTTGCATGGAACAAAGGGCCATGGCACTTTTGAGTTTGAGGCCCAGTTCTGCCAGGATCTCAGGGTGTGATTTGGGGTAAGTAACTTGATTATGCCAGGGAGCCATGGCCTGGACCACTGCTAAGGTCCCTTCCAACGGTTACCTCCTCTGACTCCAGGGCAGAGGGCAGGAAATCCATCAGTACCCAGCTCAGAGAGATAAGGGGACAGAATCGGTCTTTCTGGGGGACTTAAACATGTGTTCTGACCTCCAGGAGCACAGGCTGGTCCTGGAGATCCTCTTCCTTTGTAGACAAAATGGAAATATGAGCACCCTCTATCTTCCACATCTTCCTCCTGATTTTCTGCAGCTTAGACTGTCTGTATACCAATACCACATACCTCGAGGTAAACTTCCGCGTCGATGTGATAAAGCCGGGAAAGACACTGGAGATTCCAATCACCTTTTATCCTCGAGAAAGTATCCAATACCGAGAACTCATCCCCTTTGAAATCAATGGGCTCTCACAGCAAATAATTGAAATCAAAGGGAAAGGCACCGAAATGAAGGTAAGAGACCTTGATGAGATCCCTCAGGCTTGGCACACTCCTTTTTGCCCTCCCAGCCACCTGTGCCCCCCTGAGCCCATTCTTCCTCCCCTCTCCACCTGTCTGGCCCCCAAGCTCCTCTGTCAGAGGCCAGCCAGTCCCACTGAATGGTGAACTGTCAAATCTGACTCTTCCTCAGACCAGACTCCAGTGAATCATAGGCTACAAGGAATCACGGGCACCAGAGAAACATTCTTTTTCTTGGAGAAGTTTGAGACTATCAGATGCATAATCCCGAGCCCGTCCTTCTCCTCTTACATCAGGGTGTGTTTTGTTTTCAGGTTTAATAGGCTAGATTTGTTTTGGATAGCAATTTATTTTGGCTGTGTGTGCAGATGTGCGTTTCAGTTGTGGAGCATCTTTCCTTAATGCCACATTGAGTAATGTTCTCTGCCAGACACAGATCCCAGGATTACGTTCCACTGAGGGCGTGGCTTCTAAGCAGCGCTCCTAATGAAAGTCCTGTGCTAATCCCTTTCTCCCTGGTGTCTGGTAAACCTTTGAGGTGTCTGTTTGGTGAGCATATTTGCATTTTACTAGGACGTTCTGGAAGATGGAAGCCTTTCCCAGATGCTCAGAAATGCACGGGACATTTCTGCCACAGACAGAGAAGATGGGGGAGGGCTGGAAGGGAAGTGTCCCTGACAGCCTTCCCATCAAGCTAGAGGAGGCCCAGGACATGACCTCCTGGTGTGTCTGCACCCAAGCTGGATGGGGCGGGGCGGGGGGTCTCTTCTGCTCTCGCCACTCATTCAGTCACTCACTTACTCTGTACCCACTGTGTGTAGGTCCTTTGGGGGAAATCCCAAGGGGACCTCCAGGAGCACAGGCTGCTGCTAGGGACTCTCAGCTTTGGAGACCGAATGGAAATGGCTGGATATCAAGAAAGCTGAGGAGTAGGGGGTGTGCACTTTAGGGACTGAGCAAATGACAGTGACCCACGCAGGGTCTGCTGCAGAGTCCTGCGGGCCAGGCCCAGGCTGACCTTGATCCATCCCGGCCAACACCAGGATCAGGTCCTTGTGAGGACTTGGAAGCATGTCCGCCGCAGCACCTCTGCAGCCGCCATTGTAGTCTGAATGCTCAGCTCCTCTCACTCCTCCAGGCTGTCCCTCCCGCTGCCTTCCAGCCTGTCTCCAGAGAGACGCAAGCCAGAGCACTCCCAAAACATGCGTCTGAGGGGGTCACCCCATGTTGTCCTGGCTTCCCGCTTCTCCCAGCACAAACCCTGACTACCTGCCAGCCTGTCTTCTTAGGGCAGCCCTCGTTCCCGGCCACAGGCCTTGACTGAGCCACTCCTCTGACTCAGGGCCTTGCCACAGAGTGTCCCCCTGCCCCCAGGGTGCCCTCCAACCTCACACCACCCCGACTCAAACTGACTAGATCCTGCCCTTCCTTTAGCTCCCCGGTGCAGTGTAGACATGCCCTCTCAGGGACGCCTCCCCAGACCCCCCAGCCAGTTCAGTCTCTGTAGTGTGCTCTCAAGGTACCCCGAGCATTTCCTCCACAACCCTTCACCCTGTTGTAATTATGTAGTTGTGTAGGGAGCCGCTTAGGGGTTCCTTTATGCCCATGAATGTCCACTCCCCATATGAAGACACCACGGGAGATGAAGCACCCCTGCCTCACCAGAGCGGATGGGTCACCCCGGTTACTCTTCTCCGTAACCAATGAAACCCTCCATCCCTGCTCTCTATTCTGTTCCGCAGATTTCAGTGCTAGATCCAGCCAACAGGATTGTGAAGTTAGGAGCTGTCCTGCCGGGACAGGTAGTAAAGAAAACGGTTTCCATCATGAACAACAGCCACACCCAGCTCACATTCAGCCTGTCGGTCCTGTTCTCAGTTCCAGAACTCCAGGAACCCAAGGTTGGTGCTCAGGGCTCCCGGCGGGCCCCTCTCTCGCCCCGATGGTACCGATGACCGTGCTCACCATGCTGACCACCCCCACTTCTCGCGCACCTGCAGTGTGCCCGGCTGTTCCAAGAGCTCCCTGCGTGCCACCTCAGAGTGTCCTCCCAAAAGCAGTGTGGGGCTGGTGCTTTCTTTATTCTCACTTTACACAGAAGGACACCAAGGCTTAGAGAGGCTGCACACTTCCAAAGGGCAGCAAGTGAAAGAGAAAGGGACATGATTCAGTAGATCTGGATTCTCATGAACGTATCTATCCTGTAAAAGTCACAAAGAAAACCATTTCCCCATAATCTCACACCAAGAAACAATCACTTGCCAATGACCGCCTTCTTGTCGTATGTCCACCCAGTGGAGAGACAGCGAGATTGAGCTCTGGTGTCTCTTCTCACAAGGGTTCTAGTCCCGTCATGGGGCTCCCATTCTCATGACCTCATCTAAACCTAATTATTCCCTAGAGGCTGAACACCACTCACGTATGAATTTGGGGGGTCACCATTCAGGCCGTAGCAAGGTCATGTGACATAGACAGGTCTGGTGGAGTTTCCAGTTTTCAGGGGTCACTGACCCAGAAATAATACCTGAAAAGCCTAGAAACTGCAGAGGCCAGATGTGAGTTGGGAAAGGGCAGCTCACAGGACAGCTGGGGCTGTTGGGAGGCCTCACGGTGGAGGGAGGCCTGCACCGAGGCTAGGGTGAGAGGCGAATGCAGGCAGACAGGTTGGGGAGAGGTGCGCTCGCAGGCAAAGCTCCGTGTGCTCCGGAGACTCTGCTTGCGTACGTCCAGGTGGGAGGTGGTGCAGCAGGAGCACCTCGAACCGTCTGTGGGTGGCCACGAAAATGGGCTGGGGAGCTAACCAGAGCAAGAGAGCCGGTGGGCATCTCACCCCATGGCCATGCTGCCATCCAGAGACAGGGTCGACTTGTTGCTTCCATTTCCTCATTCATCTCAGGCGACGTCCACAGTGCCACTGGGCCAGGGCCCCTGACCTTTGGGCCAAGCCACTTTTGTCTCTTTCGGGGATGAGTGACCGGTACTGGCCCGGGGGCCTTGGGCTTGGCCTTCAGTGTCATAGTGTTTGCAGAAATCACGAAGATCGCGGCCCCGGTGCAGTTTCTAGCCCATCTCACCCCAGCCTCCGCAGTCCTCCGCTCTGCACCCCAGGGGAGCACAAGCGCCAAAGGAGCCTCAGCTTCCTTAGAGCTGACTTTCATTCATTTCTGCCAGGACAGAGCGGGAAGGGGAGACAATATGAATTTAAACAGCAGTTCCCAGACTCTAGAACACGTGGGTCAGGGCATTTTTGATGATGCGAGTTCCAGGCTCTCCCAAAATTCAGTCGGCCTGGGGAAGGACCTAGGAATCTGCATCTGAAACAGCACACCAGGGAGTGTGGTGCAGAGATCACAGGGAGCCCTCCCTGGAAAGACATCAGAGCGTTGAGCATTTTCCATTTCCTCTTATCGAGCTCTTTCCTCCACGGGAGAGTAGGGGTCATGTGCTGCAAGGGGCTGGAAAGAGAATTAGCATTTGTGGAACGCCAATTACCTGCCATGCTTTCCTACGGATGATCAGAATCTTCACATAGAGTAAGTCACAGAATGCTTAAAAACTTGCCAAAGGGGGCGCCTGGGTGGCTCAGTGGGTTAAGCCGCTGCCTTCGGCTCAGGTCATGATCTCAGGGTCCTGGGATCGAGTCCCGCATCGGGCTTTCTGCTTGGCGGGGAGCCTGCTTCCCTCCCTCTCTCTGCCTGCCTCTCTGTCTACTTGTGATCTCTCTCTGTCAGGTAAATAGATAAAATCTTTAAAAAAAAAAAAAAAAAAAAAAAAACTTGCCAAAGATGACCCAGCCAGCGGGAGGGAGCAGAATGGACTCTGACCCCTGGGCTGTTGCAGCCCTAACAGCAAGACCCAGAAACGGATGCCTCCAACGCCCCCTGCCCTCAGCCGCTGAGTCTCACTGTGCTTCTGTCCAGGTCCTCACCCTGATACCCTTCCACAACATCACTCTGAAGCACAAAGAGGTCTGTAAGCTGGAAGTCATCTTTGCCCCGAAAAAGCGCATCCCTCCCTTCTCTGAGGAGGTGTTAATGGAGTGTATGGGGCTCCTGCGTCCTCTCTTCCTACTGAGCGGCTGCTGCCAGGCCCTGGAGATCTCCCTGGACCAGGAGCATCTCCCCTTCGGGCCAGTCGTGTATCAGACACAAGCCACGCGTCGCATCCTTATGTTGAACACGGGTGACGTGGGTGCAAGGTAGGAGAGCGGCGTGCCCACCCCGAGGCCAGCACAGCCCTGTAACACTGGCTATGCCCTCAGTCTGGACAGGACATCTGTGTTACAAGTCTGGCCACTTGTTACTTCTATCCCCTCCCTTTGCTCAAGATGTGACAACGGTGGTCCCTCACGGGTGACTGCTGCTGCCAGGGAGACGAAAATTAATGTCATTGAGAACATTTGCTTGGTCCTGTTCTATGCCCTTCACGTGGCTCCTCTTGGCTAATCGCAAGCAGTTCCATCGCTGATCCATTTTACAGATGAAACAACTGGATTACTTTACCAAAATCATGCATTTAGCGAGGACTCACACTGTGCAGGTGCAGTGCTGAACATTCTAGCAAATAAGCTCCCATTAATTATCCCAGGCCCCTTTAAGGTCCTCTGCTGACCCCATTCCACAGATGAAGGTGAGGCTTAAGGAGGTTAGGTGATTGACCTGAGGTCACTTAGGCAAGAAATGACAAAGACGGGATTGGAACCCAAGTATATCTATGACCGTTGTCTTCTCCAGCCTCTTCCCCCTGGCTAGCAGGCACCCACCCCAATCACTACTCAGGCTTGCCACCATACCCGTGCAGGCAGGCACTGCATACCTGCAGGGGGCACCCTCGCCCAGACTTCAGTGAGAACAGCACCCTGAGGGCGTGGTGTGGTGCCCCTGCTCGCCAGTGCTGGAAGCACCGATCTGTCCCCCCCGCCCTCTGTCTCCTGTCTGGCCCCCAGAGGGATGACTACACAGGCCCCTCAGGTCTCAGCACCACCAAGAGCAGGTGCAGCGCTCACAGGAGGGCATCACCTCTGCCCTCCTGGATCTGACCTGCAAGACAGTGCAGGGAGTGCTGATAGCCACGGTCTCAGGGAGGGTTCAGTCCTAGCCCAATCCCTTCCTAGCCATGTAATCTTAGGTACACACGTGTTAGTGCGTTCATGCACATGTCCCCCCACGAGCCACTCGTGGGCCATAAAATAATATGCAACCCCTTCCCACCCTGCTTGGTCCGAGAAGCTGCTGAGCCCTCCTACCCAGGATTGACCCGGCTCTCGCCCCCACCTGCCCCTACCACACTCAGTGATGGTCTTCCTCGCAGGTCCCAGGGCGTATTCAAAGGGGGTAAACGTCCCAGCTAAAAGCCCAGGCAACGTCTCTTGATCTCAGCAGCATTGAAGACACCCCCAGGATACTAGTAAACTGTCTTTCTTGTCTCTTTTTGTCTTGGAAAAGGTTTAAATGGGATGTCAAAAAATTTGAGCCTCATTTCTCCATCAGCCCAGAAGAAGGCTATATCACTGCGGGCATGGAGGTTTCTTTCGAAGTGACCTACCATCCCACTGAAGTGGGCAAGGAGACTCTCTACAAAAACTTGCCCTGCTTCATCCAGGGAGGCAATCCCCTGAGCCTGACCCTCTCTGGAGTCTGTGTGGGACCACCTGCAGTAAAAGAGGTCAGTAGATGCTGCTCACAGATGGGCCCGCAGCTGGAGGGGTCCTGGCAAGCTCTGCAATTAGAAACGAGTGACTCGTTCAAACAGTCCTCGGTGCCAACACCAGACATTCAGACCTGTTCCCTGGCCCCTACCACAGGGCTTTTGCATATTCTGTTCCCACTGCTGCAATATTCATTTTCCCTCTTCATTTAGTTCATTCCTATTCACTCTTCAGCTCTCAGCTCAAGCATCACATTCTCAGGGAAGCTTGCACGGCTGTCTCTGGCTAGATCGACTTCTCTTACAAGCTCTGTAAGGAAAGGGTACACACCTTTCTCTCCTCTCTCATGAAAAAAAGGGGGGAGAATGGGGCTTGGGTTAACCCTCTGCTAGCCATGTTCACAGAAATCTGAGAGTGGACTCTGTTCCACTTACGGTAAAAACCACTTAGGCTAAAAATGACACCCAGTCTTCATCTCTGTAATCCCATTATTTCAAGAGTGTTATGTAAATGGAATCATACAGGGGCACCTGGGTGGCTCAGTTGGTTAAGCGTTCTGCCTTTGGCTCAGGTCATGATCCCAGGGTCCTGGGACAGAGCCCCATGTTGGGCTCCCTGCTCAGCGGGAAGCCTGCTTCTCCCTCTCCCACTCCCCCTGCTTGTGTTCCCTCTCTCACTGTGTCTCTCTCTTTCAAACAAATAAATAAAATCTTTAAAAATAAATAAATAGGGGCACCTGGGTGGCTCAGTGGGTTAAAGCCTCTGCCTTCGGCTCAGGTCGTGGTCCCAGGGTCCTGGGATCGAGCCCCACATCGGGCTCTCTGCTCAGCAGGGAGCCTGCTTCCTGCTTTCTCTCTCTCTGCCTGCCTCTCTGCCTACTGTGATCTCTGTCTGTCAAATAAATAAATAAAATCTTTAAAAAAAAATAAATATAAATAAATAAATAAATAAATAAATGGAATCATATGATATGCTATGAACATGTCTCTACAAGTCTTGGCAAGAACATATGCTTTCATTTTCTTGGGTAAATATGTAGGAGTGAAATGCCTGGGTCGTAGCGCAGGCATATATTTACTTTTTTAGGAACCTACTAAACTGTTTCCCAAAGTGGTTGTGTCATTTTACATTTCTACCAGCAATGGCTGACATTTCTACTTATGTTACATCTTGCCAACACTTGGTATAGTCAGTTGTTTTAATTTTAGTCATTCTAATAAATACATGGTGCTGTCTCCTTGTGTTTCTTAATTTGTAGTTCCCTGATGACGCATGATGTCGAGCATCTTTGTGGGCATTTATTTGCCTCCATATCATCTCTGTTGAAGTATCTGTTCAAATTTTCCATCTTTTTAACCGGGCTTTTGGTTTTCTTCTTATTGAGTTTTGAGAGTTCTTCCTATATGCAGGACACAGACTTTACAATTAGATCTTCAGTCTGTTTTGAGTTTTTGTATGTAGTGCAAGATATGGATCAAAATTCATCTCCTTGTATGTTTTGGGATATGGACATGGTTGAAAAGTGCACCCTTTCTCCACTTGAAATACCTTTGCACTTTTTTCAGAAACCATTTGACCATACAGGGGCGGTCTCCTAATCTATTGACTCTCCTTACCGCCACTGCCACAGTGTCCCTGTGGCTACATTCGGTGGTCAGTTCTCAACTGTTGACCTCTTAATAGCATTTGAAACCTTGAACAAGTCCCCTGAAGAAGGATCCTTCCAACACTTCCCTCACTTGGCTCCTAGGATACCACCCTTTCCTGGGTTTCTTCCTACCTTATTAGATGCTCCCTCTCATCTCCTCTTCTGATTTTTCTTAACATGGGCGTGTGCCAGCCAGGAATTAGTTCTTAAATTTCTTCTTGTTTCTAAAACCAATTAACTTCTTGACAATCTCATCCAGTTTCTTGGTCTTAAAAAAATAAAACAAAACAAAGCAAAACACTGCCGTACCCTCAACTCCCAAATATGTATCTCCGAACTCTTCGTTCTTCGAACTCTTCGTTCGTAAGTTGCGCTGCCTGGCTGAGGTGCCTGCTTTCTTCCAGGTGGTGAACTTCACCTGCCAGGTGCGCTCCAAGCACACGCAGACCATCATGCTTTCAAACCGTACCAACCAGACCTGGAACCTGCACCCCATCTTTGAGGGTGAGCACTGGGAGGGGCCTGAGTTCATCACCCTGGAGCCCCATCAGCAAAACAAGCCCTATGAGATCACCTACAGACCCCGCACCATGAACTTGGAGAACCGCAAACATCAGGTAGACGGAGGCTTCCCCCACCCCCGTGGGTTTCCCTGTGTGTTTGGAGGGGGAAGAGTGGTGCAAAGAGGTAAGGGGTGCCTGGGTGGCTCAGTGGGTTGAGCCTCTGCCTTCGGCTCAGGTCATGATCTCAGGGTCCTGGGATCGAGGCCCACATCGGGCTCTCTACTCCGCGGGGAGCCTGCTTCCCCCCTCTCTCTCTGCCTACTTGTGATCTCTCTCTCTCTCTCTCTCTCTCTCTCTGTGTGTCAAATAAATAATAAAATCTTTAAAAAAAAGAGCTAAGGAGACAGAGTTTGGGGGCTCAGGAATGTTTAAATAGAAGGGGACACCTCTAACAATGTTGGAATAATAGGGAATCATGCAGATTATTGAGTCCAAAGCCTCCCTCAGTGCCCACATGTTATCATGTATAGGAGATTCTCTTAGAATGAGGGACACAGTTCTGGGCAGAGTCCTGGACTAAGCATCAAGCAATTAAGATTTACCTTAACTGCACAAATTTTTATCACCACGGCTGTCATCAAAATAAAAAAGGAAAGAAGCTGCAATCACCCACCCTTAAAAAAGGAGAACTATTCTCTTCTATCTTCACTACCAACCCTCACTCAGATACTGCCATAGCTGCCATCAGCATACCCAATTTCGCCTTCTGTTTGTTTTCACTTTACATTATATCATGAACATTTTTCTGTTTCACTAGTTTTTGTGATCCTCATGTTTAATGATTGTCTAATATTTCTTTGAATGAGAGTTCCAAAATTTATTTGACATTCCCCAGTTGTTGAATATCAAAGTTATTACCAAATTTTTATCAATATTATAATTGATTTTAATGTGTGTGTGTGTGTGTGTGCGCGCGCACACACGCAGCTTTTTCCTCTGCAAGGATTTTTAAGTTCCCTGGGATAAGGCTGCCGGCTAGCTCAACTGGTAGAGCCTGCGACTCTGAAGTTCCTTGGGGTGGAGTTCCTGGTTCAAATACATATGAACATGTTTATGACTCTTGAAACATACTACCACGCTGATTTCTAAGAGTTATGCTTACGTGAGGGCCTCTGTTAACCCCAAGTCACTACTATGCCTGAGCGGTAGCTAACAAGGGACCTTCTGTGCCATTCTGACCACGCTTCTCCTCCTCAGGGCACCCTCTTCTTCCCCCTCCCCGATGGGACTGGCTGGCTATATGTGCTACATGGGGTTGCCGAGCTCCCCAAAGCCGTGGCCAACATCTTCCGTGAAATACCATGTAAGACGCCCTACGTTGAACTCCTGCCAATCAACAACTGGCTTAACAAGCCCCAGAGGTGAGGGAGTGGGGCGAGGGGTCAGAGTGGAGGAGATGGAGGGAGGACATCCACTGTTAGCCTGGCCTTTCCACTGGTCAGCGCCTCCAGAAGACACGGAGGGGCTGAAAGATTCAGAGACGCATTTCATGATGTGGCCAGGCACTTCCTGACCTCTAAGCTTCCAGACACCCAGGGCTATTTGTGCACAGCCAATTACCTAAGTCTCCTAGACCGGGTCCTGGCATGAATTAAGTGCTTGGTAAATGTTAGCTGTTATTATTATCAAAATAAGAATTGTGGTGGTTATTATTGAGTGCTCTACCATATCACCTAAGCCACTGGCCAGAGAAGGACGTCCCTTGGATCTTTAGTTGCAGTGGGAGTAGAGTAGAGTTCAAGGGCTAGAGAAGCTTGAGGACCAGCAGCCTGGTCCCCTTCTTTGACAGAGAAGGAGCCAAAGGCTTGGAGAAGAGAATTCCTTACTGAAGGCTGCCAGGTAGCATAGTGGATGAAGGTCCAGACCTAAGTGTGAATCCTGGTTCTACCAATAACTAGTCATGTTATCTGAGCATGTTTCCTCTTGGCTTCTATCTCCCCATTAGTCAGATGGAGGTGATGACATCATATGTACCTCCCTGTGTCACTAGGAACACATGTGGAGCACTGATTCAGCACCCGGCATGTAACAGGTGTCGATAAATTGTAGTTATGGGTGTTGCTAGAGACAAAGTGAAGACCAGAACCCTGGACCCATGTGCTTATCACAAAGTCAAGAGTAGAAATAACACCTTTCCTTCATTCCTTTGGGCAGATGGTCTCATTTTCTCTATCCTCTCTCCATGTGCTCCTGTGTCCCCCCCTCCAGATTCCGGGTCATTGTGGAAATGATAAAACCAGAGAAGCCAGATCTAAGTGTCACCTTAAAAGGCCTTGATTACATTGATGTTCTGTCTGGCTCCAAGAAAGACTACAAGCTGAACTTCTTTTCCCACAAGGAGGGACTATACAGTGCAAAGGTATCTACACATTAAAAGCATTTCCCTGGAGCCCCCTGGGGGTTTGCCCCTGAGGATGATGACCCTGGTGTTAGGGAGTGAAGATGTCCTCCCACTGCCAGCCTGTCCTTATCCTGTTGGGCTAACCATTTAGTGACCTGGCAAAGGCTTTCAGGACTCCCAGCCTCTTTATGATGGAGCCAGACTGCAGGGCCCTCCATCCATCATGTGGACCCACACCAAACATGCAAGGCAGGAGAGTCATGAAAATCCTTGAGCAGTAAATAAATCTGGGCCAGCAAACACTGGACCACAATAATAAGAAAAGATCCCTTTTTCTGAGTGCTGATAGTGACTAGCACCGTACTGAACACTCAATACACACAGCCAGTAATGTCAGAGCCAGGATTCATTCAACTCAGAGCCACCACGGGGTCTTTCATGCATCAGTCGTTTCTCCTAATTCATTCATTAGTGCAACAAGAACCTATGAGCATGTCTGCCACATACTATCCTGAGTGTTGGCAACACAGCAATGATCAAAAATAGGCAGAGTCTCTGTCTGCAGGGAATGCACAGTCCAGTGAAAGGAGAAGGGCATTAATGGTACTGTGAATGTATAATCACAAAATGAGATATGTGCTTTGAAGAAAAGGAGTAAATATGGATCAGTAGCTCACAGGAGAGGTTAGGGCTGAAGATAAATATGGAAATTACTTATTTATAGATAATATGTAGAAATTACTCATTTATACTATGGCTTCTAGTACATTTATAGATAGTACTAGAAGCCATGACTAAGAATGGAAAAAGCGAGGAAAAGATTTTAAAGTGAAAAAAGAAAAAAACCTAAGAATGCGTCTCCTCCCTCCAGAAGAGATACTGGGAAAACCCATGCAGTAGGATGTCATCCTCTCCTACAAACACTGAGGTGGGCTGCTCCTCTCAGATCACATTCACAGGCTAACAGAGTACCTTAAAACCAAGGTCTCATGAAACATCTGAAGAAAAAAAAAACACTATAAATAGAAATACCAGCTCAAAAAAGAGGAACCCCTAAGATAAAAGATGTATTAAAGCAAACAGAAGATTTTTAGTGAATATTATTAATATCCTCAAAGAGATGAAGATAATCCCACCCCTAATAGAAGAACAGGTTATTGTGGGCAATAATCAATTAGAGACCTGGAAAATTTTAAAAACAGTGTGTTTTAATAGAAAACCAAAGAGAAAGGCTGAATAGTGTAATGAACTCTGAGGAAGAGAGAACTAGTAAGTTAGAAGATAGAGCTGAGTAATAGCACAGACTTTAGCACAAAGACATGGCAAGAATGGAAGGAAGTAAGAAGTGCTGGAGAAGGCCTGGCGAGGTTGGATCCCTCAGGCATTGCTGGCAGGAGTGTAAATGGTGCAGCTGCTGCAGAAGACGGTCTGGCATTTCTTAAATGGTTAAACAAAGAGTTACCATGTGACTCAGCAATTTCACTCTTAAGTGTATACCCACGATAAATGAAAACATATGTCCACACAAGAACCTATATGTAAATGATCATGGCAGCATTATTCATAAGAACCAAAAAAAACACCAAGAAACAAACCAAATGTCCATCAATCCAAATAATAATAAATAGAATGGAATATTATTTGGCAATAAAAAGAAATGGAAATGAAGTGCCAATACATGCAACACATGAGTGAACATTGAAAACATTATGCTAGCTGAACAGAGCCAGTCACAAATGGCCACATATTGTATGATTTCATTTATATGAAATGTCCAGAATAGCAGATCTATAGAAAGAGAAAGCAAATTAGTTGTATCTATGGCAAGAGTGGATGAGTTAGGAGGAAATGGCGAGTGATTGGTTATGGACCCTGAGTTTCTTTTCAGGGTGATGAAAATGGTCCAAAACTGATTGTGGTGATACTTGCATCACTTTTTGACTATACTAAAAACCACTAAATTGTGCACTTTAAATCAGTGGATTATATGGTATGCAAATCACATCTCAGTAAAGCTGTTTCAAAAAAAAGAATGAAAGGAAATGTGAGACATAAAATATAAATCAAAGAGTTCTAATATCCACCTAATAAGAAATTCAACACCCAAAAATCAAATAATCCAGTTAAAAAATAGGCAGAAGACAAAAAGAAAAGACTTCTTTTCCAAAGAAGGCATCCAGATGGCTTACAGACACATGAGAAGATGCTCAATGTCACTCATCATCAGGGAAATACAAATAAAACCATAATGAGATACTACCTCACAACTGTCAGAATGGCTAAAATTAACAACACAGGAAACAATGGGTATTGGCAAGGATGTGGAGAACAGGGAACCCTCTTGCACTATTGGCAGTAACATCAGATTTCTCATGGTAACTCTGAATACAAGAAACGGGGAGGGGCACCTGGATGGCTCAGTAAGTGTGACTCTTGATTTTGGCTCAAGTCATGATCTAAGGGTCATGAGCTTGAGTCCTGCGTTGGGCTCCACACTGTACATGGAGACTGTGAGCCTGCTTAAGATTTTCTCTCTTTCTCTCCCTCTGCCCCACCCCACCCCCATCTCATGTGCATATGTGCATGCTCTCTTTCTTCCAAAAAAGAAAAGGGGGGGAGGCGATGGAGTAAGCTATTCATATAACTTAGAGTGATGTTCAATCTAGAACTTTTTCCAAACAAAACTATTATGAGGACAAAATAAAGACATTTTTAAAGATGCAACAACTCTAAGTAACCCACTCATATATATAAATATATTACTTGTTTGAAATAGGTACTGTAAAATTAAAAGGTTTTGAATTAGCAAAATTTTTAAAAATAAGTAAGTGAATGCAAGAGGAAAACATAAGGTTACAATGAACAAAGAATCAAAATTCAATTGATAGGTAATTTCAAATAATTGTTGAAAAGCAATCTGAAATGAACATTTCATATGGCCTCAATATAGGAAATAGCCAGGAGAAGAATAAGACAATGAAAAATATTTTCTCATTCAGTGGGAAACAAATAGGGAAATGAAAGATGTTCTTTCATTCATCAGAAGGGTAGGGAAAGAGTAAAGATAGTCATAAACTATATATGTGAACAGAAAAATATAAGTAAATATATGTTTTAAAGCATTAAGTAAAAATGATGGTGAACCCAGATCACAGAGTCTCTTTACAATAATATGTATTAAAATTAACAAAAGTTCTTTAAAAATCAAAAGCACTTCTTCTGACTATAATGGAGTAACTACTCTTCCCACCATAAATGATCATAAAACTGGACAAAATATCTGAGGCAAGTCTTCTCAGGCATTGACAACAGGCAGCACAATACTGCAATCCATCAAAGAGAAGAAAAGCTAATGAGATGAATCTCCATAATTGTCCTGGCTCACTACCAAGGGACAATTTCCTGACTGCAGTGCAGGGAGCTGGAGTCTAAGCAAAGCACAGCTGCCCTCATTGAACTGAAAATGCAGAAATCAGAGTTTGGTATGGTTGAAATAGCTGTTCTCTACAGGGTGGGAGAGGAGTGGAGGGAGTAATGCGTGGAGGGGCAGAGTCTGGGGGTGGGGAGGGGAGGGAGACCGAAGTCTGTCTGGAAGCCCCCCTCAAAGTATTTGGCTCAGAGTTGTCCTGCACATGCACAAGATGAGACTACATGGGATTCATCAGAGAACAGCTTCCAAAAGAGTTGATAAAGGAACAAAGATGCATTAATCAGTGCTGGGGAACTTTAGAGGTTTAGCTCAGCCAGAGTGAAGAGGTTGCATGAACATCTCACCAACATCCTAAGAATCCAGTTGAAATACCAGAAAGGCCAAAAGAAAGGACCATGCCCTTAGGATAAGTCCTTTTAGATCTTTAAAAAGCCTAAAACTAAGCACCTACAAGATCAGAGAGGACAAAATTTGGAGATTGAATCCCACCAAGTTGGAAGGTCTTGAGAAACACCTTGAGCTTCCCATACATCTGCTCTAACAAAAGCTACACAACTTTAAGGTGATAGGTCAATAAGTCAATGACTGAACTGCCTCCTAGAATAAAATCAACACTCTTACAAGGAAGATAACAGAATCCAGAATCTCTAAAATGATGACCAGCAACATCCAGTGCACCAGCAGAAATTACTAGACTTGTGATGAAGCAGGGAAATGTGACTCATAGTCAAGAAAAATGCAGTCAATTAAAATGAACTCCAAGATGGGTGAGATACTGGATTTAGCAAACAAAGACCTCAGAGCTATTATAAACAAGTTTAGAACTAAAAGAAAATATTTTAAATAATTAAATATGGGCAGGTAAGGAATCTCAGCAGAGAAATGGAAACTATAAAAAAAAGAACCAAATGGATATTCTAGAATTGAAAACTACAATAAACCAAAATGAAAGTTTCACTGGATGTGCTTAATAGCAGATTGAATAAAAAGATAAAAGATTTGCCATTTGCGATGATATGGATGGAACTAGAGGGTATTATGCTTAGCGAAATAAGTCAATTGGAGAGAGACAACTATCATATGATCTCCCTGATATGAAGAAGTGGTGATGCAACGTGGGGGGGTTGGGGGTTAGGAAAAGAATAAATGAAAAGAATAAATGATCGGGAGGGAGACAAACCATAAGAGACTCTAAATCTCGCAGAACAAACTGAGCGTTGCTTGGTGGAGGGGGTCGGGAGAGGGTGGTGGGGTTATGGACATTGGGGGGCATTTGTGCTGTGGTGAGTGCTGTGAAGTGTGTAAACCTGACGATTCACAGACCTGTACCCCTGGGGCTAAAAATACATTATATGTTTATAAAAAAATTTAAAAATTTTTTAAAAAGATAGAAGATTGAATAAAAGGAACCAGTGCCTTGGGAACCTGTGAGAAAATATACAATTTTCTAATACATGAGTAATGAGAAGAGAGTGAGAATAGGGCAGGACCGTGAGAGATTGTGGACTCTAAGAAACAAACTGAGGGTTTTGGGGTGGGGGAGGGGATGGGTGAGCCCAGTGATGGGTATTAAGGAGGGCACGGATTGCATGGAGCACTGGGTGTTATACGCAAACAATGAATCATGGAATGCGCTACATCAAATACTAATGATGTATTGTATCGTGACTACCATACCACACACAAAAAAAGAAAGAAAACTATTTGAAAAAAAATTTGTGAAACTTCCCTGCTATGATTTTAAAAATAGATATATTTACAGATCCAAGAAACTTGGCAAACCACAAGCAGGAAAAATACAAAGAAAACCATGATATATGAGAAAACCATGTCTGTGCACATCATAGTAAAACTGCTGAGAACCAAAGATAAAGAGAAAAACATAAAACAACCAGATATTTAAAAATCTGTTACAGGGGAGCCTGGGTGGCTCAGTGGGTTAAAGCCTCTGCCTTTGGCTCAGGTCATGATCCCAGGGTCCTGGGATTGAGCCCTGCATCAGGCTCTCTGCTCACCACGGAGCCTGCTTCCTCCTCTCTCTCTCTCTGCCTGCCTCTCCACCTACTTGTGATCCCTGTCAAATTAATAAATAAACAATCTTTTTTAAAAAGTCTTACATATGGGAGACAATAATAAAAATGACCACTGACTTCTCTTCAGATATAATGGAAACCATCTGCAAAATGCTGAATGCTATCAACCAAAAATTCTCCATTCACTGAAAATATCCTTTAAGATGGAGATCTCTTCAGATAAAAGACATGAGAGAATTTATTGCCAGCAGACTTGCATCACTGGACAACACACTAATAAGGACTCTTCAATCTGAGGGAAAATGATACCAATAGAAATCTGGGTCTACTGGCACCAGCAGCTTGTCGTGTCTGCCACAGGGGTGAGGAGACAATGTTCTGCAGTCACAAGGTTGGGCTCTGGAGTCACGTCAACCTTGTTCAGATCCTGGCTCTGACACTTCTCTCCGCATGGGACCTTGGCAGGATACTTAACCTTGCTGAACTTCAGTTTCCTGGGGAAAAAAACAACTATAACAAAACAAAACAACAAAAGAAAGAAGGGACACAGCGAGGGGAATAATAATGCTGCCTACAAGTTGTATACATTAAACAAGTACTTCTAGGGCCTAGCACACAGGAGTGGTTCACTAAATGTTAGATGCTGTCGTTACCATTATTGGTATTTCTGTGGGTTCCAGCAGCAACTGGCAGAGGAGTGAAGCCCACTACAGCATGAACCTCTTGAGGTCTTGCTTGTTTTCCGGGGCCAGCTAGCTGTCCCCCCGGGACACCTTCACCTTCAGCACTAGACAGTGCTGCTCTGGCCTCTTCTGAGCAAACCCGGGCTGTTCCATCAGCTCTCACCTGGGAGGAGCCAGAGCAGGACCCTGCAGGAGAAAGGCTGGCTGGTGGGGGTGCAGACCGTGTAGGAGTACGGGTGTCAGCCCGGGACCAGCTTCATGTCCCCAGGCCATGTTAGCAAAGAGAAAGAGCTCCTTGAGACAGCAGGAGCCCCTCCACTAACCAACCCCCTGCCCTGATTCCTCCCCCTCTCCCTGTGAACCCAGGTGATCTTCCGAAATGAAGTGACCAGTGAGTTCTTACACTACCTGGTGAGTTTCAGGGTCATCCCTTCAGGCGTCATCAAAACCATCGAGATGACGAGCCCCGTCCGGCAGAGCACGTCAGCCTCCATCAAGGTGGAGAACCCCCTGCCCTATTTGGTGACCTTCTCCACGGAATGCAGGGTGCCTGACATCAGCCTGCCCTCCCAGTTTGTGGTGCCTGCCAACTCCGAGGTACGGTGGCGGCCAGCTTCCAGGGGCTCCCTGATACCTGTGACGGGCGCCCTGCCTGTGGGGGGTTGCATCCTTGAGGTTGGGCCCACCCTGACAGTGGTTGGGAAGGCAGGGGACAGTCCCTCAGTCCCACTCCTGATCTCCTTTTCCCCCTTCTGCCTGAGTCCTCACATAAACACGGGCATATGAGCACTTTGGTTCACATATGTAAAAGGGACTTACTATAAAGACTCGCCTCTGTCATATGTTTGTTTGTTTTGTTCAAATTACAACTATTTTTGGTTTTTGCTAATTACAAAGGTAATGTAGAATATGTGTGGTGAAAGGGAAAGCAAGGGACATCACGTTATGGAGTTACCAGCATGTGTACCGTTCATACACACACTTGCTCATGCACAGACCCCTGCAGGAGGGAGGCACAGGAAGCCTGCACCTGGCTGGGAACACACGGCCTGGAATTCTGAGCGCATGTGGCGAGGAACTTTCTTTTGACTCTTTTGAGTCTATGGCTCCAAACTCTCACTGTCCAGATTCCTTCAAAATCCCTTCTATTTCTCCAACTTGAGCTTAGTCCCTGTGTCCACTCCAGTTCTTCCTTCCCCTTCAGAACCCAAAATCTGTTTTGTTCTTCAGAGAGTCGCCATGCCCTTTCATTTTGTCTTTAAATTTTTCATCATAAATTATAAAAAATCTATGCAGGAATGTATAACACAGATATATACTTAATATATATATTAATAAATATATACTTAATATATACTTAATATATATGTGTAACATATACATATATATATTAAAACATGTTTACTTAACTACAGAAGAAATATCTGTATAACCAATACCCAGTCCACGATGTAAAAAATTGCCACCACCCAGAAACCTCTGTCTCCACTCACAGTACTGTCCCTCGCTCCTAAAAGTTATCACTGTCCTCATTTTATAAATTTCTTGCTTTTAAGCCATATGGCTTAGATTTGCCATTTTTGAACTTTGTACAGAAGAAATCGTACAGGGTGCCTGGGTGGCTCAGTGGGTTAAAGCCTCTGTCTTCGGCTCAGGTCATGAACCCAGGGTCCTGGGATCGAGCCCTGCATCGGGCTCTCTGCTCAGCAGGGAGCCTGCTCCCCCCCACCCCCGTGCTCTCTCTCTGCCTGCCTCTATGCCTACTTTTGATCTCTGTCTGTGAAATAAATAAATAAAATCTTAAAAAAAAAAAAAGAAATCGTACTATAAACACTCTTTAACATTTTATGTTTTTTGCTGTTAATGTCTTATGTCGTGACGGCCGTCATGTTGACGCACACAGCTGAGGTTCATTCATGCCCATCGCTGTATAATATTCCATCACATGACCATACCACAATTTAGATATCCATTCTACTGCGGCCAGACACGTGTGTTGGTTTTAGCATTTGGCTATCATTAAAAATGCTGCCACAGACCTCACCACACACGGCGTGTGTCTGTCCACAGTTGTGCACCTAGCAGGAGAATCACAGGGTTGTAGGGATGTAGGCTTGTAACTGCCAATCAGGAGATAACCTCCAGTCAGTAATGAGATTTGACCAACTTTTGGCACTGTCACATTTTTAAAGGCTTACCAATCTGATAAAACTTGGGATAAACTAACAGTGCCTTGTAGTCTTAATTTACCTTTTTACAAGCAGATTGACCTCAGTTGGGTAACAGCCTGTGTGGGAGATCTGCCTCCTTGCTCATGAGTGAGAATGGACCAGTTTTCCTTTCTTGTCTTCTTGCCCAATTTGAGCATCCATTCTGCTAGCGATGGAAAAAGAATCGGGGATTTCCCTGCTGTCTCGATCCCGTGAAAGAATTTATGAAAGATAAACTCACAGATGAAGCTACTGAGCCCTGGTGACTTCTTTTGGGGAAGATTGTCTGCTCCTGACTTGGTTCTTCAAATGAGTTATTCAGCTGTTTAAATTTTCTGGTCCTTCCTGAATCAGTAACAAGAACATGCTAATTGATCCGTATATTCAAAATATTGACACAACATCGTTAATATCCTCTTACCACCTCTTCTATATATCATATTCTTTTCTCATTTCTAATATTGGTTATTGTGCCTTCTATTTCTTGATCTGTTTTGTTAGAGGTTCCTCAGTCTTATATCTTATATTCAAAAAGGCATCTTTTGTACTCTTTATTGTACATTTGTTTTCTACTCTTTGTACTCTTTATTTGTACTCTTTATTGTACATTTGTTTTCTAAGTTGCTTGATTTCGGCTTTTAATCATTTCCTTCCTTCTGCTTCCTGTGTTACTGGTGCTTTATCTAATTTCCAAGCTGAATGCTTAGTGCATTTACTTCTAGTCCTCTTTATTTTCCCACACACACATTTAGACCAGAAGCCCCCTCCTAAGTGCTGCTATAGCTGCAGTGTACAAATTTTTATATGCAGCATTTTTTATCATTAGGTTCAAAAATGTTCTAACTTTCATTATTATGAATACTTCTTTTTTGACTCATGGGTTATTAGAAGTGTTTCTTCATTTCCAAACGTGGGGATTTTTCTACATGTTGTTTTTCAAATTATTTTGTGGTCAGGGAATATCTTCCACATTGTTTCAGTCCTCTAGAATTTGTTTAGACTTGCCTTACGGCTCAATAGATGATCTTTTTTTAAAAAACCTCCATATAGGGACGCCTGGGTGGCTCAGTTGGTTGGGCAGCTGCCTTCAGCTCGGGTCATGATCCCAGCGTCCTGGGATCGAGTCCCACATCGGGCTCCTTGCTCATCAGGGAGCCTGTTTCTCCCTCTGCCTCTGCCTGCCATTCTGTCTGCCTGTGCTTGCTCTCTCTCCCTCTCTCTCTCTCTCTCTGACAAATAAATAAATAAAATCTTTAAAAAAAAAAAAAAACCTCCATATATTTTTTTAAAAAGTATGTGTTTGCCATTTTGCTATTAATTCTCTGATATTTTAGTCTACTTGTTTGGTCAGATTTAAGAGAGTGTGTTAAAGTCACCACTGTGATGGGGATTTGTCCATTTGTCCTTGTAGTCCTTTTTTGTTGTTGTTGTCCTTGTAGTTCTGTCATGTTTTTGTTCTATATAATTTGAAGCTACATTACTAAATTAAAATCATACTATCCTTCTGATAGTGTTATATTAAGACTTGATCATCTCTTATATTCCTGTTCTTTAAGCATATCTTGGCCATTCTTGGCCCTTTGCATTTCCATATAAATCAGCTTGGGGCGCCTTGGTGGCTCAGTGTGTTAAGCCTCTACATTCGGCTCAGGTCATAATCCCAGGGTGTCCGCATCTGCTCTCTGCTCAGCTGGGAGCCTGCTTCCCCGCCCCCTCTCTGCCTGTCTCTCTGCCTACTTGTGATCTCTGTCAGATAAATAAATAAAATCTTTTTTAAAAAATTAGCTTGTCAAGTTCCTCCAAAAACATTAAATAACCTGTTAGGATTTTGATTGGATTATTTTTAGAATGTATTAGCTACCTGTTGGTCCATAATAAGTTGCCCTAAAAATTAGCAACTTAAAACCACAAGAGTTTATTACTACCCCATTTCTGAGGCTCAGGAATCCAAGAGCAGCAGCTTAGCTGGGTGGTTTGGGTTGGGGATCCTTCATGAGGTTGGAGTCAGTTGTCACCTAAAAGGCTTGACTGGGGCTGGGTAACCTGCTTCCAGACTCACTCATGTGGTTGTTGGAAAGGCCTCCGTTCCTTGCTGGCTGTTGGTCAAGGCTTCAGTTCCTCACCATGTCCACTTCTCCCTAGAGCTGCTTTCAACATGACAGCTTGCTTCCCCCAGAGCGAGGGACCTAAGAGAAGCTGAGAGAGCAAAGGAGAAGAGAATCCCCAAGACAGAAATCACTCTTCTCCTCTTAATCTCAGAAGTGACATGCCATCTCTCTGCCGTGTACTGGGGGTCACATGGACCAGCCCTGGTCCAACATGGGAGAGGATGACTCAAGAGTGTGAGTGGCAGGAGGTAGGATCACTGGGGGCCATTCTGGAGGATATCTGTCACAGAGTATTCCAGTCTTTATGCTCCCGAGATTTCCAATCCATGAGCACATCTCCATTTATTTAAGTCCTCTTATTTAATTTCTCTCAATAATAATTTTTTTAGTTTTCTATGTAGAAACCTTATTCATCTTTTGTTAGATTTATTTCTAGGTTTTATTTATCTTGATATTGTTGTAAAACCTTTTCAAAATTTCATTTTCTATTGTTGCAAGTATATAACAATATTCATGATTTTTGTGTATTGACTTTGCCTTTATTTTTTGGCTTTTAAAGTTTTTATTTTAATTTCAATTAGTTAACACACAGCGTTATATTAGTTTCAGGTGTCCGATATAGGGATACGTCCATACGTCCCCTGGTGCTCATCACCACGAGTGGTCTCCTTCATCCCCACCACCTCTTTCTCCCATCACACTATCCACCTCCCCTCTCAGTAACCTTCAGATTCTCTTTCTTGATGTGTTTCTCTCTTTTTTTCCTTTCCTCATTTGTTTTGTTTCTTAAATTCCACCTATGCATGAAATCATATGGCATTTGTCTTTCTTTGACTGAGTTATTTTGCTTAGCATTATACTCTCTAGATCCATCCATGTCATTGGAAATGGCAAGAGTCCATTCTTTTTGATAGCTGAGTAATATTCCATTGGTGGTATATATACCAACTCTTCTTTATCTATTTATCAATCAGTGGACACTTTGGCTGCTTCGATATTTGGCTATTGTAAATCATTCTGCAATAAACATCAGGGTGAACATATCCCTTTGAATTAGTGTTTTTGTATTCTTTGGGTAAATACCCAGTAGTGCAACTGGTAGAACACAGGGTAGGTCTATTTTTAACTTTTTGTATACTGGCTTTGTAACCAACCACCTTAAATAATTCACTTATCAATAATAATAATTTCAATTATAGATTTTTAAGTTTTCTTTTTTTTTAATTTTTTAAATTTATTTTCAGCGTAACAGTATTCATTGTTTTTGCACCACACCCAGTGCTCCATGCAATCCGTGCCCTCTCCAATACCCACCACCTGGTTCCCCCAACCTCCCTCCCCCCGCCCCTTCAAAATCCTCAGATTTAAGTTTTCTACATGTACAATCCTGTCATCTGTATGTAAATACAATTGTGTTTCTTCCATTATAAACTTCTTCCTTTAATTTCCTTTTCATGCCTTAGAGGGCTACCCAGAACATGCAGAACAATGTTGACTAGAAAGGCAATAAACAGCATCTTTGCCTTGTTCTCAATCTTGAAGGGCAAGCTTTCAAAGTTTCACCATTTATTGTGTTTATTTTGGATTTCTTATAGATACTCTTTATCAAATGAAGGATGTTCCCCCTCTTCCTAATTTTCTAAGAACTTTTTTTTAACTCCATAAATGGATGTAGAGTTTTATCAAATGCCTTTACTGTATCGAGATGTTTGACTCTTCTCTTTGTTCTCCTTTTAATGTCAGTGTGGCAACTGACTGGTTTTTCTAATATTAAACCAATTTTTCATTCATGGAATAAACCCATCTTTGTTACAGAACATTATCTTCTTTATATATTGCTGGATTCAGTTGGATAACATTTTTATTGGGCACTTTGTATGTATGTTTGGGGGAGCAGAGAATGGCATCCACTTTTCTTTTCTATTAGCCTTGTCGGGTTTTGGTCTCAAAATCATGCTATCTGAACTGGGTTCCCTCTTTTTCTCTTCTTTGGGTGAATTTGTGGAATACTTAGATTGTCTAATAGAACTTACAAGTAAATCTTTACGATCCTTGGATTTTGTTAAGGGAAATCTTTTTTACTATTGCCTAAGTCTCTTTAATGGTTACAAAAATACCTAGGTTTTCTTTATCTACTTGAGCCTGGATTTGTAAGTTACATCTTTCATGCTTTTGTCCATTCTCATCTAATTTTTTAAATTGTGGTAAAATCATCTGAATTTGTACCCTGTATTCTTTTCCGTTCAACAGCTACAACAACTTTAATGATACCCTCTTTTTATTCTATTCGTCAATGAGAAGAACTAGTTCTTTTATAAAAAAGAAACAATACCACCTCAGAATAAATACAAGATTTTAACTACACAAAAGTATATGGAAGAGAAAATCAAAGTCCCCAAACCCCATTTCCTTCAGCCTAAGATAACTACTGGTAACAATCTGGTACACATCCTTGCTGTCTCTTTTCTATACCTGCATAGACATATTCTTCTCCACAAAAATAGGCACATGCTTTATATACATTTATGGAATGTCCTTCTTTTGACTTACAGTATCAACACCACCACCTTTCATGGCAATGTTTATAGCTCTGCCTCTTCCTTTCTAATGGCTACATACTTTTCCACCAACCTGGATAAACTATGATTTATTTAGCCGAGTTCTTACTGCTAACTCATTTGAGTTGTTTCCCTTATTTTGTAATTATAAGCCATACTCTTTGGTCCTGGTTTTGTTTTGCCATGGGTGATAGTAGAAGGAGGAAGAGAAAATCTTGCCCAAAAGAAGGTAGAACCCAGGAAGCTGTCCTGAGATTGGCTAAGAGCGAAGAAGGAGCTGCGGACCTTCCGCCCTCCTGCTGGCAACACTCACTGCCATTACCATACATGTGTGCTCTCAAGAGACGATCTAATACTTGTTAGACGCAAAGAGATTCCAGATATATAAATACCCCTAGGGTATTTCTAGGGAAAGCTAGAAAGGATACAGAGGAAAAAAAGGGCTATTTGGACAGAGATTCCCTGGGCTCGAGATCAGTGTGAGCATTTGCTGTGAAGCACCATTTCTCCCACCAACCTACTCTGAGGTCCGTGTGGGAAGGTATGCGTTGGACTCCCGGCCTTATAGGAGCCTCTGTCTTCTCTTGCAGGGCACATTTACATTTGAATTCCAGCCCCTGAGAGCTGGAGAAACCTTTGGGAGACTAACACTGCACAACAGTGATTTGGGCTACTACCTGTATGAGCTTAGTCTGAAGGCCACGCCAGCACTGCCTGAAAAGCCCATCCACTTCCAGGCCATTCTTGGCAGTGGTCAGAGCATCTTCGCCAAGTTCATCAATTACACCCGGCAGAAGACCGAATACTACTGCAGGGTGAGCAGCCGCTATCCCACCCGCTTCCCTCCCCTGGCCAGAAGTCTGAGCTTAAAAATAATAGGAGGAGGATACAGGGGGTGCAGAGGGAGTCAGGGTTTTCATCCAGCCTGGAAACTCCCAGCTAGAAACAAACACTATCAGGCCTGGGTTCTTCCTTACAGACTCTACCTTAACAAGCTGGGGTGGGGTGAGGGGTGGGAGTTGTGCTTCCCACAGCATGACAGTGGTCACTAGAAGAGACAGTAGTGCTTAGTGGTCATGAGTATAGGCTGTGAAATCCAACAGCCTTGAATTTGAACCCTGGCTTCACCACTTACTCCTCAAATACCTTACTAAAGCTCTCTAAACTCTTCTAGAAATGGTAATAATACCCCAACCTCACAGGATTGCTCTGAGGCTTTTAAAAGATGCATGTGAAACTGTCTCCATAGAGCCTGGCTCATAGTAAATGCTTATATATGTTACCTATTATGTAAGTTGGAATCCAGTTTTAACTACTGAAACAGAAACCCAAAATAACAACAAAGTAAAAGTTATTCTTGTCTGAGGTAACAGTGTGAACATGAGCAGTTTAGGCTGGAATGGTAGCTCCATGACATCAGGCATCCAGACTTCGGTCCTGATGCTCTTCCCTCTGTTGAGAGTTGTTTGGTCCACAGGGACCAAGACGGCTTACCCTGATGTCTGCATTCCAGCCAGCCCCAGGGGGGATGGCAGGGAGCTACATATATCCCTTCCATTCACATCCCCTTGAACAAAATAGCATAAGACCATACCTGGCAACAAGGGGAGCTACGAGGTACACCTTGTGCCCTGGGTTCCATGGCTACAGTCAGGAGGCATGGGCTCTTGGTCCATCATACCAGTCAGGAGAAGCTAGGTTATGCCATCGTAACAAACAGCCCCAATATCTCAGTGGCTTAAAACAACAAAGGTTTGTCCCTCATTTGTGCTATCTATTCAGTGAGAGTCAGCAGGGGCTCTGCTCATCACAGCCATTTGGGGATCCAGGCTGAAGGACCACCGCCAGCTCAGATGTCACAGGTCATAGTACCAGAGGGCTGAAAAGATCCCAAGGGGACCTGAGCACTGACATTCTAGTACCTTGGTGTGGAAGTGACCCCTTTCCCTTCTGCTCAAAACTAACTGACGAGAACATCCATGAGGATCCAGAGTGTTCCGCCTGTCATGGGTGTGGGATAAAGAAGAATAAGATGGGGGTGGGGAATAGCCCCAGTGGAGGCCACACTGCCGTAACCCAGCTTGGTGTCTCTGGGCAAGTCACTTAACATCTCTTAGCCTTGATTTCTTTGTAATAAAATGGGTAATAATTAGTATTACCTATTCTTCAAGGGACTTATAAGGGCACAACTTTTTTTTTAAGATTTTATTTATTTATTTATTTGACAGAGAGAGAGATCACAAGTAGGCAGAGAGGCAGGCAGACAGAGAGAGGGAAGCAGGCCTCCTGCTGAGCAGAGAGCCCGATGCGGGGCTCGATCCCAGGACCCTGAGACCATAACCTGAGCCGAAGGCAGAGGCTTTAACCCACTGAGCCACCCAGGCACCCAAGGGCACAACTTTTAATGAACTGCCCAGCCTCGCACAAAGATAGGTTACTTGATGTCCGAGAGCAGGCGGGCAGGTGGGCCCAATCCACCCGTGTGTCCTCTGGGCTCCTGTGTGAACCAAGTGCATTTCTTCCTCTTTCAGACTGACTGTCAAGACTTCCACACGGAAAAGATCATTAACGCAGCCCCAGGGCCTCAAGGAGGCACCGAAGTCAGTGTGGAAGTCTATTTTGAGCCCAGCCACCTGGGTGAGACCAAGGGCATCCTGACGCTGTCATCGATTATAGGCGGGGAGTATATCATCCCCCTCTTTGGAGTGGCTCTGCTCCCGAAGCCCCAGGGTCCCTTCCTGATCCGAGCCGGGTACAACATAGTCATCCCCTTCAAGAACATTTTCTATCATACGGTCACCTTCTCCTTCATCGTGGAGAACCCAGCCTTCTCTGTTCGTGCCGTAGACTCCGTGCGGCCCAAGAAGATCAACAATATCACCGTCTCCTTTGAAGGAAACCCATCGGGCAGCAAAACACCCATCACCAGCAAGCTCATTGTGTCTTGTCCTCCTAGCGAAGGCAATGAAGCAGGGGTTAAATGGGTTTATTACCTGAAGGGGATCACCCCTTAGTGGTAACTAAGGTCAGTTGCATCAGTGGAAAGCCATCTCCCCAGCCTTCAAAGTATGTATTATTCTACCTGGCAAAGAACAGAGAAAATAGCCAGAATTCTACAGCTACTGTTTTATCTCCTCCTTCAAATATAAGGGCACTTATTTCCATATTATATGCACCCCAAATATATACCTGAAATATATACAGATATATTTCATATTACACATGGTAACTAAAAAAAGAAAAAAAAAACTATATTGTACTTTTTAAGGGCAAGTCCCTGAATTTGGTTTCTAGTCATATCCTCAACACTCAAGGAATAATCTCCATTTTTAATAAGATGACACAGATCTCACACGCGTGACCTCTTATCAGATAGCACTTAGCGCATGACATTGGGCCTCCACAGTGCCTTTTAAAAATCTATAATGGCTTAAAAAGCCCTTAGACATGACTCTCTTTTGATAGGATATTTTACTCTGCTTTCACATAAAAGCCAAATAAGACACTATTTTCAAAATGACAACAGATGACACCTGCCCATTATTGTAGGGCCGGGGGCCAGGGATGCTCCCTCCATCTCGGAATCCCATATCTGTTCCCCACAGAAAGTTCTTGCTGAAGGCCAGGTCCTGGAGAAATGCGGAACCTGCAGTCCCTCACTCCCAAGCCTGGCCCTGTGCCTAGCGGTCAGTCTGTAGCACAGCGATTCCCTGCCCACCTGCACGTCTGAATCGGCCAATTCTGCTCCAGACCCTTCCCGCCCATGTTCTGATTTAATTGGTCTGGGGAGCAATGGAGGCATCCAGGAATCTACTTCCAAGGGAGGACCACACCGCAGTCTGCTAATGGTTAAACTGAAGCCATTTTGTATGTGCAGGGTGAGGTCTAAGACAGTGCCTTTCCTAAGAGGGAAAGCCCTGGGGAAGCTCCACCTCCAAGGGGGCGTGGGACATCTGCCTTAGCCCAAGCTCTGGCCCTGGGTCCTGGAACATGTATTAGTAGAACCACTTAATAATAATAATAGGACCACTTACCTGTTGGCACCACCTGATGAAATAAAGATGACTGTGGACTGGCCCTGGAGTGGATTTGCTTCTGCACTCACGCCTGAGGGTCCCCTGGCTCCACCTCACCCCCTCCGCATCCCCTATAGCCTACCTGCACAGACAGGGAGAAAGCATGAAAGGAGATGACCAGTGCTCCAAACCAGCGGTTCTGAAAAATGGTCCCTGGCCCGGCAGTGACAGCATCCCTTAGAATGTATCAAAAATGTGCATTCTCAGGGCACACCCAGACCTGCAGAGTCAGAAACTCCAGGGGTGTGGCCCAACAACCTGTGTTTTAAGAAGCCCTTATTGCTTTGGGTGGTGTGTTTTTTATTTTGTTTTGTTTTTAATGGAGGGAGATTCTTCTAACCCTTCTGTACCTCCCCACCAACCCTCAGCCCAGTAGACCTTGCGCTCAGCAAAGCTACACGTAATAGCTGGTCTGCAGAACTACCAAAGATGCTGCTAACGGGATAAAGACAAACTCTAGATGACAGATGTTCCAGATGCTTAAATGAGCAAAGATCGCACCAAGCAGCCATCTGAGAGGATGCGGAGATCAACGAGCATGCGTTACTACTAGCAAACGCCCATAGTCTGATGAAACCAAGGCTTTTCAAGTTGTGTTATCTATCGAAGTTACCCAGAGGGCTTGCTAACCTACAGGCTGTTGGACCCCATCCCCACAGGGTCTGATTTAGTAGCTTTAGTGGGCTTGAGAATTTGCGTTTCTGCCAGGTTCCCCATGAGGCCAAGGCTCCCGGTCCGAGGATCGCCCTGCCCAGCACAGCTGTGCAGCCGGAGCCACCTTGCTCCAACACCACCTGGGAATGTGCTAGGGATGCAGCCTCTCAGGCTGCCCCCAGACCTCCTGGATCAGCATGTGCCTTTTAAGGCATCTCTAGGAGATGATGCGTACTCCGCGGCTAAGAGCGGCTGCCTTAAAGGCAACTATGGAAGTTAAGCCTTTCCAGAAGCCACAGCCCTGGTGCTTTCCGTGAGAACCCTACACACTGGCTGCTACAGACAATGGCCACTTCCCAGTGTCACCACCAGCCAAGCGGTGCCAGCTGGCCAGGGGCAATTTCCCTACCTCAGCCCTCCTCCAGCTCCCCAAGCCACTCAGTCCAGAGCCCACGGCCTCCTGGACTGGACTGAGGAGGCAGGCCATCTCCCTGGGACCAAAGCTCAGCTCACACCCTGCCCTAGCAGGAACACCTCTCCAGGAAGACTTGAGATGTGATTACATCTCTTCCCTGGAGGTCCTGCTCATACTTCCTCTGCCTCAAAAAAGACAGTAACAGAACTGCTTCATTTTGGCAAACCTGGAATGCCAAAGGACCTCAAGAGAGTGCTGGGGGAGAAGCTTGGTGAAAATGAACATTCTGATACAAGCTAATGGAAATTACCTTGAAAAAGATCCATTCTCAGCAAAGCAGACCTGCTAGCCTAGAAGTGTCTGAGTGTGGCCAGCCTGGCCAGAGCTGGCCACCAGGGTTAGAGGAGTGAGCACATGAGAAAGCAAGGGTGGCCTTGGGCTTTCTTCTCATTGCTACAGCCGGTCCAGGAATACATAAATAACCTTAATTAGTTGGCATTTTCCAAGGTAATGGAATGAGAGAAAAGAAAGCACCTCCCCCACCCCCTCCAGGAATTTCTAAACTAAAGGTAGGACAAAGCATTGGTTTGAGCTTTGAATAAAAAAAACTGGTTTCTTAGCAACCTACTCCACAATGTGATTTCAAGAGAAAAGAGTTCCTTCTGGTCAAAACATTACTGTTCCAATTATTAAAAACTGTATCTCACTATGACCCTCGGGAAACTCAGTTCACCTTTAAGAAAAAGCCAAACCAAACAGCAAAAGAAACAGATGAAATATTACATTAGATAAAGGTCCAGTGGACGTGAATACTCACCGGAGAAATAGATCCACATCATTCCCATTGATTTAAATTTTTTTCATTGTTTTGCATCAGCCATCATCAAAAATCCTAGACATAAACTTTGTGAAGACATTTGGAAATGTCCTTATCAGTGCCACCTGGTGTCAAGGTAAGAGGAGGAAACTATGAAGCAAAACATTTTTTCTGGAGACAAAGCTAAATTTGGAGTGGCTTCAGATTGGTGGTCCACCCCCCTCCAGTCATTGGATTATGCTGGCAAAGGTTTTCAAAGCTGTGAAACCCCGACTGGTAAGGGAAAGCACTTTTTTCACAGATTTTTCTAGAAACAATTCCTCCATGGCTTACTGAATTTTGGGTTAGCTTTTTGTACTTGTTTCTATGGCTGCATAACAGATTCCCACAAAAGCAGCAGCTTAAAACAACACAAGTTTCTTATCTTGCAGTGTTCATGGGTCAGAAGTCCAGAATGGACTCACCTGGGTTCTTGGCTCAGAGTCTCACAGGCTGAAATCAAGATGCCAGCCAGCTGCATCTTCACCTGAAAGCTCAATGAGGAAAAGATCCACTTCTGAGTTCTCTTGGTGTGTTGACAAAATTCACTTCCTTGCAGCCATATACTTGAAGTCCCCATTTTCTTGGCAATGGACAACCCTCAGGAGATCACTTGTGGCAACTAGCGGCCATTCTAAGGTCTTTAACATGTAGCCCATCACGGATGGTTCACTTTTGTTACTGTTTACTCTTCAAGGTCAGCAGGAGAATCTCTCTCCTGCTTCAAATGCCTCCTGACTACTTTTAAGGCCTCCTCTAATTAGGTTGGACCCACCCAGGATAATCTCCCTTTTTTTAATTAACTAAAGTCAACTGATTAGGGACTTTAATTACATCTACAAATTCCCTTCTACTATATAACGTAATTGTTAGAGTGACAGTCCACCATATTTACAAGTCTTGTTCACACTCAAGAGGAGGGGATTATACAGGGTATGTACCCAAAGGGGTGGAAATCTTGGGGGCCATACTGGAATTCTGCCTACCACACCCCCTCACCTATGTCCCATAGATTCTGATCTATGGATTGAGGATAAGAGTCTATTTTCAACTTCGTTATCAGATTCACATGCATACTTTCCACTCATTAGAAAAAGTACTGTCGTGTATTATGCTCATATTTAATACTCTCTGGGCTCCACTGTGATCTAGCCCTTGTCCTAAGATCCCTGTCCGCTATGGAAGCTTACAATAAGGAACTCTGATGCCTCTCCCTATTAGCCACAATACATCCATACAGTGCTTTTAAAGATTTTGCCACATAAAAACAAAACAAAACAAAAAACCAACTCTCTAAGGTATCCAAGCACAATAAACACACTCTCCTGAATCCCAAATGGTGGGGTGACAGCCACTGTTGGTACCTGGGATTTTTAGGTAGTAGGTAGTACTGTTTTTAATTGAGAATTTATTTTAATGTTTTTAAAACATACCTAACTATTCACAGCCATGATTTTACGACATAAGACTAAAGTAAGAATTTAAGATTTTCGAAAGTAAATTGGTTTGAGATAAATTTTTTTTTTTTTATAGTACAAGTGGCTAGAATATGGCGAAACTAACGACGGAATTACTCCAATTGGGGAAACACTGCCACATGCGAAACTGGTGACTAGTAAATGAACGATTCGGTTCACTGAGTACTTAGCAAGCTAAGCTACGTGCGTCAGGCTCCATGAAACCCTCGGTGCTTCTAAACGTACACAGAAGCCCACCACGCACCTTGCCAACCACATGCAGGCACTTGAGTGCCCGGGCCACGCGCCCCGCACGCACCATCTGGAACCACGCGCGGGCGTGAGGGGAGGAGGCGGACCCTTATGGGGGCGTGGACAACCCACCTGCAGCCTGCGTGCGGGGGCGTGGCTGGCGAGGGGACGGTCCTCGAAGCGGAAGGCGGAAGCGCCTGCAGAGTCACATGATCCGTGTAACATGGCCGCTGCCCCTTGAGCACTGCTGGTGCCGGGTGGGAGCGGGTCGCGTGAGCCGTTAGGCGGCCTGGAACAGGTGCGCGGGGCCGGGGTCCAAACCCGGGGTTCCGAGACGGCGCGAGGCGGCGGAGCGAGACAGGCAGGCCCAAGGCGGCGTGGTCCATGAGCCGGCGCCGGAGGCAGCGCGGAGCCGCAGACTCCCCCGGCCCCGGCGCCGCCCGGGCAGCCGCGGGCTGAGGAGTCGCGGGGCTCAGGGGAGCGCCCGAAGCTGCCACCATGAA